CCCCCCCCCCCCCCCACCACGATTTCAATTGTCCCGATAATTTAATGCAACTCAACTCAATAGTAGTCGAGGTGGATAAATTTGGTTCGATTAACAGTTTTATCATTGGTGATGGACGTTAATCTTTCCTATTATGGATGAAATAAAACATCTACAAGATAGGGGCATATACGTCCTAACGGCTTTTTGTGAATAAAAAAGTGAAGCCAGCTACATCCACCATCAATGTGATGCGTCATGGGCCCACAGACCAGACCATATTCCTAACGAACGGTCACGATCTAAAAAGAATGAATTTGAGGTTCATTTAAGCTGAATTTCATTTGAGGCTGAGTTTCATCTATTTGCGTTTTTCAGTTTTTAAACAAGAGGGCGGGCAGCTGAGCCAAAGGTGCCATTACGAAGATAGCCGACGAACAGAGAGAAACCAATTACGGGATTTTCAAAGGTAAATCTTTTTCTTGAATTTGGTTTTTCTCTTTCATTTTCCGTACGCAAGCTTGTGGATCTGCATTTCTGTTTGGGTCTCTTTGTATACATTTGATTGTTTTTTGTCCAAAAATTTGATTTCTTTTGTGATGCATTCATTGGACTGTGATTCATGGATCTGCTTCTGGGTATCTTGAATTAGAATCGAGTATGCCCGTTTAAGGGTTACAATACATTCTTGTGAAATGTGGTAGTCTATGATTATTTATGGGTGTCTTGAATTAGAATCGAGTATGCCCATTTAAGAGTTTACAAGATATTCGTGTGAAATGTGGTTATTGTCTCTGATTATTGCTGAAATTTTGGATTTTTTTCTGGAAATTCATGTTTCGGGTTCTCACTAGAATTTCGTTAATGCAAAAGCATTGAAATCTATGTGATGTAGATGTGTATGCTTTTGATTAGTTATGCTCCTTGCATTGATGGAACACAATGGATTAACTGTGGGCGTTTCAATTATTGTATGACTCTAGAATTTCATTATTTTAATGAACTGTGCATCTGACATTGATGGAAACTATTGGATCAGGTCTGGTTTGTTTCAGCTTTCCTATTGAGATTCTATTCATCTGGATTGTGCCTTTGGATTGCAAAGCAATTGGAATTTCATTTATCCGGTTTCCTTGTAGAGTTTTCAGATCGTCGATCTACCTTTCATGCTTACTTTTTTCCAATGTAGATGTTTTGTTCTATGCAGACGTTAACCTTTCATCGTGGCAAATATCATTCATCAAGTTCGTTATAGGTGTTTCGAGTATGCATTTTATGAATCGTGAATTGTGAAATCTTACAATAATACGCCTATTCTTAATGTCAAGTTTATTTCCTTCCAGCAGAATAAATCTGCATTTTGTGAAATTTTTGACTGAGTTTTTTAAAGCTTAATATCCGAGAAGCAAGTTACTGGCATGTGTTGCCATCAAATATTATATGCATTATGGCCTGCTTGATTAAAGAGTTTTGTTAGTTGAACTCTTAAAACAAGCTGGGATGTGATCATATTATTCCTACCGCATCAGTTCAGAACAATTCATATCGCCTTATTGAACTCTTTTGAAATTGTCTCTTTTTGCAGCACACATTAGAATATGGCAGAAGCAGATGATATTCAGCCTCTTGTATGTGACAATGGGACAGGAATGGTCAAGGTAACAATCCTTACATCCAGGATCTTGTGAAAATTAGAATGCCCCCATATCAATCCATCGTAATTTCAGTTGAATTACGAATCTATTCATGACTTAACCTATGACCATATTACTTGATGAGCCATTAACATGGGAACCTGGATGCTGATATCACGTCAATCTCAAAATTGTCAGGCTGGGTTTGCTGGAGATGATGCTCCACGGGCTGTCTTCCCTAGCATTGTTGGTCGACCTCGCCACACTGGCGTAATGGTTGGTATGGGTCAAAAAGATGCCTATGTTGGGGATGAGGCTCAATCCAAGCGAGGTATTTTGACTTTGAAATACCCAATTGAACATGGAATTGTCAGCAATTGGGATGACATGGAGAAAATTTGGCACCACACCTTCTACAATGAGCTCCGTGTGGCTCCAGAAGAGCACCCAGTTCTTCTCACAGAGGCTCCTCTCAACCCCAAGGCCAATCGTGAAAAAATGACTCAAATTATGTTTGAGACTTTTAACACTCCAGCCATGTATGTTGCCATCCAGGCTGTCCTTTCCCTTTATGCCAGTGGTCGTACAACTGGTAAGCAACTTTCTGACTTAACTATTGTTGTTCTTTATAGTGTGATTTATGACAGCCAGAGCTGTTTAGAATGATACTTTTGGAACTAAAATAACCAATGCTCTCCATTTTATGTTCATCTTTGCTGAATTAACAGATGCATGATACGATACATACAATACATAACCAGAACCACAATCTAATGACAATAATATCATCCCCTACATGCTAAAACAATCCAAATGAAAATCAAGTTGGCAATGGTTGACTCTCAGTTGGAAAATCCATACCGTTATTCCTCAAAATATCAAGTTGTTTCTCAAGTTTTTTTTCTTAACAGAGAACAGAAAATAAAGGAGTTTAGTTTCTTCTTGCACTTTTTATGCCATTTTATCACCTTCAGTTTGAAGGACACAGAAGCCAAATAATTATTGTTGGTCTTGGTGAATTAAACGTTAACAAGATTATAGCTTATTGCATCCAGATGTCAAAGATGTGGACTCTGCTGCTGGAATTGATAATTTAAATTTAAACCATCTGCTAAACTTTTAATTTTTTCATCATCCTCTCTGCTTGCATAATAATTATTTGCCATGTTATTAGGAATTGTTCTGGACTCTGGGGATGGTGTCAGTCACACAGTCCCCATCTATGAAGGCTATGCCCTCCCACATGCAATCCTGCGTCTCGACCTCGCAGGGCGTGATCTCACAGATGCCCTCATGAAGATACTGACTGAGCGAGGTTACTCTTTCACCACTACTGCTGAGCGGGAAATTGTGAGGGACATGAAAGAGAAGCTAGCTTATATTGCTCTTGACTATGAACAAGAGTTAGAAACGTCTAAGACCAGCTCATCTGTGGAGAAGAGCTACGAGTTGCCTGATGGGCAGGTGATCACTATTGGTGCTGAGCGATTCCGCTGTCCAGAAGTCCTCTTCCAGCCATCAATGATTGGAATGGAAGCTGCTGGCATACATGAAACTACATACAACTCTATAATGAAATGTGATGTCGATATAAGGAAGGATCTTTATGGAAATATCGTCCTCAGCGGTGGTTCCACTATGTTCCCAGGCATTGCTGACAGGATGAGTAAGGAAATTACAGCATTGGCTCCAAGTAGCATGAAAATAAAGGTGGTAGCTCCACCTGAGAGAAAGTACAGTGTATGGATTGGAGGCTCCATTTTGGCATCCCTCAGCACATTTCAGCAGGTATGTTTTAACATATGCTAAAGCATGTCTTGTTGGTATCATTTTTCTATCAATTGTCAATCTAAGATCTAGAACAGGTGGTATAGTGGAAATATTAAGCCTGCTACACATAATTGTAGTAATGTTACAAGTTTTTTCTCCCTTTTTTGCGAGTGCAGATGTGGATAGCAAAGGCAGAGTACGATGAATCCGGGCCATCAATTGTTCACAGAAAATGCTTCTGATATAGCAATGCTAAAAGAGAGGTTGTTGAAGAGATTTACAAAATTTGTAGTATGGAAAGGCTTCTGATCATGTGATTGCAGATAATGCGCATTTGTTTGTTATTTATTTATTCGTGTTCCTTTCTCTGGTTCTTTCTTTACAAACATTTTGAGACCAGCCGATTATGGCCAAATCAATTTTTCATTAGCATTATTTTTATAAAAGAGTTGTGTATGATGTGAATGAATTATCATCCCCCTATCTGTTTGCGTATCAAGATTCAAAATTTTCATCTCTTTCTCTCTCACAAACATTATAGATATAATGCATGCCATGCAGACGTATGTTTTTATGAGGTATACATGCAAACGTATACACCCTCCACGTCAATGTAACATGATACAAAGTCGAAACAATGTGACCAAATTACTTGCATCATTGATATTTGTGATCATATGAAAATCACTTATAAGTAGCACATTCTGCATAGTAATCTTCTGTTTCAATTTCATTTATAATTTAGCCCTTTTTTAAGGTTTCTTTCATTCTCCCTTGCACAGCCATTAGGAGGAGAAAGAACTAACCCCCCTCCTGGTGCCTTGAGTTTTTCAATGTACCAGTTTAATGCTAAGCAGCAAGAGCATGATCATGAAAAATTTTGGGCGACATTATCAAGTTGAAGAGCAGACCCAGCTGATCTGTTCCACACTTTTCCCTATATTTCAACTTGTTTCGATATGTTTCAATGAATGTTTTAGAAACAAATTTACAAACTATTTCTTTGGTTCCATCACATTTTCGAAATGTTTCCGAAACACTAAAATGAGATGTTTTCGTTCCCAAGCAATCCACAACCAGGCATGATAAATACCGTGCCTGATCCCTCCATACATCACAACTTTCAATAGAAGAAACATGTTTACCTTGTTACCAGTATGTCAGAACCGTTGATAACACAAAGGAGCAGAATCCTATTCATGGTCTCTATTAAATTTCATCACCGTGACAGGGTCCCCCTTCAAAATAATTTCATCCAAGCCTTGTAAAATATCAAACTGGACAGTGTTTCCGCAGTCTGAACTTCGTAATTAGCTATAACATCAGACTGAGTGTTCAACCTTCTAATCCGCAACATATCAAGAACATGTCACTCAGCTAGCTAAGATACTGTGCTGAAAAAATATTCAATATTGATACATGCTCATCACGACTATTTTAGTCAAAACAAGCACAATTAGCTTTTCTTAGACATATTTTAACCCCCAAGATGAATATTGGAATATCAAGAAAGTATATTCAATTCAACATAGAAGAAATCATAAGTTTACGAGAAATTGGGGAAAAACAATCATCAATGTCTTGCAACAAACATTGTGGAAAATTAGGATGTGTTGAACCTGGCTTTCTCAAAGGAGACTGGCCAGTTCATGTAATTTGTGTTTGCTTTAGTTAACAGACTTTGCATTTGCATCAATCCCTTGTAGAATGTCAAAAGTTAAAACTTGATGGTCCAACAGCGTCAATAAACCCTCGAATCGACACTTCCGGCACAAATATCTTCTTCTCCAGCATTTCATGGTCTATAAAGGTGACAACAACTGTAATATCATCATGAAAGAACCGTCTGACCCCCTTTTCAACCTTCGTCAGATCATCATATCTCATCTCCCTTTTCCTAGCTGCCACGTTCAGAGCTGATTTAAGAAGTCTTCTTGCAATACCCTGTTAGTTAGAGGAATTTTTATTTTTTTTTGTGGGAGTTGGAGGGTAAGAAAAATAAGTGCATAGAAGATAAAGGCTAAGAGTGATAAATCGAATAAATGAGAGGACAGCACTCACTGCTCTGGGGTTATTATGCACAATCTCAACAGCCTCTTGATTTGTCATGTGCTCCCAAAGCCCATCAGATGCAAATATAATAAATTTGTCATTAGGTTGTAAGACCCTTGTACATATAGATGGATCAGCTCTTAACACTGGGCGACGAAGAGGTTCAGGAAGCTGGAATCTCGGGAATGATGGATCAAGAGAGAACTCTGGCCTCTTTAAGTATGCATCCCCAATGGATCTAGACACCTAGTGACAGTGAACACACATTTACATACACAAAAAAACAGTATTAACCAGTTAAGATGGGGAGAAATCCTTGTTGATTATCAAGTCAAACAAATAAAACCTAGTTTATAAAAGAAACAAGAATATAAGAAGGCTAGTAATTTGAATATACATACAAGTGAATATCATATCAAAGCATATATGTAGTTATCAATAATCAGAACAAACGATGTTGAGAAAAAAAAACCTAAAAAACACGAGTCTTAGAAGCATAGTTCATACAGTAGAAGATTGGGTCGGCTCTACTACATAATGGCTATTGCCACATCCTTGCTGACAATCAACCATGGGGGGAGTTTATAAAGTCATATTGCACCACTGCCACTGAATGTGTTGACCACACAGCTTCCAAAAAGATCCCCATACAACATTTTTGTGCAGATAAAGAACTTGATCTAACGACTTTATTAATTCAAACCTTTCCTTCCCAATGTTGTTCAATACAACCTGGCAATCCTAAAAGACCTGTTAAGTTTGTTACACTTATACACAACACCAACTAACCCCACAGTCCACTTGGATGCGTATCAGACTTCTATTACCTCTTCCAAAGGTGTCCCAAGAAGTTAAAAATTAAGACATGCCAGTAATATAGATGAGTATGCAGAAAAAAACAGAGACAATAAATCAAGATAACATAAGTTGAAGTAACATTTAAATTCCGTGTAGAAATAGAACAATATGGCCTCAACAAATTAATTTTTTTTCATGTGGCTATGCTCATTTTCTGGTAACTCTACACCATTTTCATATCTATTTGAGCGATTAGTTCAGTTTTCTCAACTAAAGGTGAGAATGCATTGCCGCCTCAATGTCCATCCATTGAACATTAATAGATGTCATAGATTTTGCAGCTCAAACATAGACTTTGCTTCCAATACAATAACCTTATGCTTTATAAATACAGATGGCACACTCTACCATATTTTAAATTAACCAAAATGAGTTCTACAAAGACAGTTAATTGCAAATCAAACGAGCATTCCCTAGTTCATTCCAAGCAAATAAAGCACTAGTTGGGAACCAAAAATAACATATGCTAGTACGTAAAGACAGTTCATAACAGATGATAGCTATCACATGCATATAAAAAAAGATTACTGCAGTGTTTGTGTTGGTTGAAATGGGATGAGCGTGTGCATATATGTGTATTTGTCCAGCCGCAGTTCATAAGCAAAGTGCAAAAATTGGCATGGAGTTCAGAAAATCAAAAATCTCTAAGCTTTACAATCACCCTCATTTCAAATGGAGATCTTACCAAAAGAATAGCAGAAAAACAGGCTCTTGATTGTCAAATACAACAGAAGGGAAAAAAAAAAAGAAAAAATCAAAGCACCTTAAGAGTAAACAAAATTCAAGTCAAAGGAGGGCACACCTGAATGATGCCTTTGACACGCCACACCCCATGCTTCATAACTACAACATGTGAATCATCTGGATGCAAGGACCTAAGTTCTTGTCTAACCTCCTCCATACTAGCATTATGATCCCTAGTCAATTGCTCAGCAACCATTTTATTAGATCTACCTACGGAACCTAGTACAGCTCTAGAATCACCCAAATTAGCAACATATAATGTTCCCTTCCAGATAACTCCAACCAAACAACAGGAGCCAACAGCTGCAATTAATGGTTTTATCATGCATGTTCTCCGCACAAGAGAAAGAAAGCCTTCTTCAGTTGCAGAAAAAGCACCCCTAAGAATGTCTTCAGATATTGTTCCATTTTCGCGAGCAAGTCCTGTTAAACACAGATAGTTCATGAAGAAAGAAAATTTTAGAGCATAAGAAACTCATCATATTGAATAAAGAGCAAGAAAACAAAACCAACAGAAGCATGAATTGACCAGAGAAATCAGCATCCTTTGGTTTGCTCATACTCTTTTGTGGTCAATGGCATTAAGTGCATGAAGTAACCAATTCCATGCTACCCATGTCATGTATGGGCCTCTTAGTTTAGCTAAATTTAAGATCGTAAAAACTTGAATTCTTTGAATTTGGTATCTTCTGATTTCTTAGATATAAAATAAAGTACATCCATTAGGCCCCTTAACATACATATTATCAGAGCAAAGCAAGATATAATCAAACACAGAAATTTCCATTTGGAGGAATATAGATATATTTGACCTCATGCGCCGGATCTCTATCTTCTACTCTCCACCCTTTCTGCTACTTACAAATAGAAGAAAATCAACAGACACATGCACATCAAAAGTCTATAATTCCAAAGGAGAACATGATAACCTATAATCACCTAATAAGAATCAATGAAAGACCAAAAGATAAATTGATTAAAGAAACGAAGAATGAACCCAGTTAAATACATTTTATCTGTAACCTAACTTCTTACACTTGAATATAGTCAAAATAATTTTCTCATGGGCAAAATATTAGAACTGCAAATGAAATTCAGATTCCAATGAATATAAGTTCCACAAGAATTGTCTCACTGATTAGATGAAGAAAGAGTTTGTCACATATGAATCNGAGGGCACACCTGAATGATGCCTTTGACACGCCACACCCCATGCTTCATAACTACAACATGTGAATCATCTGGATGCAAGGACCTAAGTTCTTGTCTAACCTCCTCCATACTAGCATTATGATCCCTAGTCAATTGCTCAGCAACCATTTTATTAGATCTACCTACGGAACCTAGTACAGCTCTAGAATCACCCAAATTAGCAACATATAATGTTCCCTTCCAGATAACTCCAACCAAACAACAGGAGCCAACAGCTGCAATTAATGGTTTTATCATGCATGTTCTCCGCACAAGAGAAAGAAAGCCTTCTTCAGTTGCAGAAAAAGCACCCCTAAGAATGTCTTCAGATATTGTTCCATTTTCGCGAGCAAGTCCTGTTAAACACAGATAGTTCATGAAGAAAGAAAATTTTAGAGCATAAGAAACTCATCATATTGAATAAAGAGCAAGAAAACAAAACCAACAGAAGCATGAATTGACCAGAGAAATCAGCATCCTTTGGTTTGCTCATACTCTTTTGTGGTCAATGGCATTAAGTGCATGAAGTAACCAATTCCATGCTACCCATGTCATGTATGGGCCTCTTAGTTTAGCTAAATTTAAGATCGTAAAAACTTGAATTCTTTGAATTTGGTATCTTCTGATTTCTTAGATATAAAATAAAGTACATCCATTAGGCCCCTTAACATACATATTATCAGAGCAAAGCAAGATATAATCAAACACAGAAATTTCCATTTGGAGGAATATAGATATATTTGACCTCATGCGCCGGATCTCTATCTTCTACTCTCCACCCTTTCTGCTACTTACAAATAGAAGAAAATCAACAGACACATGCACATCAAAAGTCTATAATTCCAAAGGAGAACATGATAACCTATAATCACCTAATAAGAATCAATGAAAGACCAAAAGATAAATTGATTAAAGAAACGAAGAATGAACCCAGTTAAATACATTTTATCTGTAACCTAACTTCTTACACTTGAATATAGTCAAAATAATTTTCTCATGGGCAAAATATTAGAACTGCAAATGAAATTCAGATTCCAATGAATATAAGTTCCACAAGAATTGTCTCACTGATTAGATGAAGAAAGAGTTTGTCACATATGAATCTTGAGGCTTCAGGCCCACCATGGCCATCATAAACCCCAACAAATGTGCCACCATTGCCGGTCTCAACTTGACTCTGATCCTCCAGAACCTCATTGGCCTGGACCACAGCAAATGAGAATTCTCCATAGCAATGCTTCTCAAGGTCTCTGCACCAGAGAAGCCCATCAACCACATCATCATCATCCTTGTTCATACGGGCATATCGACTCAAAGGTCGCCAACATGCCGATACGATCTTCCCCAACCAAGAAAACATCCCTCATTTCCCTCTTGAAACAAAACCTTCGAATTTTCAAGATTGACAGTAACAGAGAACCCCAAAAGAGAGCTATCAATACCAATTGAGAGAAGGAGTTGATTGTCTGATACGATGAAGAAAACCCTATAATTTTAAGACTGAAGCAGAGAACTCAAAGACCCAGTAAATACGGAATCTGGAAAAATAGTAACAAAACCTAAACAAGATACCCTTTTCTTAATATCCACAAAGACAGAGAAAGAAAGAGAGTTATTGGTTTTTTTTTTTTTTTGAACGATAAAAGAGAGTTATTGGTTGATAACTACATATCAAGAACACAAACCCAACACAAAAATTGAGAGAGAGAGAGAGGTGATTTCTGTAGCAAAAAGTCAAACCCAAGAAGGATTGATCAATGTAGACAGAGAAAACTGATCGATCAACTCAGGGGAGAGTGGAAAGAAATGAAAAAGTGAAGATTATGCCTCAGTATTAAGAATCACAGAGATATTTAATGGAGGGAAGAGACTCCTAGAGAGAGAAAGTAAGAGAGTTGATGGTAAACAACAGATGGGTGTATTGGGAATTATACCACACACATATAGTGAAGAGTCAGAGAAAATGGGGAGGAGTCAAGGTAAATTACCAGGAAGAGTGAAGAAAGGGCAACAGAGATGTACAGTTAAAATGGGAAAGTTGACGGCAGCACGTGGAAAAATTATATTTTAACCCCTTACTTATAGACGCAATTTTACTTTGCCCTTGAACTATTAAATTTTTGACATTATCCCTAAATTCTTTGAATTGATTTCAACATTACCCCAAGTTTGCCCATTATCTTTTGGACGAGAACTATCAACATGTCAGATAAGGTGAATAAATCAAATAACTCGGGGTGCAAGATAAAATAAGTTTTTCTCCAAATTTGTAATGGACGTTAATAATTAAAATAATGTGAAATGAATAATATAATTAAATGTACAAAATAAAAAATATGATAGTTGAAACATGAAAGGGTAAGGTGAGAAAAAAATCATAAATTGAGAGGATCAAATTAAAATTAGAAAATGTTAAATATAATTAAAAACTTAATTTCTATGGATCATTATCGTTGAATAAGTAATGAGTCTTACAATTAAATCAATAATAAATATAATAACCATATCATCGAGTCAAATTTTTAAATTAATTTTTTAAGTATCTATATAAAACGATTGAATTGTCCTTAGTTATTCTACTCATTTATTATATCTTATTTTCACCTTGTTCTATTACTCTTTTTCTTTTTCGATGGTATTCGATGGTGTTTGACCTCATTCTCTTTGGTTGGCTTATTCAATTGAGAGTGGCCTTTTCATACGTTGCTTTAATTTGATAGGGAGGATTGGAGTAAAGAGCGGATACAAGAACTTGACTAGGAACAAGATAACGAGAAGTGAGTTTGTCAGGGGTGGGCTCACTTTTCTACCCTTTGTGATTCTTTTTAATACATTTTATTTTAATTTTATTCAAGAATACTGTTTACAAGTAGATTCTCAAGCCCTATACAAAGTGATCTAACCTCGAATTAAATTTAAGTGAAAAATGTACTAAAAATGATTTAGATGTGTTTAGTTGAACTTGTTTTTATTTTAAAAATATTTATAATTGGCTCAAACTCGACCACTAGACTTTGATTTGTCAAATGATATGTGAGATGTTCCAATTTAACTCGGTTCAACTCGATTAATGTGAGTTCAAATTCAAGTTTAGACTAAGGCTTATCAATAAATCCTTTTCAATTGCAAAACATTGAGTACCCACTCGATGTAAGAGTAAATTGTATATATTATACCCACTTGCATGTGTCAAGTATCATAAAAAAAAAATTGGGACGAATGAAGGGCAAAGTTTGATTATGTCACCAATTTCTAGTCATCCTCATGGAGAATAGCATAGATTTTAGACATTTGGAGGAAGATGCTGCTTCAGCCTACAAGTAAAATCCAAGAGAGAGGTTTGGCGTTGGCTCCATTGGGCGAGTGCACAAACAAGGGAAGAAAGGGATTCAAGATCAAGTTTTGAAGAAGAGTAAGCCTAAATGTCGTATATAAGAAATTCGACCTTCGTTAGTGTCTCTCAGACTTAACTAATATATGTGAGAAGTTCCATGTTAACAAAAAATAAAAACATAATTCTTGTGCAATTGTTCTAGGCAGAACTCATCTTTCAAACAATGCAAATCCATCATAGAATGGTCATACTCTTTGGTTGCACTTTCTGGACACGTGTGAGCATTTAACTAGATGCCCTATCAACCCGTGGTGTGAGGTCCGGATCCGAACAAACCGTAGACCTAAATGTGTACTTGTAATTTATGAGTGATTGTAAGTATTCAGAGTTTACTCCCGTAAGTATAAATCCAAAGGAACTCTACCTTACAAAAATTTCTCATTAACAAAAAAACAAAAAAAAAAAACCTAGATGGCCTGTCAACTTACTCTGGTTTTTGATGGATGAGCAATTAGTGTGGTAGAAACATGTACTTTCCCCCAGCTATTTGTGCAACACAAGTGACCCGTGAAGTGAAGCATTCTAGAATGCTTTAACTAGCATTACCGTTCACCTACACTATCTAATCCATAATTGCCCGTGGTAAAGTTGCATTCAAAACATGCGGTTGCACCATTGACTAATCCGTGTTTATATTGGACGGTTTTGATTTGTTGGCACAGTCAAAGGTCGGGCAAAAACATTTAGTTTGACCTCTATTGATCTCTAGAGTTTAGAATGTTTTTGCCCTCTATTGATCTCTAGAGTTTAGATTGAGATTCTCTCGATTATAATTTTACTCAACAGTAAATCACCTATCATGAATTGAAATGAAATCTAATATCTTCTGTTGACCGCTTATCCATAATCTCAGATTTTTTTCTCCAACCTGGGCGGAAAAACAATCTCTCCGTATGTGAGATAAGCTTGCATATATTTGACTCTTCTCAGACTCCTAATGACAAAAAACTCGTGCATTAGACCCGCCTTTTTAGTCTGACTAACCAAAATCTTCTTAAAGCAATAACAACATTCTTACATTGTAGCTTGTAATCAAACATTTGTCCAAGGGACCTCCTTCCTTTCACCTAAAGTTACATCTCTCTGCCTGTTTCCTTGAATGAATCTTTACAAAAACATTCCTGCTAATGGATACAAGTGCCCTTACCTCCTGCTTACTTCACAGATCTTCAACACACCCATTTGTAGACACTTTCATAACTGAAGTTGCAAATTTACTAATGTGAACTGATGTTTTGTTTGGCAGCTGGCAAACCTCCTGTCAAACATGCACACATTTAGGGACATAATAATTTTTTTTTCCAGGCAGCAGTTCAAATTTTAATGAGATTAGAATAGTTTTGACATATTTTAAGTGATTTCCACAGAAGTTTCCTATATTTGGACAAGAAATTCAGGACTCCAATGAATTTCNAATTAGTGTGGTAGAAACATGTACTTTCCCCCAGCTATTTGTGCAACACAAGTGACCCGTGAAGTGAAGCATTCTAGAATGCTTTAACTAGCATTACCGTTCACCTACACTATCTAATCCATAATTGCCCGTGGTAAAGTTGCATTCAAAACATGCGGTTGCACCATTGACTAATCCGTGTTTATATTGGACGGTTTTGATTTGTTGGCACAGTCAAAGGTCGGGCAAAAACATTTAGTTTGACCTCTATTGATCTCTAGAGTTTAGAATGTTTTTGCCCTCTATTGATCTCTAGAGTTTAGATTGAGATTCTCTCGATTATAATTTTACTCAACAGTAAATCACCTATCATGAATTGAAATGAAATCTAATATCTTCTGTTGACCGCTTATCCATAATCTCAGATTTTTTTCTCCAACCTGGGCGGAAAAACAATCTCTCCGTATGTGAGATAAGCTTGCATATATTTGACTCTTCTCAGACTCCTAATGACAAAAAACTCGTGCATTAGACCCGCCTTTTTAGTCTGACTAACCAAAATCTTCTTAAAGCAATAACAACATTCTTACATTGTAGCTTGTAATCAAACATTTGTCCAAGGGACCTCCTTCCTTTCACCTAAAGTTACATCTCTCTGCCTGTTTCCTTGAATGAATCTTTACAAAAACATTCCTGCTAATGGATACAAGTGCCCTTACCTCCTGCTTACTTCACAGATCTTCAACACACCCATTTGTAGACACTTTCATAACTGAAGTTGCAAATTTACTAATGTGAACTGATGTTTTGTTTGGCAGCTGGCAAACCTCCTGTCAAACATGCACACATTTAGGGACATAATAATTTTTTTTTCCAGGCAGCAGTTCAAATTTTAATGAGATTAGAATAGTTTTGACATATTTTAAGTGATTTCCACAGAAGTTTCCTATATTTGGACAAGAAATTCAGGACTCCAATGAATTTCAATTTGCAATGAAGGTCATACATTATTAATCAAAAAGAAAATCTTTCATGCAAGCCTATGGTTTCAACTGTCTCTGACCATGTGTTTGCTTTCTTCTTCAATTAACACAATAATTTGATTGGAGGGGGCATTAACTTTTACCTTTCTCCAATATGAACTTTCTCTAATCTTCATCTCTCGATAAAAGAAACGAAATTTGGCAAGTGGACACAACAACCACGTACCTTGTATCTATGAGTTCAAAAGAGTGCCAAAACTAAGCGCATGACATTCAAGATTTCTCGTATTCATCTGTATGACAAGAAAAAAAAAAAGAACAGAACTTTAGAATGTATGTAGAGTATCATCAACAGAACCTTAAGATCACAATTAAATTATGACCGAAAAAAAAAAAGAGAGGTATAACAATAAATCCATTTACTTCCCATAAAAGGGTTACATTCCTTGAATCCAAAACTGATTTTTCCAAGATGTACCAAAACAACAGAGGGACAAACAACTGCAGCCATGAATCTCGGACTAAAAAGGTTAGTGGCCCCAAAGTTCAATAATTTAGATATCCACCCTATTCATACTTTGCATAAGAAGAGCAAAAAAAAACTATACGTCCAATCGGCAATCAGGAAGAAAAAAGGAAAAAGCTAGCATCACCTAACAAATGAGAATACATAGCATCTTTACAATACATGACATAGAGTCAGCCATATTCTTTCCCACTGCCTTATGAAATGTCAATTTTTTAGTCATCCATTAACACATCATCTCTACTTATCGTGATCATGTCACTCTTTCTCACTGGTGCAATTACTGGTATTCACTGTATGTATCCATACAATCATAATTGGTTTCCTCTCTTTTTATTTTCAATTTGTGTTCCTTCTACAATCTTTCGAACATAATCATCACAAATTCTATCTTTTCATGTCAAACAAACATCTCATGTCAGCTAGCTCATTTTATAAGTGTGCTATTTTTTAATTTCTTGGCATTTTGCCCAGTGGGGTATAAGTGGTCTTATAGCCATCCTATAGAATTTACCCACCTTAAATTAATCTATCACCTAGTTCACCTTAATTTTACCCTTAACAAAACGAACACCATATTTTGCAGTCTTTTGTTGTGGTTTCCAAAACTGACTAATTTGCATTAATTTTACTCTTATTCAAGGAAAACTTAAATATCTTTCATCTTTTGATGAGGGAACAATATCAGAACCAGCTTCGAGCACACGAAATGTTTGATTCTGGTACACTCTTGGATGGCTCTGAACGGCAATTGAAGCAAGCAAAGCCCCTTTTCTTTTTCATATGAAAGGACGGAGGCTAAACTGGTGCCATCCTAGTAACTAAGGATTTTTCTGAGTTGAGCTGTACACATGCAGTCACACAAGCATGTAGAAATGTACACACATCAGTTTTTATCAATCCTAATTCTTTCTAACTTGTGAGCAGGCTGAGGAAGTACAAAGGCTTACCACCACAGCAACTCCTGTCTCACCAAATCTAGGAACGGAAATGAGTCTCACTACTTGGCCCATTGATCCTGCACTGACAAGTAAACATTAGTATATTATCCCATAGAATATTTAAGGAAAAACAATATTCTGCCAGATAACTTAGAATTCATGAAAAGTACCCTTTATTAGGCGAGTATCATATTTATCCTGATTACCGACAAAATACACATGTGGACAGATCTCAATGAAGAAAGGATCCCTATCTGTGAATGGATAGCACCCTGTAAAATATGTGTTGCATGAATGTTAATTCAACCAAACAAAACCTATCCAGAAACCACCTGAAAGTCAAATTTAATCAATTGATTTTCTGATTCCTTTTCAATAAACTACAGATTGATGGTGCTATCTCCTCATCAGAGTAATAACAGATTGATTGATCAGCTGTTCATCCACACAAAAATGCTAAACAACAAGGTTTACCAAAAAACTTGAAAGAATTAGCAAAGTTATTGTAAAAGAAAAGACAAAAATAGAGCAGGACGCATAAGTTACTGCTTTTACCAAGGGTATTTGGTGCTGTTGGTGCTATATGCCTCCACCTCAATGTCCTTTCCATAATATCAAGTTTGTCTTTTGCATCTGAATACTTCTCAAGATCATCAATGTTCTGACCTGATGTTCCGAGAAATCTGAAGACCCCAACCACCGTGTCAATATATCTTCAACTTCAGCTAGTAGCTGAGTACATAAAGTAACATAATATATCTTACCTGATATTGTCAAGCTCAAAAGAATGTGGATTAGTGCAAGACCTAAAAGTGTTATAAGCTGATGAGCCCGGAAATAGACATCTATGCAAAGGCTGAAAAATAAAAGAACCTTAGAATGATCAAATGCTTCAAAAGAAACATGCTAATTTGATGTACGCTCAAGGCTGTGAAAGATACACTAAAAAGGCTGCGAAAGAAACCTGCTGTGGCAAGGCAAAATTTGCCGGGTCATTGAGTCCTGGCATGATATCCAAAGGTACGCTTGCAGCAATCTACACGTAACTATAAATATCAGAAATCTTGATTCACAGTGATTCCAAGGTTGCAATATAATATTGTAAGTACCTGAGTCAATAAGATATCCAGCTCTTTAATTGGTTCAGACAGTCTAGATTGATCCTTCGAAGCCAAATTCTGCAAAGATCAGCTGCCGTTGAAGATTTTCTATTTCTTGTGTTGATAGAAAATCATACAGCATGTTTAGATGAATGTTCTATAGTGTGTTAAGATTTCTCCCATTTTGATTTGAAACAGGCAGAATAAAAAACACACAATTTCAATAAACCAAGCATAACAAATTATCGAAAGTTGAAGCTTTTAGAGTAAGCTTTGCAAGCAGCTGTGAAGGGAAAGCAATCATAAAAAATACTGTGGGGAGAGTTCCCTTGATAGTGGCAATGACAAATTGTAGAAGGTAATGGTAATGCGGTGCTGCTAGTGATAGACATTAGAGCATCCAACCTAATGGGATACAAGCTCTCCAAACACCCTCCCTCACGTGGGACCCGAGCTCACAGGCGGGGTCAACAAACAAACTATTCATAACGGGAAATTCAAATGGATAAGAGGCTTGCCCACTAACCACCCAAGGTCCAGCTCTGATACAATGTTAAAGCAACCAACCCAAAGCCAATTAGAAATGGGTGAAGTGGCCCATCAAGCATATAAACCAATCTTGATGGTCCTAATTATTCGATGTGGGATACAAGCTCGGCTAACAATAGGATGCTGAGATTTCAGATGTTACAAATCTTGATGATGGTGCTGGTTACATTGTTGAAAAGGACAGCCACAGCGGATATCATGGTTATGAAATACAGAGGCAGAGATGAGGGAGGTAGAGATTAGTCAAAGGTATTTCCTAAGTGACAGGATGGGTATGGTGTGCTACTGATGGTACTACATCCTAGCAGCAGAGGGCTTTGACAACAGTGGTGATAATGGGACTGGCAGTCCTGACCAATCAAAGGATGGAATCTTTAATTTTTACACATGATACAAATAATAGAGAATCCTCATAAATTTTAATTGCCAAAAAGACCCAAAACCAACAGCAAAGCTGAAATGAACATCAGTGTTTTTCCAAACTGAAAAGAACATTAGGGCTTTTCCCTAGAGGAATGCTAAATGCATTACCTGACCGTTGAGAAGTCCATGAGGAACTTCAACAGAATTCCCAGCAATTACTACTTGAACTATTTCAGCTGCAACACGTTGTTCCTGTCCAAATGATGAATATATGAAGTAAGATAAGATAGATCATCTGATGTTAAGCAACATAAAAATTCAAAAAAAAAGGGAGCAGAAACTATACGAACCATCTCATCTCCCAGATGTCCTGTTATGTGATCAACAAGAAGCTGAAATTGGAGAGGGTTAGAAGAGCTGCTCCCAACACTCAACCCCGATACAAAAACAACATATTTGTCTTCTCCTGTGTGCAGTCAACGTTAATAGTTTTTGGGCCAAGCTCCAAAAAAATAGAGGAGGATACAATTTCAGCAATTTTCACTTGAGAATTGACCAAAGTGAGTTCACTATATCATCAATAATCTCCCTTGTAATATGTTTAACTACTCAAATTCTTAGAAAAGTTCTAGATGCTCTTCTGAGAAAGTTTTACAGGGTGCAATTCCGAACATTTGAAGTTGTGAAACATATCATGAAAAATATAATGCGCATATAGAAAACTAACTTAACCAATGCAAGACCAAATCATTAAAAAAATAGCAAGAACCAAAGTCAGGCTAAACTTTAAAAGGAATGATGGCAAAATAATATGTAAAATCCAATCAGATATTTGGCTTCATTAAAATCCAATCAGATGTTTCGCTTCAAACTTCCATGAAATGTTCACTTCATGATTTTAAACACTAATGAAGAGAAATTGATATGCTTTATGGTTACTGCATAGCTTAAAGTCAGATCACTTTTCTATGGATTTGAGTCAATTTTCTCCCTCTAACACTTACCATCCCATAGCCAATGGCTATATATCATTTACAGATAGTAACTTCTGTCATTACTCCATGTCATATTATCCAAAATTGTTGTTCATCTTAATTTTATTCGTGGCTGTCTTGTTCATATAGTATAGGCTCTTATGCATCCATGTTTATGTTATCCTTTATCTAAAATTTTGGAATTTCGTTTGTGAAAATATATGGCATTTCCATCTGTAGCCATGGTAAGTCCGACCAACAGGTTTACTTGTAAGGCAACCAAAATTTCAAAACTGGCTGGAGGCAGAACAACACCCTCCAGAGAAAGAAACACCAGTAATCAGATCGTGCACATGGCATATTGCAAGAATAAATTATCATGAGTAACAAGACAGGAAGGCTAATTATCCTGTTACCTGATTCAAGTGGCTGCTCTTCCTGATGAGGTAGGCCAGCTTCTAGGACATCTTCGACCAAAAAATCACCACCAACAGTTTCCTTCCCCTGCACAGCTACCACAATCCCTGCCAAACAGAATATCACAACAAATCTTCAGCCCTTACATCAGCATGTAGTACTCTGACAAATCAGTAATGACCACTAATTGATATTCCAGGTTACTTTTCCCATTCAAAACAAAAAGGGATCATACTAGTTTTCTCCATAAACGGATCAAAAAAAAAGTCCCTCTCAAAGATGACAGCTGAATGAGGAAATCCCCCCCAAAAAATATTGGTCTGTTAAAGGACCAACCCATTTTCAGCAAGAACCAGCCGTTTTTTTTTTGAACCAGCCTCAAGATGACTAGAATGCACCTCAAGTACAATTGAAAAATGGCACATGCAATTGATTGCTAGGCTTCTATGCCAAGAAATGACAAGCTGGTTATGATACAGACCTGTCACATATATTGAAGGTATAAGCACAGTTCCAGCAAGTTTAACTCTTCCACTCTCATCTTCCAAAACCAAATCATCATCTGGATGCATAAAGTTATGAGGTTTTACAAGCGGAGTTGCAGATCTCTGCATATTTCAAATTCAAAGATAAAAGCTTCATAAGGCATAAAAAGAACCTGAAACTTAGAAAACAACCTAAAAGAACTAAATTCTTATTCATCAAAAAAAAAATACCTCCTTAGAGTACTCATCAAGAATGGAAGGTTTAAGCTTCATGTGCTTGTACAGGGTCCCGACAATAATGCATTCCTTGCCTTCTTCTAGTTCCAGAACCGTGCAGACTGCAGCCAAACAAACCTGATGGTTTTTTAACTAATTCATGGAACACAAAGGCATAGACATTCAAATAACTCTTAATGCCAATTTGTTTTTCAACACAAAAGCACCTAAGAGAACTATCACATCCACACCTGAAAACAAAACCCCACTACTCAGAGCCAATTTTTTTCTCTTTTTTTCTTTGGGGTTTTTCCACACAATCCCATCCACCCTTTTACCATGAGCCAAGGTCAAGGGAACACAAGATCCATTTATTTCGGATGTAAACATGTATAAGCTGCAACTGATAAAACCCCAACAGTTAAAAATCACTCCACCCTAAACACCAGACCGTTGTCACTTATCCGTATTCTCTTGGATACAATTAGATGAACAAACAACAAAAGATGCAATACATAACTTCATCAGAACAAGTTGACCTCTGAAGCGTAGTTGAACAAAACATGTGGTTAACATGAGTGGGATAGATTAAAAGTAGTTCAAAGCTTCAAACTTGTTCATGTTGAAATGAGGGAATTTCAACAAAAGCCCTACTATAGTAACACCAATATTTAAAACCCCAAATACTTCCCCAGAAGCTTTCTATGACATAGAAAATCAAAGCTTATGGACCCGGAACATAAATACGTTAAAGAATGAGCGGGACAAAATCAAAAAAATTGAACCATATACTACTATAAATACCAATACCCTGAACTCCTGACATAGTGATACTTGAAAACACAATGGATACAAAGTTCCCTCTCAAACACACCTCCATTGACAAATTTAAACAGCTGACAAATATTAAACCCAAAAAACCCCGGAAATATCACTCAGTAAACATCAGAGGATTATATTCGAAAATTGAGACCCACCCATACCCGATACACCAAATTGAACATACAGTTCAAAGATGACAATTTTGCAATCAATAAAGATACAAACTTCAGGAAGGTATTGCCCNAAATGGCACATGCAATTGATTGCTAGGCTTCTATGCCAAGAAATGACAAGCTGGTTATGATACAGACCTGTCACATATATTGAAGGTATAAGCACAGTTCCAGCAAGTTTAACTCTTCCACTCTCATCTTCCAAAACCAAATCATCATCTGGATGCATAAAGTTATGAGGTTTTACAAGCGGAGTTGCAGATCTCTGCATATTTCAAATTCAAAGATAAAAGCTTCATAAGGCATAAAAAGAACCTGAAACTTAGAAAACAACCTAAAAGAACTAAATTCTTATTCATCAAAAAAAAAATACCTCCTTAGAGTACTCATCAAGAATGGAAGGTTTAAGCTTCATGTGCTTGTACAGGGTCCCGACAATAATGCATTCCTTGCCTTCTTCTAGTTCCAGAACCGTGCAGACTGCAGCCAAACAAACCTGATGGTTTTTTAACTAATTCATGGAACACAAAGGCATAGACATTCAAATAACTCTTAATGCCAATTTGTTTTTCAACACAAAAGCACCTAAGAGAACTATCACATCCACACCTGAAAACAAAACCCCACTACTCAGAGCCAATTTTTTTCTCTTTTTTTCTTTGGGGTTTTTCCACACAATCCCATCCACCCTTTTACCATGAGCCAAGGTCAAGGGAACACAAGATCCATTTATTTCGGATGTAAACATGTATAAGCTGCAACTGATAAAACCCCAACAGTTAAAAATCACTCCACCCTAAACACCAGACCGTTGTCACTTATCCGTATTCTCTTGGATACAATTAGATGAACAAACAACAAAAGATGCAATACATAACTTCATCAGAACAAGTTGACCTCTGAAGCGTAGTTGAACAAAACATGTGGTTAACATGAGTGGGATAGATTAAAAGTAGTTCAAAGCTTCAAACTTGTTCATGTTGAAATGAGGGAATTTCAACAAAAGCCCTACTATAGTAACACCAATATTTAAAACCCCAAATACTTCCCCAGAAGCTTTCTATGACATAGAAAATCAAAGCTTATGGACCCGGAACATAAATACGTTAAAGAATGAGCGGGACAAAATCAAAAAAATTGAACCATATACTACTATAAATACCAATACCCTGAACTCCTGACATAGTGATACTTGAAAACACAATGGATACAAAGTTCCCTCTCAAACACACCTCCATTGACAAATTTAAACAGCTGACAAATATTAAACCCAAAAAACCCCGGAAATATCACTCAGTAAACATCAGAGGATTATATTCGAAAATTGAGACCCACCCATACCCGATACACCAAATTGAACATACAGTTCAAAGATGACAATTTTGCAATCAATAAAGATACAAACTTCAGGAAGGTATTGCCCAAAAACGAAGGTTACAGGGCAAATTGAGTTTCCAGTAAAACCCACTTTGTCACAGGATTACATCAAAACTTCAAACACACCAAAACCTCAACCCAAAACACGAAATTGAACATAAGGATAAAAGAAAACAGTGTTGAAATTACTAAACCTGTAAAATTTGCAAACGTATCGACCAAAAAAAAAAGGTTACCGGGCAAATGGGGTTTCCAGTTAGGAAGGAGGGAGTAAAGGAGAGTTCTCATCAAATGGAGCCGAGCAAAGTATATCTGGCTGTACTGTTGACCCCTATACATCTCCTTCCGTATCGCAAAGCTCTCATCCTGTAAGTAATATAAAAGAAGAAAGAAAAATGGCATGAAAAATGGCAGAACAGAAAAAAGTTTTGGAATACCAATACCACAAAGGAACAAATGAGTCGGTGCATGGGAGAGAATATAAGAAGAAGATGATACCAAGGATTGGTACAAGCATTGTTTCCTTTGGAGGTTGTCCTCTGAGTCCAATTCCATGGCTTCCATGGCGGGAAACACTGAAACAGTGAGGGAGGCCAAATGTCTAAAAGTGCATTTCAGACTGTAATTTGGACTCCAATTTATAGTTGAGTGAGAAACACTAAAAAAGTGTTCTTCAAACTTTGACCAAAGCTTTACCAAGTCAACGAGAAAATTTATCTTCACCTAAACGGCTAAACCTATATTTGAGTAAAGGGAAAGTCCATGGCCGCCAGGGGTAGGGTACATAAAATTATAATTTTTTCAACTTAAGTTATAATTATTTTAGATCATAAAAAATTTCATTAAATGCCCTCTCAAATTAGATATTACTCATCAATCTCGGTTGTTTTGTGAACTCATTGTTAACTCTCTCTAAATGATTTGTTCTTCTCTCTTGTATATTTTTTTTTTTTACTTTGTCAAGAATTTTAGAGTAATGATCATAGACAACATTCTTCACTTGATCATCTATCTCAGTATTCTCCTTCTTAGCCTTAGCAAGCTCCTCTTAAAACTCGCCAACTTGAGTCCTTATATCAGTAACCTTTTTCTTCAATAAGACATTCTCCACTATAGAATCCTTAAGTTGCTTCTCAAAAGCATGTGTTGCTCTGACCCTATCAGACTCAACTTGACTCTCGAATAACTCTTATCACTCGATTAACTCGCGAGCAAAGTAAGTCTCGTGTACAAACAACAATGAATGTTTGTTCTTTTCTCGTATTTGCCAATCCCAAGCTTTTTAGGCAACTAAAACCCCAGCTTCCTAGGCAAAAGAAGTCTATAGGCAAAAATGAAGCTCGCGAAGTCCAAATTCTTCAAAATTATGCCTCTATTAAATTGAATAATTAAATGAGGCATAAGAGAGCAATTGTGGGGGGCTTATGTCTTGAAAGTGTCGATCGGCACTTAGTTTGTAGGACCCCAGCCGATCGGCTGACGACTATCCTCTACTTCGAAAAGTGCCTCGCTATCACTCATTGCTTGCCTACCTCTGCCTGACGAGTCTTACTTGGCTAAGGACCAGCCTATGATCTAGAATCTTAGTTAAACTCTACACCGATCATCCAAGAGTTGGTGATAAGGTACCTAGGAACAAGAGTCGTTGTCTAACTTCACTCCCAACTTAGAAGAGTTGGTGATAAGGTTGATCCTATCAACCCCTAGAGTTCGAGTTCCTATGAGATACAGGTTCTTATCACTATACATAAAGACCTCCCGGTACCAAGAAAGGGCATCAAATCTTAGTCTATTCACTCAATACTCTTCTTCAATTTGCTATCTAACTTAAGTATTGATTCACCTAGATTTTCTCTTGTTTTGCAAGTTACTCAAAGCTTCTTCACTGTCATCTCCGTCCTTACAAGATGGTGACTCCTTATGCAAAATTTTCCTAGCACAGATACCAAATTGTTGTGACACTTCATATACACCTTTTGATACTCTTTTAGCGATATACCAATAAAGCTTTCACATCCGTTACTCTTCACTATTAACCTTGCTGATCTCGCCATCCTCATTGCTTCCTTTCAATAAGAATAGCCAAAACTTGTTGATCTCGAACACTTATAACAAGTTTCCTAAACTCTTGGTTTCCTTACTCCCCTCTATTCCTTTCCCTAACCTTAAGCACATATCTCATGTTTCTCTTACTTCTCATTGCAAAACAAAGCAAGTGACTTTTTATTTTTCATTTTCGCTTAAAGAAAAAAACTTCTTTAATTACATGCATACATGGAATTTACGTCATATACAGCAGGTTACAATGATGTTTTTCTTTTTCTTTTCCTAATTCAAGTTTTTGTTTTCTATGGTTAATAGAAAATTTCTTTTGTGGAAAGCTTTTGTATCACATGTAGGATAAATACTTGCACGAACATTGCACGTATACGATCTCTATTGGTACACATGTATTGCACGTATACTATTTTTCATATTTATTAAAAACACTAGGTTGATAAAGTTGTCAAATTATTTCTATCGTTGCTTACATGAACTCGTACAAAAATAGAAACTAACATAAAGAATAACAATAAGATAAAGATGTTGTTTTCATTGACAATGAATGCAAATGCATGCTCAAATATATATTCATGACTTAGGGATCTCTTTAATATCTTTCAAATTCCATACATCATCTTCCCAAACAGTCTCTTCATTCTCTGCATAATGTTGACCTGATTCAACATCCACATGCGGGTTCCAAATCGATGACCACCTCATTTATTCCTTGTTGTAAGTCAATTGACAAAGCCACTCATCCCATCCGGGAGCGGAGCCAGACATATTATCCAGTGGGGTAACCTAAACTATATTAATATTAAAATTTAAAATATTAATAAAAATATATTTTTATTAATAGAACTCCAATTAAAGACGCAATTCATATACATGGGCGATATATAAAATGAGCCAACAAAAAAAATTATAGATTTATCTATAAGACCTAACAAAAAAATTTTGAACCACAAAATTGGATTCAATCATATATTAAATTTTAAGAAAAATTTTCATAACTAATTCAAAAATTAATTTATTCAATCACAAACTTAATATTCATCATTAAATTTTAACAAACAATCGAAACTAATTTAAACTATAATTATTCTAGTAAACTAAACCCAGGTATATGAAGTACTTAACTTATTACAATAAAACTGTTCAAACTACCAAATCAAAATAATTTAGTCTAATTATAATGGAGAACATCATGTCCTAATTCCAATTTTACAAATAACAATAAAACAAATGAGACGACTACAAGTCATAATTCTAATTCAACATATAAAAATAAAATACTAGAAATGACTACAAACTCAAATATCAATTAAATATATATAAAAATAAATCATATAAGAGAACTACAAGCCTCAATTATATTTCAACATAGAAAGATAAATACAAGATTACAAATCCTAGTTTCAATTCAATACATAAAAAATAAAACATATAAGATGATTACAAGCCCCAATTTTATATTTTCAATTTAACATTTAACAAATAAAATACAACAGAGAGCTACAAGCGCTAATTTCAATTCAACATTTAAAAAATAAACCATAAAAGAGAACTACAAACCCTAATTTTCAATTCTAACTTATAAACATAAAACAAAAAAGAGGATTACAAGCCCTAAATTTAGTTCGATGTATAAACATAAAACAAATGAAAGGGCTAACCTATTTCGTAACATATTAGTTTATCTTTAAATGTCCAAATTTTTGATATCATATTCCATTGATATTTACAAGTAAGGTTCATATATTTGTCAAAATAACATAACTACACTTAAATCTTTTAAAAAAATTCAGTAGAGGCAAATATCTAATAAATTTTTAAATTTTTAAAATTACACTTAATCCCCAAAATTTTTTAAAATTTCAGTGGGGGCAACTGCCCCACTGTGGATCTGCCCCTGCACTCATCCCAACACTTGATATCCTATAATCTCTCGATCAAGTCCTTCGACAATACAACGTATGATTTGCTTCTATTATCCTTCACCGCCGAGCTTGATGTCGTCGCAGTCGTCACCATTGACATATTTTCTTCAATTCAGATGCCACTAGAGTCTGTTGATTTGAAGCTATTACTGTAGCTTCCCTAATTTTTGCATTTTGTTCTATGCATTGTTTCACTTCTTTTACATCATGCATAGAACTCATATTTCTCTTAGTTTTTAATATAAATTTGCTATCTTATAGAAATTTTATAATGTTTTTTTTATGATTCTCCTTGCCATTAATAAAACATAACATAAATTCAGAGAATCTAAATGAAATTGTAAAAAAAAAAATTAATAATATCAACACATTGTACAATCGAATGCTTCTCTAATATAATTAGCGTTTGAATCGTCAGTGGAGTTTTTACGTCAATGTCGTCAGACCTTATTCTGTAATTTTTCTCTTTTTGTGTTTTCATGCTAGCTAGTGTACTTTTTACTATAAAGCGATTGCTTGTTAGATTACTTCAAACACACTAGATTTGAATATCATTGGTATATTGATTGAACGGATTTATTGTATCAAAATTAAGTTATATGTGTTTGAACACTAATTCATTTATTTAGACCCCAAACTGTGACTTGCAACACAGTTCCCACAAAAGTGCCCTTCTATTAAGCTATTTACTGCTCTACAACAATTTTAAAATAAAATTATCAAAATCTGATATGTTTGGACTTATTTATCAAACTACGATATCTTTTCAAAAGCGAGATTGTTAACTACTATTTTGTTTGGTAATTTTGTTTCAAAAATACTGTAGAGTGATTAATAACTCCCATTCTACATTCTATTAGTGTCATCCATATTTTTGTGATACCATGTTTAAGAGCATGAATCCAATTTTGGTATCGGTATCGTACTTTTATTTTTTATCCAATAAAATGATGACATGTTTAAAATATTTTTTTTTTAATTTATATTACATTATTATTTTCACAATTGCACCTATATTTTTGTTGGGGGTGTAATAGATTATCATTGAGAGCATGTGCAAGTTACCTTAGAAGTGTTCGCATTAAAAAATATTACACAACCTAAATCGAACTTAAAAAGTGTAATATAAATACATATTATTACTACCGTGTCACACGATAACATATAAAATTTGAGAGTATAAAAAATCGATTTCACTATATTAAATTTTTTAAAAATATATTAACTACAAATTAATTAAATATTAAATAATTAAATATATGATAGAAATGAGTGGTGTGATATTTTTAGGGAGGAAATATATAAATGATTAAATATGTGATAGAAATGAGTGATGTGATTTGACGTTTGACTCTGACAAAGGGATGATGAGTGAGTTAAGAGATTGGTGATGATTTTGAAGGGAAAAATATGACTGGGATAAAATTCAAACACACTCCTGTTTTATTATATAAATTTATGAAGAATTATACTCCGACCTCCTGAGGTTTATCATTTAATCATTCAGACTTCCTGACATATAAAATATTACACGCATACCCCCTGAGGTTTTGTATACGTAACACTTAGACCCTGATTTAAATATATATATTAATAAATTACACTTAGACCCCAAGAAGTTTGTAGGTATATAATACTTAGACCCTTTAAGTTTAAAATATTATACTTAGACCAAAAATACTCTAATAAAATATAGAATATCAAATATTTTAAATTTTATAACGAAAATTCATATTTTATTGTATCATTAATTGAAATAAAATTAAAATTAAAAATTTATTTTTTTCTTAAATAATCGTAATTAGTATTCAATTATACCATCTATTGGAATAAAACTAAAAAATCAAACAAGGAGTCTAAGTGTTACGTATACAATCAAATTGAAATACCAAACTACCCAAATTAAAGTTAAAAGATATTGTGTCAATTACAGTTTGACTCCTTGTTTAATTTTTAGTTTTATTCTAATAAATAGTATAATTATATACTAACTATGATTTTTTTTTAAAAACTAAACTTTTATTTTTAATTTTATTTCAATAAATGAAATAATAGAACATGAATTTTAGATGTAATTTACACAATTAATGAATTTAATTTTTTTCTTAAAAAATCACAATTAATTTACAATTATATTGTCCATTATAATTTAATTTGGTCGTTTAAACAATCAAATTAAATACCAAACTACCCAAATTAAAGTTAAAAGATATTGTGTCAATTACAGTTTGACTCCTTGTTTAATTTTTAGTTTTATTCTAATAAATAGTATAATTATATACTAACTATGATTTTTTTTTAAAAACTAAACTTTTATTTTTAATTTTATTTCAATAAATGAAATAATAGAACATGAATTTTAGATGTAATTTACACAATTAATGAATTTAATTTTTTTCTTAAAAAATCACAATTAATTTACAATTATATTGTCCATTATAATTTAATTTGGTCGTTTAAACAATCAAATTAAATACCAAACTACCCAAATTAAAGTTAAAAGATATTGTGTCAATTACAGTTTGACTCCTTGTTTAATTTTTAGTTTTATTCTAATAAATAGTATAATTATATACTAACTATGATTTTTTTTTAAAAACTAAACTTTTATTTTTAATTTTATTTCAATAAATGAAATAATAGAACATGAATTTTAGATGTAATTTACACAATTAATGAATTTAATTTTTTTCTTAAAAAATCACAATTAATTTACAATTATATTGTCCATTATAATTTAATTTGGTCGTTTAAACAATCAAATTAAATACCAAACTACCCAAATTAAAGTTAAAAGATATTGTGTCAATTACAGTTTGACTCCTTGTTTAATTTTTAGTTTTATTCTAATAAATAGTATAATTATATACTAACTATGATTTTTTAAAAAAAACTAAACTTTTATTTTTAATTTTATTTCAATAAATAAAATAATAGAACATGAATTTTAGATGTAATTTATTAAATGATATTTTTACATCAGGGTCAAAGTGTTATGCGCTTACAAACTTTAGGGGGTCTGTGTGTAATATTTTAAATATCAGAAGATTTGAGTGATTAGGCGACAAATTTTAGAGGATCAAGGTGTAATTCTCCCTATTATTTACTTACCCAAAAAAAAAATAATAAATGCACATTATTCATTGAAATTGGAAGAGTGTTAGATGTGTAGGTGTGAAAATTTGATGGAACCGCTCATTTAAAACTAATATATATTTGAATTATAATTTTTTAAATTTTATTTAAATTGTGCAATATTACTTATCCTCGTTAAAGACGTTTTGTATATTGGTGTAAGTTGGTGAAATTGTCCTTTATGGTCATCAATGGCGAGGCGGGAGTACAACAAATTGGTGGACAACTTTGTCCGTTACATGTATACTCCAACGAGCGCGCACGCACACACGCACACTTATTAATGAAAAAGTTTATTTTATCACTTTACTCGCAAGTCGTACACTATTTTACATATTAAGTGTGTTTATACATATACATACATACCAACAACCCTTTGGTTCTAATTTAATTAAATAAAATATTAATTGGATTAAACATAATGTAAATTTGATGAAAATGAATATTAGTTTAGTGTTAATTTAAAAAATAATATTAAATTGATAAAATAAAATATTAAATTAGTAAAATTGACTGGTGATTTGACACAATTAAAAGTTAATTTAGTGTTAAACTGAATAAATGATATTAATTTAATAAATTTAATTGTTCAATTCATAAAATTGAATGTTAATTTAAGATGGAGTGGCCGTGAGAAAGACGAGGTAGAATTGACATTTTTGAAAAAAATGTCAATATTTAGTAACAGATCATCACTCTTTTTTTAAAAAAATTTTAGTAACAAATCATCACAACAAGTGAATATATGAAACAGAATAAAGTGCAGCAAAATTTCGGAATCGATAGAAAATTTAGTTGAAGTTAAATCTATCTATAAGGAGTGTTGATGAAATTCACCCTTTTTTCATCTAAAAATTGTGTGTGCTTATTTTTTGTTTTTAGATTATGCTAAAACAATATGAAAAATAAATGAATTTATAACTTTTTTCTTTTTATTGTGAAAAATATCTTTTTCTATGTACAAAAAACCCTAGACCCAAAAAAAAATATTATACTCCATCGTGATTCGATCGAGTGGTATATATAATTACACGTAATTTTATCAAGATTATGCACTCTAAATTTTAAACAGGCAAAAGTGAGACAAAAAATATCACTATTTAGTGCAATATTATCTATTTCCTATTTTTTATCTGATTTTTCATTTACTCTATCATTATTTATAAATGAATTTTTAGTCTTATCTTCTTGCTATTGTGAAAAAATATATTTTCTATGTACGAAAATGCCCTCGGGCACATCACATCCCCAATTGAACCAAATGAGCTCCCAGTTCTACAGCTCCCAGACCCAATTAATATCCCCAATTGCACCAGAAAATTAGGGTTTCTATCAACCAATTCAAATCTCCATAACTATATATATTTGAATCAATGTCTTGTTCAGTTACAAATTTGATTCCTATGTTGTCTGGACTATGCTCGTTTTCTTCCACTTCTAACAGTACCACTACTTGGTTAGCTTCTCTGGCTATTTTCCCGGAAAATGATCGGAAAATTTGCAATGGCAAGAAAATAAGACGGAAAGTGGAGATCCACAGAGTTTCCATCTGCAGAGCAATGGTTTCGAAGACCGTCCAAGGAGCGTCAGCTGCTTATGCTAAAGAAATGGAGAGACTTTCAGCTAAGGAATCTCTACTACTCGCTGTGAGTTTCTTATTTCTCTAACATTTTTATAATTTTTGATTTAGTAGAGCAAGAATCATCTCTTTATTGCTTTTATTGTCAATCCTGGTTCATTGGTCAATATAATTTTTGAAAATTTTTCAGTTTTGAGTGTTGTAGAATGTAGAGTGTAGCCTGTATGTTGTCATCCTGGTTCGTTGGTCGCTTTGATTTGAAATGTATTGGCTTGAATAGAAAATTTATTGCCTCTGTTAACATTTGTTTGTTTGTCTTTGATTTCTTCATCAATCCTCGGTCATTGATGGAGGGGAGCAATTTTTCGACTTTCTGTTAACATATATTTATGTATCTACACAACGTACACACACATACATATATAACGATGATGTAATATGTGTGTATATATATATATATATATATATATATATAATATATAAATTGATTCATCTCGCAAAATCATTTACAGGCTACATTCCTTCTTCTTTTTTCTTTTTGTTTTTTCGAGAATTAATGTATCATGTTGGTTGCTTCCACTTCTTGCCGAAAATAAGATTTTCAGTCAATCATGGATAGGATTTACAATTACAGGAGTATAAGTTCCTGGATTTAATTTTGAATCCTGTATGATGTGAGTGTGCATGTGCAGCTTATCATTTTTCTTTGTGGGGTAATTTTTATAGGTATTTTGGTTTATGCATCTGCTGGCACTTTCAGATTTTGATTCGAAAAACTGTTCAATTTTATTTTTAAGTGCAGGTGCAGGGATACTTTCGTTAAAGTAGCTAGTTTTTTTTTTAGTTTTGCTGATATATATTTTTTATAAGCTGATTTAAGCTCTCTGATTTGGTATGTTTTGAGAATTTAATAGTTGACTTTGATAACTTTATTTTTTGTTGGCAGGGGGAATGTCTCTTTTGATTTTTTTTTTTCACTTGATTCAAAAACCATAGGCTTTGAATTATGAACTGGAAGACAAAAGAGTTTTATCTTTAAGTTTGTATCTATCGTATTTGTATAAATATTGGCTCAATTCTTTGGTTAAATTTGGTAGTTTGTTATTTGATTGAGTAAATTTGTCAATTTGGAGGTAATTTTTCTTGGACTGAGCAAATGTAGGGCGATGGGTCCTTCTTGTCTTGAGTCAAAATTATTTTATAACTTTTTATGGGCTTTCAAAATGCTTGCAGCAATTGAGGTCTCTCAGAATTCTATTCTGTGGATTGATGTATTCTTTGTTAATATGAAAGATTGTTTAATTGTTTTTTGAGGTGCACTTCTGTCCTTTTAAGTACTATCCATTTGGCAATATTGATCACCAAGAGTCCTGATTTATTGTCAAGTTTGTTGTATAAGAGCACGCTTGTATTTTGAATGATTTTTATATTCATCGGGGTAATTGATTTGGCAATTTGTAAATTCACGAATGGATTTTGTGGATGTTTATTTCAGTTCAGAGATGCGGGGGGCTTTGAGGCATTAGTTACTGGAAAGACGACAGATATGCATCGAATTGATGTGAATGAGAGAATAATTGGCCTTGAGCGACTCAATCCAACACTTCGGCCAACGACGTAGGCGCTTAGTCTGCCAAATCAATTTAATGTGTACAACTTATCCATAAGATGTTCATTTGTGCTTTCAGCTATTCAGGTCTCCCTTTTTGGAAGGTCGATGGAATTTCGAGTGGTTTGGATCTGGAAGCCCAGGACTATTCACTGCCAGAATCATATTTGAGTAAGTGCTCCTAGCTACTCCCACTCCCCCTTCTTTTTTCTTCCAAAAGGGAACATTAACTTTTTTTCCCTCTTATAAGAAAACAGATTGTATTAGGGAGAGTAAGGCAAGACAAGGCTCATAATGATGAGAGATTCCTCCTTAAAGAGAAACAACTAGCAAAAAGCAGAGATGAAGAAGGAAAAAAAACAAATGAATCCCTCCTAGCGAGTAAAAAAACACCATCTCTGCAAAGAGGAAGAAATGGCCTCAAATGAATGAAAGAGAGGCTGTGCTTTCTTGGCAAAAGTGTTGGCTTTCACATTTACTGAAGTTGGGATCCATGTATTGATTACTTGAATGTGAGAGAGTGACTCCAGTATCCCTCAAGCAATTGTCATGGAAAACAAAAGGATAAGAACCACTTTTGATCTGGGAATCATCAAATCCATAAAGAAATTGCCTCTTTAAGGCCTTCCAAGAGATCCAGATCTTTGTTGTACTAGTATAACCTGTTTCCGCAAGCTTTGAGAACACTGGGAAAAAAATAAATAAATCGTGTATTTACTTCAATGTTTCTAAATAATGCTTCAAAAGGTTTCTTGGTTGAGCTTTTAAATTTATTGACACTCGAAAGGCAACCAGGAGTTGAATCTAGCATATGGTTGAATTAAATGGCAGCTAACAATGTTATTGCAAACTTCATGTTGTTACAGGAGATTTCCTTCAAATTTGGCAAATCTATGGAAAATGGATGTGGTGATTAAGGATGGATATGCGAAGATCACAGCAATCATGAGATTACTGAACTCGGTAATATCTTTTGGGGGACCTTCTTTCTGCTCAAATTATGTCTTCATGACGTTTGTGAGCATTCAAAGGAGCATTCTACTTTCTTAAGTTGAACTGTTAGTACAACCGTTGTCGCATCTGTACCTCAATTTAAGCACAACGTTTTGTTTGGAATCTGAGCTTAAACAGACCATTGATGTCCACCCCAATCTGGTAGGTGTCATTTAAGAAAAAAGAAAACAAAATTACTGATGTGTAAATATATTAATAGTTAGAGTACTGTGCAAAGGATTGTGGGCATGAATTGTTGACTAAAATAGTTATGGGAAAGTGTGCATCGAAGTTGTAGCCCCCAATAGTTTCACGGTACGCATCCCACAATAAGTGTGCAATTTGATTTAGAAGTTGTTCTAGACATTATGTGACCAAACTTAGCATCGGCCATCCATGTACTCATTCACTTTCTATGAAATGAAAGTTTGCTTTCTTATAAAAAAAAAAAAAAAAAGAGCTTTCTCTATTGTTTCAGCTTGTAGAAATCACCTCAATAGTGCTCAAGAATGTTTTTGCTGAGGAAAGGTGGTTGAATGAGCCACTAAGGATAGTCACATATCGCTGTACTAAACAGTATGGAGGTAATAATAATCTTTAATTGGGAGGACTTGGGAACTGCTGGTGCAAGCATTTGATTCTTCCAAACTATGAGGTGTGCATGCTGCTTCTTTGGTCTGAAAAGAATTTTTCAGATTGTAGGGTCAATACCTCGTGGTTCCAAATGATTGAAATGCTTTCCCATTGTGTGGGTGTCTGCCAAAGGGCTGGTGCTGAACCATTCCACCCTATCATTAAAAGGGCGACCTGGTTCAGTGTTAGTTTCAATCATCATGAACTTTGCAGCTTTAGGTACGGCAATGATTAAAGTCAGTTTGGTAGCATTGTTGACTTTTTCATGTTAATTGATTGTTTCGTTCAGTGGTTATGGTATGCGATGGTGGTGGACATACATTGTGCGTGGAGGGTGATAATGATTGTGGAGCTGACACATTTGTGGTTATAAATATGGAGGTGGTGGTTCTTTAATTGTAGAGGCAGTGGTTGTTGTCTTAGGTGACAGGATTTTTTGGAGTAGATGCAGTGATATTGATTCTAGGTGTTACTGGTTTTCTGGTTTTTACATGGTGGGGTATTGATCAGTGCATAATGGTTGTTGGTGGGTTTGCTTCACAACTACTCTCACATGGTAGACTATGTATAGCTTACCATATGGTGGAGCATTTTTGGCATTTGGCTTTGCCGATGATGAGGTGGGTTTGTAGATAACTACGTATTTTATATGATTTTGAAGTTAAAATGTGGATATGTTCAATTTGGAGGGAGGTGTGAATGGAAGAAAAAACATGTATCTGGCTTCCATAACAATTACTTAACTTCCGTTATGCTCTTCGTCCATTATGCCCTGTGCTACCATATGGTGACTGTTACTATTACCATTATTTAAAACCATGATCTATCATCATGTTCGACCATAAGAACCTGAGGTTTTGAAAAATGAGGTGGTGTTCTCATTTAAAGGAGCTGCCCAAACTCCCAACGAATATGTGTGGAGCCTTATGATGCATGAACTTAGGTATGAGTGTCGGCCCCTGGTATGAGTCTAAGCCTCATATTCATTGAAATTTGATATCCAAGAACACGGTTGTATGGCGAAATATTCCTATGTGTTTCCTTCAGTTCAAATGATGATATGGTGTTTTCTGACATATGTTCACTAATTTAAAACAAGTATGCAACAAAATGAGCATATCAAGAGAGTTTTATGTAGAAATACAGAGTACACATTATATTCTTGGTATGCTACATTTGAGAATATTTAGCAGATGTATCATAGGTGGAGCCAAATCGCCACCAGTTAGGATTTGAACTTCTGAGTGGAAAAATGTTTTGGCATTTCATTAGCATAGGTGGTTTTCTGTGGAGAGTGAGACACTAAATGGTTGTTTCACACTGTTACTCACCACTCAGTGTGTATTTATGAGATTGCTCCACTGAAACGTTATTTTTTCTCACTACCCAAAACTCTAAATTAATCTGTTTTCACTACCCAGAAAAGTGCTTTATGTCAAACTCTAACAGGTGGGTAAGACTGCAAATATTTGGTTTTCCATGGACCCCGAAGTGGCGGGAGCCTCGTGAACTGTGTATCCCTTTTTTAGTCATAGTTGTTTTTGATGATGTGCCTGTTGCCATTTGAGGTTGGATATGTGTATGATTCACACTGTATTATGTATTGTTCCATATTTCTTAATTGCCCAAAAAGGAAAAACTTTGCTATACATATGTTTCTGAATAGATCTAAGGTAAGCAGCAGTACCTTGTAAGTTGCAGCAAATCCGTGAAAAAAAAATATTTTCACTATGTTGACATCTGTTACAGTAATGAATTGGAATCAGACAGATTAATAGAGTATTTGTTAAGAGTAATAGATGTGTAATACTAGAGAGTTAAACTGTACATTATAGGCTGATATGGTAGGAATTTTGAAAGTTTCTTTTTCACATAATGTACATTGACCTGTCTGCATTGCTTACAATACTCTTCTCCTTATTATTTATTGGATTTTTATGTTAGGTTTTGGATTTATTAAATTTTCTGTTGTTATAAAAAATCATTCTTATATGATCGTCCAAGATTACGTTGTTTGTTTAGTGGGAGCTTTTCTTTGGATTTACTTTGAGCTTTTTCAGAGCTGATTATTAGTGCATTCTGGTTAGGATTTTTGAAGTAGTTTAGGGAAAGGTATTTGAATCTCACAACGTTAAGTATTTTGTCTTTGAATACCTCATGGCATCCAGAGATAAGGGTAAACATACTTATAGGTTTCTACTTGCTGCTGTTTGCTCGAGACTGTTGGTTATTATATGTAATCACAAAATTCTTGGTTGTGTTTTGGCAAAGATTGAGGTATTCTGGTGAAATGCAGATAGAAAGCAAGTTTATTCTGTCAACCAAGTTATCTGTAGAGGGACCACTTCGATTTAAAGAAGAATCTATTGAAGGATTGCTTGAAGCTCCAAAGGTTGACGAGGATACCATTCCTGAACAGGTTAGAGGTGCTTTTGGTCAGGCGGTTAGCACAGTGCGGCAACTTCCTGCTCCTATTATGGATGCTGTAGCCAGTGGGCTGAAAATTCCTCTTAGTGAGCATTTAGCTTTTGCCTTGAATATTTCAATTGAGCAGACATCGTTAGTTTGATTTAAGTATTTACAATAATCTCTTCGTTTTAGATATATTTTCTACTATGTTCTGTTGCTGTTAAGCACTGAGATTTGAAGAATCGTTGTTTATGCCCATTGAGTTTATGTGCAAAGTATCCAGAGCCAACAACAAACGTTAAATCTGAAGCACTAATATTGGAGGAATGATTGTTTATGTCAATTGAGATGAGCTAAGTATTGTGTCCCTTTGCAATATTCTATGCTTGCCCTAGTTTTCATGACACCCATGGAGTGCTCTCTCAAGGTGTCCTCTTTTCCTTTTTACTTGGCCACTTGGTGGTTCAGACTTCAGAGTTCATGGTAGTGTTAATTTCTGAAGGTTTTACTGGAGGTCATTTGAAGAGCTCAACCATTCTTGCTCGACATCATTCCACTCAGCTTTTGGGTCTTGTTGTTTGAAGAATATTCCTGATGCACTCAATGTCTATCGATTGGTTGAATAATTATCATAGGCTTTGGAAGTCTAAAACAAAGATCGTGGATCCCAAGGATACAAGAAGCTTTGGTAGTTAATAGAGTCAGTCATATATTATTTTAGGTTAATAAGCTTCTTTTCAAGTGTAGTTATGTTTTACTAGGGTTATCGAGTGAAGGGTGTTTTGGTCTTTTCAAAAATTGGTGGACATATGTTCTAGCTATTGTCAATGGGTCTTATTTTGGGTCAAATTTTGTTATTTTGGTTTTATTTAAAGGCCAAGTTATCTAGACTAATCCTAGTAGTGAAAGGTCAAATTTTTGGGAGTCTTAGTTCTAATTGTAAGTAGTAGTTTTGTAGCCTATAAATATGTGTCATATCTTAATTTAGTGAAATCTCTTTATGAGAATTATGTCGCCTGACTTTGCAACAGTGAACATGATCCTTAGTTTTCTTTATATTGTGGCCTTTTACACAATTATACATGCAGTCTGATGTCAAGAACCATTTTTGAACCCAAAATGTCCTAGTTCAAAGCCCAATCTTTCATTCTGTTAAAGGCTTAATCCTAGCAACCTAAAACCCACGAAAAATTAGCCTTTTACATTTCAACGCATCTTGGACAACTCCCTTGAGTTGTTACCATTTAAATCTTCATTTTAATGTCAACTCAACAAACTATTAAGTCTTACTGCCTTGAATCAGCTACATGAATCCATTACATTGAGCTTTGTCTAGCTTATATCTCCATCAAGTATTTAGTTAATATGCTCTTTGCATTGCTTCAACTTTTATTCAGCCATTTTTCGTAATTGATGCATTTATTGTCTTAAGTCCAAAATAGAAAAATAAAGATGATTTTCTTTCATCCTCCCCCCGTATGATAGCAATTAATCTGATTTCAACTTTTTTTGTACTGGTGTTTACCCAACATCCTTGATTCCACTAACACAGTTATAAACTTGTTCCTTGACTGCCGCCAAACTTGTGAGATGATGATGGTAAAGCATAGCGCCATAAGCCCCTCATGGAAGTTTTTGTGAATTTTTCTTTAATAGTTTTCTTTTTGGGACTGGTGGGAGGGGAATTTCTTTATGCACATTTCTCTACTTCGTCCGCAATGCTCTCATGGAAGTCTTGGTGAAATTTTCTTTATAGTTTTCTTTTTGGGGCTGGTGGGAGGGGAATTGCTTTATACTCATTTCTCTACTTCATCTGCAATGCTCTGATGCTATGGCAAGGTCCTGACTTATTTATAAACTTCTATACAAAATAACATGGCAAATTGTTTTTTGGGTTCTTTTAATCATCACTTACACAATTCTTGATTTCTGCATTTTTACTCCTCACCATCAACTTAGTAAGATTTTCTTCGGCTTTTGCATGGGAAACATGTTGCATACAATGTTTTTGCATTTGATTTATGTCTTTCCAACATGAAATGGTCCAGCCCCTCTCTTTTAGCAAAAAATGTCAGTAAACAAGTAAGTTAAACAAAAGGGGAAAAGAAACGTTTTTTTGGCAAACAAGGGTGAGTTTTTATTTTGTGTAGCTTTTCCTCGTACACTTGTAACCTGTTCTGTTAGTGAATCAGTTCTAAAATTGTACTCTTTTGACTACAGGTGGGACTTTCCAGAGACTTTTTATGATTTCCTATCTCGATGATGAGATCCTAGTAAGGTTTTTAGTGCAGATATTTGTGTCATCAAATTTCCAAACACTTTGTGCCTTTAGTTTCTTATCTGGTAATCTTGCTTCTGAAGATGAAAAAAAAAACGAGTTTTTTGATAATTTCTTTCTTTCACGTTGTTTGCTGTTATTAGCGTTGGTGCAACAGCGGCTATGTGACTACTTCTCATATGGCACTTGCTTGTGTTTGCTAGCCTAATATATCTATGGCCTTGTCCACACTATGAAGAATCACCTCAGATAAAAGGATTCTCCGCAGTGAGGACAAGGTCATAGAATTTGTTGCAAAAATCTAGTGTCGTCATACTTGTGTTCTGTTTCCCTATGACCCTAACTTGTGGCAAATGACGTTCGAACTCCTTTTTGTATTATTGACTTCCCTTGTTGACCTTGACTTTTTGGCATATTTTGAAGTAGGGATTCATCTATATGGTAAGGGTCTTTTGGTTATTTTATCATTATAATGAACTCTATTGAAGAGAAATTTTTTTTCTCGTCATTTTCTATCATTAAAATTACATGCCTCAAATGGAAAGGTACCAATAACATCAATCTCAGGGGTGAGAAATGGAAAATGTGAAAATAGTGATGGAATTTTCTGCTGCTAGGGGTTATAATGATCTATTAAACCATCTGGTCCATGACTTGCACCACATTTACTTAGAAGCTTTGGATGAGGTTATGAGTACTGGGTTTGCCATGTGTTGTTGGAAAAATATTGTAAATATACCGTGAATGTGGTGCATATATTCACAGCATATTATGCTAATTTCATTGAATTCTTATTTTGATGGTGGTCTTGATGCAGATAATTAGGGATACTGCTGGAGTGCCTCAAGTTCTTACTAGGTTGGATGCGGTACCATCTCCCATGACAGAATCCGTGCCAGAGTATGAGAGTTAGAAAGAGTTCGTTTTCCACTTGTAAGAACTACTACTTTTTTCCTCCACACGAATAACAATTTAAAACTGGAGTATAGTAAATATCACTGGAATTATTTTACAAAATTTTGTTGTGCCTTCTATTGTTGTGTGTATGAGTAAATCTTCAACACCAGAGGACTTGGTAAAGCTTTCCCCTGTTCTCAAATTCAAGTCAATTGACTTATTAGATGAAGCGGTTGATCTTAACAAATACCGGAAAGGTAACTTGTCATGTTGTTATCGAAGCTTCTTCTTATTATGTTCCTGATTTACAGATTTAGATTCACACGTGAGAAAAAAAATATGTATATATATTTGTATTCACACAGTGATTGGCATACAATACTAAAACTATATGGGTTCATGAAGCATAGTCAAAGAAATTTGGTATTGGGTGTGGGTGTGAAATATGAATCTACTTGACTGAAAACGTGCCATGCTTCTCTGACTTTCGAATGTGGAAACAATTTCAAGAGGAGAGGGTATTTAATACAAACTTGGTCTTGCTTTTGGGGAGGACTTTCTTGTGACCTCATGAAGGACTTCTATCATCTTATTCTAGTCCCCCGACCTCTTTCTCTCCCCTTTATCTGTGTGTCAAGGTTTGGTGGTCATCGAAGTGCACATAAATTGGTCCAGATACCTTGGTATAGAGATGGTGAAAGGGACAAACTAGATACACAATTGAACAATGTTTGTTTTCGAGTAATTGTTATGTGGACACTAATATTCATCAAAAGGAGTTTAGCTCTCTCAAAAGCTGTGCTCCCATTCTCTCAATGTCTTTCTACGCGATTTTTGTTTGTGAATTAATCTCTATAAAATAGGGATAAAATTATCGCTTATTTCTCACAAACCGTCATATAGGCCGGCGGAATCTTATGCTGATCTTTTTTTTAAGCCTTATGATGATTCATTCATCATCACTATTATACTTTTATTTTGCCTAGATTGTAACACTATTGATGCATTTATTTATGGGTTTCCCTTGTTAATGTGAACTCTATTTAATATGGATGTGGTATCAATTTGACATTAAACGGTAGATAAAATTCAAATATATTAGATTTAATTACACATATAACCCTTAAATTATGACCCTTGTATCAATTAAGTTTTTGAATTTTTTTTTTTGTTTATTGAGTCATTGAATTCTTTTATTGTGTCAATTGAGCTCTTTTATCGGTCTCTGTTAGATTTTTTTAGTAGAAAGTGGTGAAATATGTCACTCACATGACACAAATGGTTGGAATAAACTATATATATAATCCTCAAATTATAATTCTTTTGTCAATTAAATTCTTGAACTTTTTATTTTGTGTCAATTGAGCCATTGAACTGTCAATTGAGTCCTTCTGTCTTTTTGTGTCATATAGTCACGTGAGTAACACATTCTAAAAAAAAAAAAAAATGACTCAATTGAAACAATTAGAGAATTCAGAAATTCAATTGACACACAAAAAAAAATTAAAATTTAATTAACACAAATATCATAATTTAAGGGTGATCTATATATTTTACTCAATATATTATGTAACCCTTGTGCAGGGATAACCTTATTCATTTCATATAGTTTTCAACTTGTGATGGTGTGGGCCCGCCCAAAAAATTAATGTTGCAAATTGTCAAAAAATTTATGAAAAAACGTAGACTTTAGGCTGTTCCCAAGTCAAAATAAATTGGATTTTTTATATGTTGGAAACTGTGGATGAAATGTACATACATCCTATTGGTTGTTTTATATAAGTTATCTATCATCAGAATACACGTCAATAAACCCATGTTCTATATCTCTAAGACAACTATGTTATAAAAGTCTCATCATTTTTTTTTCATTAGTTTCGAAATTACTTTAATTTTCTGGTTTGATTTCATGTTTTTTTTGTCTTATTTGTATTGATATTTAACTATTATAATGAACAATTAATTGTTTCAACGAAGAATAAAGAATGTCATACCCAATTTGTTTGTCTCAATTTAGTTCTGAAACTATTAAAATCGTAACAATCAACTACATCCGTTCAATTTTTATATTAGGAAAAAAAAAAAGAAAAACTAGAAAAATAAAAGTAATCTGAGGAAATTAAAACAAGTGTCGAAGATGTATTTTCTCGTTAAAAAAACGGAAAAAATAGATGGAAAAAGTTGATTGCTATGATTTACATAATTTAATGATTGAATTAAAACAACTAAGAAGTTAATGCCACCTCTTACAACTATGGCAATGAGACATTTTTTACCCATGTCTTTATAATTAGAGAGGGAGGGAGTATGGGGGCTTGAAGGTCATCTGATCTCCAGGATAATGACTCCGTAATATTTAATACCCATAAGTATTCGATGAAACAATAGTTCTTACCATATTACCTTCGAGAATACTACTATTTTACGAGAGGGACTCTGTTAGTGTAATGACAATGATTAATTAGATATACAAATTAAGTTCAAATAATATAATTGACTATGAAGCGAAACGAAGTTGTCTGAGTATTAGATCTCTGCACGTAGTCACAATTCTAGTCTTTTATACTTTATAGGGTTTGGAGAGGAGGATGAGGGGGAAGGAGGGATTGGGGGGGGGGGTTGATGATGGGTTTGTGTGAAACTTGATCTTGTGGGTGTTAAGAAATTTGTTTGCACTATATACCAGGTTGATAAGTCTCAGAAGACTTTCTTTGTCAAGATATGAAAATATAGTGAATCTTGCAAGAAAAGTAATACATTTATCAAATTCTTGCTGAGTCCAATTTGGCCTACCAAACAGTATTCTTTTTTAGGAAAGGATTAACATTAACATTAACAGTGGCATATGATCAATAATACAACAAAGAATTGATCAGAGAGAGAGAGAGAGAGAGGCTAGAGGAAAAAACTAATGTTACTGCAACATCCAAGAGAAAGAAACAAAACCCTTTAGCAAAATCCATAAACACAAAACTATAGAAGCTTGTAATGAAATAAAACAATATATTCAGTTAATTAACAAGCATCCAAATGGAACATAGAGAAGGGAGTTCAATTTCTCTGCCAGAAAAAGAAAAAAATATACTGATAATGGTATATGTATATATCTCTTTTATACAGCAGAGAGATTGGAATTTTGAAATAATTAGAGAGAGCTCAACAACAACATAGCAGAAGCTAGAGAAAGAATTCAGTTAAATACCCTAATTAAGTTAACCCATCAACAAAAGATTGATCAATAATCCAATAGTCATAAATTAAGAAGAACCATTTTTCAACTAGGCAAGCTGAGACTCTCCATAGGTTTCCATGTGAGAAGAATCCAAAGGAAGCAATGGAAACCCATTAAACTCTTGCATGAAACCATCTAAATCTGCAAACCCTCCTAAGAATCCACCACCTGAATTTGCACCACCCCATATCTCTTCTTCTCCTTTGATTCTCTCTCTAAACTGAGGAAAATGAAACCCAGAACGCAGTTCCATTTTCTTGGCCACTGGCTTGTGAGGCAAAGTTCTAATTGGCTCTTCTTTTCTTGTATGCTTTGTTTTCTTCTTGGTGCTGCTGTTTTCTGTGGGCTTTCCGGTGAGTCTTTGCACCAGTTCCCGGAAATTAGCTACGTCTGTCTTGATGATCTCCGGTGCAAATATGTGAATTATGCGAATCTTGGGCTTGGCTTTCGATATTGTTTGTGAATCCTTGTGCACGGATAGTGGTGATGAAGTAGTTTTTGAAACACAAGCTTCTTTCTTCATCAACCCCTCCATGATATACACCAAGTTGAAACTTAAGAGACAGAGAGAGGAGGGAGAGAGGGAGTGGAGGAGGGGGTGCTACGGTTGGTGTATTTGTTTGGAACAAAAATGAGGGAGATGCTTATATAGGTGAGGAAGCAATACTTAGTTTAATTGTAAGACAAGAGAGATTATTTAATAAGAAAATTCAAGCTGTCAACTGAGGCAAGGATTGGATGAACCTTACTCTGACATATTGGAGGAGGGAGTCAATAAAGTATAGAACCCAATGGTCCCCCTACTCAACATTTCATATACAGACAGTATGTACATAGGTTGGGAGAGAGAGGGGGAGAGAGAGATTATGTGGGTAATCCTACTCAAAATGACAGAAACAACCCTCTTTTTTCTAGGGTCTATGTCAAGAGAAGATAATGACTCACATCCATGTATGCATCAATGGCAAAATAGTTGGCCACTTGCCTATGTATTTAAATCCTTTATTGAACTTAATTGCATTAATCTCTCTCTCTTTCTCTCTCTCATTGTGTGTATGGAAAAATATTGTGCTGATCTGAGAATAACTGGAGTTGCATGTGAACTGAACTTTCAGTTGAAATGTACCATAGGTGTCAGAAAACCATCACTACTCTTTGCAAATAGAGCTATAGAAAATTTTCTTTGCGTTAGACAAATTGCTATTGTTTTCCAAAATGGGAAGATGTCCTCCATTTCCCTTTCATTGTGTCTTCCATGTTTAATGTGCAAAGTTTCACCAACTCTACAGGCATTATGGTTGTAAATTTCCCTCTTTTTTTTCTTCATTTTGCTCTTGACCTTGAAGTTTAACCATGCCAAACATATAACTTATGACAACATAATAAAGGGTAATCTACTCAACTTCTTAATCTTTATGGGTGTTCTAGTGGTTTGTCATCTTGCAAGCAAAAGTCTTAGATTCGATATTTTTCACACCTCAATTGTTCTTCAGGAAACATATTTTAAAACTAACTTGACAATGTTAATTTGAAGTAAGAATTTTATCCTTTTGAATGGAAACTATTGGGAAAATGACTTGAAAATTCGCAATAGATTAAAGTCTGATTATAAATGACAACCATTTCTTGATAGTTTCAATTTTATTGTTCTACTAGGGTAATATGTACCCCAAGTTACGATGTAATATGAGTGGTTTGAGAAGGATGTTGTTGGCCGTTGGATGAATCTATTTGAGACCGTCAGATAAACTTATTAAAATCTATCATCTATATAATAAAGTAGTTAAATTCCTTTGTCTTTAACTTTTCGCGGCTCAGATTACTAGAAGAAATAATGATCCTACGGTCCTAATATGAAAAATCCTCTCCCCCAAAATTTTGAATAAGATTTTCATTCACTCCACAATTCTAAGACATATCTCTCTCTTATAACTCTCTATCTCATACTATATATTAATTAGGTCGTTAATTATGATTCTAATTAAAGATTATTTTTAAAAAATTTAAATAAACAAATGGACCTTAAATAAATATTCTTTGCGTCAAAACAAGTAGAATGACTATAATATAGGTCATATTTTGTATTGAAATAAAAATACTATAATTATCAAATTGTGTAATGTGATATATCTTTATACTAAGGGGGCTATCATTATTTATCTTGAATTTTTCGTGACTTAGATTCTTTTAAGATTATTGATCAAATGATCGAAATTTCTCCTCCAAATTTTATTTTACTCAATTTTCAATTCAAAGTGATTATAATTAGTATTCGAAGTGATTATGATTATTTTTACAATCAAAGTGAAATTGATTGTAAAAATAATAAAAAATAACTAAATTAAAAAATAAAGAAGTTATGACACCACAGTGAACATGATAATTAAAAATTAGTTTGTAGGTTTAAGATAGAAGTGTTAATTGAGTCAAACTTAAATTCAATTCTTGGTTTGACGTAATTATAATTACAGTAATGCTAGACTGAACAAATTTTGGGACCAAATGTGAAGCCCAAATGACATGACAGTTGACTTGGACTTCTTTGATTGATGTCATGTCATTTGAGCCCCAATAAAAATTTCAAATAATCAACTGCCACATCATTTGAGCTCCAAATTTAGTTCCAAAATTTGGTCAATGTAGCATTACTCTTATAATTAAGACTCAAATTAAACTGAATTTGACTGACGTGTATAAATGATAAATTATTGCTAAAACTTAAAGAATGAGATTATTCTCACCCTATTTAATTTTTCATTATTAAACTATTAAGTCTATCGTTTTTATATTCACCTCATGCTACATACATCTTTTTTAAAAAGAAAAGAACAAAATAAGGAACAAAAAAAGAAAGAAAAAAGTAAACCGAGATAAGAAGGAATAAAAAAATCAATCAAAACTTAAAGGAATAAGTAAAACTACAAAACATGAAATCACAAGACGCAAAATCGGACATGAAAAAAAAATATTAAGCACAAATGCAAAATCAAACAAAAAAAAAAAAAGAAGTATAGATACAAAACCTAAACAAGATTAAAAAAATAACAAATAATTTGAAAATCATATATATAGATACACACACACACACATATACATTCTAAATAAAAAATTATTAAACTTGACATAGATATCAAAACATACCAAAAATAATAAAAAGTCATACAGCAAACATAAAATCAAATATATAATTAAATTAAAAAGTAATACTAACATGTATCTCATTGAAAAAATTCATATTAAAAAGTATTTTTGTGAGTGCATCAAATGAAATAGAGAATGAAATTCTAATTATGACAAAATATAAATTGAGTTTACTTTTTAAACGGGGTGTATGTAGCACAGGGTGAACTTAGTTACTAATTTGGTGAATATAGAAGGAGTGAACTTAATAGTTTGATAATGAGAAATTAAATTAGGTGGGAATACCCACACCCAAACTTAATTCGATTAAATTTTATGAATATTTAAGTTGAACTCAAATAAAAACTAATTTTAATTACTCAACAAAATTTTTTATATCTACAAAAATTCATATGAAACTTTTGGATGTTTTCCTCACAAAAGTTACACAAACTCACATTAGACAAATAATTTAGAGATAATGTTATGAATTTTAGGTAAAAACCTGCAGATAAACAAATAGTTATATTTTTTTGATATCTGAGATAATGTTTATTAGAAATGTTAAAATTGTGGATATTTAATCAATAATAATTATATTTTCTCAAAATTTTTAATTAATATGTTTTAATAGTTGTAGTGTGACTTTCATTATATAAAAATTTGATTATATATGTTCTGCATACAGATTGAACAATATCAATTTGATCGTTATATTGTTGAAATTGTATTATATATTGTCTTTATTTATAAAAAAAAATTTATAATTTTTTACGAGTAACGTAGTACCTTCCGGTACCAGTAATTACTAGTATTTTATATTATAGATGTTATGAACAAATGCGCGCAACCCTTATTTTAAACAAAATCTAAGGTCAATTTCATGCAGAAGGTTTGAATTTTGCTGAAATAATGTAACCCGAAGTTCCTGTCTTTTGTAGCTCCATCTTTATCATTAAAGCACTAGTTGAGTAACATAATTATAAAACAACATAAGAGTGGTGGACTTGTAGCATAGGGTTGTAAACAGATCGGATTTGGATTGAATTTTAATTGATTTAAATTCAAATTCGATTTCAAAAGTATAATCCAACAAATTTTGTGTTTGTAGTTCATATTCGAATTCGTTAACAATCTAAAATTTGATTCGAAAATTTAATCTGATCCGAATAACTTTAATTAACTAACTTTTAACAAAATATGCTTAAATTTCAAATAAATTTCTTTTAATAATCACTTAATTTCTATAACATTTATATAGAAATATATAAATAATTTGGATCAATATATATATTATCCAAAATTCGAATCCGTGAAATATAAAATATCATATTCGTATTCGGAATCAGATTATCGATAAAAAATATCAATTCATATCTGATTAATTAGATTCAGATTCAAATCAAAATCCAATCTATTGACAGATCTATTCATAAGATCACTCCACCTTTGTTCACAATTACTCAATTTTTGTATATAATCGAATCTTTTTCAAAAAAAATAAGGAAAAAAAAAAAATCAGTTTTATACCATGGGAAAGGGCATTTTGGTCACAGCAAGATTTTACTTGTTTGATTTGATATCACACACTACACGAATCCAAGTATGTCATGGCTTACATAAGGACGGGCCCGTATCCACGTTTGAGATGAAACTATTAATATTACACATTGCTCCCCCTATCTTTTCACTTTATTTATTTTATACCCAGATTTATTTTTTATATTTGGCTATTCTTCCACTATCTGATATATATTATATGTCACCGTAAATTCTAATAAAATAGTGGATTTTTTTCCCGTTAATTAAGTTTTTGACTATCTTCAAACTTTAAATAGTTTAAATTAAACCCTACAATTTTACATATAAACATTTACTTTTTCTACAATTCTAAATCCGTATACCCGAAAGATTTCATGAAAAGTGCAAGATAGAATTCTTACGCATATAGTTAATAATGGATCTAGGATGCTGGACAGAAGGATTGCTCGTAATTCAATTTTTTTTAATTATTTGTCAATTTGCATTTAACTTTGTTGTAAAACAAAATGGCCGGATGAAGTACGGCCAAGAGTGGTTACCATCAAATCCGAACAATTGTAATCTTCAACAATTTTGGCAAAGCAATAGTTATGCAAGAAAACAATTATTCAGAACAATTAAATTACTTTTTAATGGACACCTGTTTCACTAGTTTTAGTTTTGTCTATAACTCCATACACAAACCTCCGACTTTCACTATGAAATGTTCAAAACTAAAACCTTTTTATTATATTTGCTCTTCAAATAATTATTTTCTTTTGGAAGTTATTATTGTTTTAATTCAGAATGTTGACACTTATAGCATTTCTCTTGTCACCAATTTGGTACTATATATATGTACATAAGCAGTGCTATTGGGACCTAATTTGTTGATTTAATTCACTATAACCTTTGGATTAAATGTGGGCTCCATCAAACATTGAAACTTGGTATTTATCCAATGATTTCAATGAAGTCACGTCATTAAGTCAGTAAATTATGTCAGATTTTTAGTTTCAAATAGCATTTTTCATATGTACATACGAGCAATGCTATTGGGATCTAAAAATATGACTTAATTTGCTGACCTAATTCACTGTGACATTTGAATTGGCAGTAGGCCCCATCAAACATTAGAACTTGGTGTCGATCCAATGATCCCTATTAAACCACACTATTATGTCAATAAATTGAATTAGATTTTTAGGTCTAAATAACATTACTTATGTATATACTAGTCCTGACTCATGCTTAAAGGCACCATGACCCAAAATTTGAACGTTCAAAAATCGATACCACTATATCAAATAACAAAATTTTCTTTTCTTCTATTTTTTTAATTATATAATTTAAAATTAATTTCTACCCATTATTTAAAAAAAATCAACAAAATTTTCTCAAAATATATGACTTAAAAAAATATCAATGTGAATACTATAGTATATGAACAATATCTTAAATATAAATTGTATTGAGCCACAAATTAATAAAAAAAACTTAAATAATTCAACTTGTGATAGAAATTAGCATAAAAAATATATGAGGATAAGATTCAAACTCATAGCTCCCGTATTGTATTCTTAAAAATAATTGTTTTTTTCTTTAAAAATAATTACTTTTGCTATTTTTTTATTTTTTATTTTTTGGGTACCATTGAAGTATCCGTCTTTGGGGGTTTGTGGCAGTGAAGAGATCATCCGTGCAAAGAGATAATAACCGTCAGATACGCACGTGAATGGCAGATGCGTATCATCATCGTGATCCGCGCATCATGGTCCCCACCCAACATCGCAGAGGATCTCACGTTACGTCGACAATATTTGCGTGTCCGTGTCGGGCCGGCCCGCCACTCTGGAGTTTTCGATTTGATTCTAGGCTTTGGTGCTGCCACGTGGCGATTGGTGCACCTTCTACGCATCCTGCTGCCTCTCTTTGCTTGAACCAGCCCGGGAAATGGCCTGACTGGGTTGATTCGTTTTTTTTTTTTTGTTGACTTCGTGACTTCCATTTCGGGCGGTTGGGGTGTGCACGATCGGCAGTGTAGCTGGAATCTACAAATTCTTGATAACGTGCGCCAGTTCTTAATACTATGTATAAACTATTTTGTGGACACGATAAGGATATGATATTTGAGGGGAAAAAGAAAAAGAAAATTGGTATTATATAAAAAATAATTTCTTAGAGGGTGTAAGACAATAGTTTTAGATGAGGCCCTATTAATTTTTTGTATAATAATATTGTAAATATTGTATAATTAAATAATTTTTTAAAGCTTATTTATTTAAAAATTATTTTGTTTTAATCTTTTGAGGTGCAAAAATGCCATTTAAATTCTATTTCTGAATTTTATTTATATATATATTTTTGTTAGATAATATAACTAATCCATATAAATTATAATAATTTATATAATGTTAGATGAAAAAATAATAGAATTGGTGTTGATACCTACCCACATTGAAAATAGCAAACCTCATGTCTAAAATCAAAATTGAGGCCTTAATTGAACATAAGTATATAAATATATATTGGATAAGGACTCAATTTACTTAAATGAAAATAAAAGTGAACTATCTAAATTAGATAACTCTTAACCAAATTTTTACTCAAATTTTGGTTAAATACCTATCTAAATTACACAATTTTGATCATGAGTTATCCAAGTTTTGATTTAAAACTACTCATATTACACTTTTATTTGTCAAGAGCTACCTAAATTTGTTTAAGAGCTATTAAAATTATTTTTTGTCCATTTTTAGCTATTACATAACAAGTTTATGGTAAAAAATTTGTTAACAATTTGGGAATTGTTGTTTAAAAGACTATATAAAAACATATTCAATATTTCAGGAATCAAAATGATGTAATTGAAATATTTGAGACTAAAATGAGATAAATTACATATTTTGAAGACCTCTAGTGCAATTAATTTTTAATTAATAAAATTCAAAATAAAAAAATGAACCCACTTAAATAGTTATTAATTGGGAAAATTTCAACCATATCCCCTGTACTTTACCATATCTTCAAGGACACTCCCTCTAGTTTCTGAATCTTTAATAACACATCCTGTCAGATTAAAAATATTAAGTAGCATGTAATTTTACTAAATTGCCTATGATATATTTGATGGCAAACTTCATCCACACCCCTTTTAGATAAACATATATTCAATGAGACCCCCTCTAGATAAGTATATTTTCAATGAGACCCCTCTGTTTTCTAAATTTTTTTATGTAATTGAATTCAAATCGATTAAAATTTGATTCAAACTAATTAAAATTTATTTTTTTACATATTAAAATTTTTGTCAATTAAAAATTATATTTTTTTTACGTATTAGAATTTGTGCTAATTAAAATTTTGTTTGAACCAATTAAAATTTATTTTTAATCGACTCAAATCAAATTTTAATTAATTCGCATTGAATTTTAATCAGCCTAAATTTTAATATATAAAAATATATGAATTTTAATTACTTAAATTTTAATAAATCTAATTTTAATTGACACAAATTTTAATAAAAAAAATATAAATTATAATCAACTCGAAAGAGAATTTTAATCGGCCCTAACAACTCGGATAGAGTTCAAATCAGCTCAAATTTTAATATGTAAAAAAAAAAAAAAAATTAATAGGCACGATTTTTTTAAAAAAATTTACTAATTAGTAAATAAAAATTAGTATTTACTAACAAATTATTTACTAAAATTGTTATTTATGATTTTTTTAAAAATTTTAACAACTCAAATTTTATATAAAAAAATTACTTGAAGTTATATAGGGGTATTTTTGGTATTTTAGATGAATTTATTTTATTAGAAATAATAGTTTAATAGTAGGGAGTGTTAGTGATATTTAAATTAAAATAAAAGGGGTGTCATTGAAAATTTAAAAATTAGAAGGGATATCTTTAAAAATATGATAAACTAAAAGAGGTGTCATTAAAATTTTCCCATATTAATTTGATTGATGATACACATAACAATCTTACTATGAATATATTTTGGTGACATACCGAGACTACCACGTGTTTGATACACTGAGGTGTTCGCAGGGGACACCACGTAGCTTTCTTTTCACTGTACACGTCTCAATTCCTTCACCGTTCCTCCTCCAACTTGCATCCAGACCAGAATACTCCGTTACATAGCTTTCCGAATTCCCACCGATAAGTGTGAGAAAAATCAGAGGAAGAGGGTGACAAATGCAGCTGGTGAAGGAGACGTCGGCTAACATTGCGGCATCCGCGAAGGCCGGGCTAGACAAGACTAAAACTGTTTTGGAGGAAAAGGTAGGACACATAGATTGACGTTTTTCTGTGATTGATGCTGAAACCAGACTCGGTTGTTTTACAACCATAGATACTTGCAGTCCAGCTCCTCTACTATAAATTGATTCAGTACAACCGTTTATAGTCAATTCAATGATTTGGTGTTGTGTTTAGTTTTGTTTGTTTGTATAATTTTTTAGTTGGTATCAATTAGTTTATCAAAAGATTTTATAGATTCATATGTTTATTATCCAACTAACTAACCTTTGGGTTCTATTTAATCGATGTAGTTTCCCGTTGATCTGACAAATCCAACAATTTTATACTAGGAAATGTGGTGGGAATAAGTTGTGAAGAATTTCAATAGTAGTTCCATGAACAATCATTTCCGGGTTTGGATTTTATGATGGTTAAAAAACTTAGCTCCACTATTAATTTTATGATGATTTTCATGTTATGTTTGCAATTGAGGTAGCTCAAGTGATAATTCGAATCTTGGTAATTTTTGGGACTTAACGACGAGAGATTTATCTTTCATGAATATCCTAATTTTGTTGTGAATGATCTGTTTTTAACTGAATCAGAAAAGGGATTAATCGAGATACATGTAGGTCGGCTCAGACACTCTTTATCGTTGAACTAAAAAAAATGTTATGTTTGCAATTACATCGCATCGAGAATTGGCGGTCCAAATAGAATTAATTATGTCGAATTAACTGATTAAATGGTTATCATTTTGTTGTTTTACAGGTGGAGAAGATGATAGCATGTGATCCAGTGGAGAAAGAGATGGCGGCACGAAAGAAGGAAGAAAAGATCAAAGAGGCTGAGTTGAGGAAGCAGGTAGCCAAATCTCAAAGCACTGCGGCGACAACGGGGGGTGGTGGTGGTGGTGGTGTAGGCTACACGGCCATCGGTGCACAAGAAATGCCGACAATGCAAGCCACGGAGTAGGGCATCCCAGTAGCCATGTGACTGAGGGTGTAGTGGTTGGTTCACAAAACCCTGAGGATGTGATGGGGTCACAGCACCCTGCGACTGCCGGGACTGGCACTGGTGGCAGGACCACCAGCACTGGCTTTTAGGATTGGTGCTGATTATTTTTGAGTTGGTTCTTTGCTGTGATCAGAAAAAAGGTTTGTGGTCTGATATGCATGGTGTTCTGTTCTGTCCAAGAACTTGTGCTGTGTGAATGTGCATGCGTCTAGAGTCTTTTGGGAGTATGGAACTAGTTATAGTAATATACTGGTCATGTATAGACTAGTTACAGTTGTAATTTAAGATGTTTTCCCCTATGGAGTCGAAATAAGTCTATTGGCACCTGAGATTTCTCTCGTATTAATATCCTAATCTTGGTGTGGATATATGATTTATTTTTGACTGGACTGAAAGTGATATTTGTCGAAGTGCATATAAGTTGGTCCACATATAAGTTGGTCCAAACATTACTAACTATTGAACCAAAAAAGAAATAAGAAATAAGTCTACTCGAGATAGCAACTCGAGATTACACTAGTAGAGGAGTTACGGTTTTAATAGTTAAAAATTGTTCAAGTTTTTTATGTTTTTTTTGTTTATAGTCATACATTAATATGTGCCTCATGGTCATATTATCATTTTTTTTTTGGCCATAGGCCGTTTAGTTAGAGTTGCACTAATTACTCTTTCAAGTTTGGATATGATCACTATTGCTCGAGCGACAGGGACAAGAATGACTTGTCTTTAGAAAATATGAAAAGTGTTGAACCTGAAATTTTTGAGTTATTATATGCCTGGATGTCACAACCATTACCGTCTTCCACCACCACCGCCTGCCACCATTGCCATCATTTCCCTTATTATAATTAGTGTGTTGTGATCGTGCAGTAATTATAGTGAATAATAAAAAATCAAACAATTAAGAAAGTAAAAGAAAATAACACAGAGATTTACGTGGTTCGGCAATGTGCCTACATCCACAGGAACGAGTAGCCGTTCTTTTTCATTATTCAAAGTAGGGTTACATCTTAAGTATTTATATAACCCTAGTACGAACGTATTTACAAAATACCCCTGTACCGTACCGCCCGCGCACCGCTACGTTCCACTTCGCTCCACTCCGCTATGCTTCGTCCGCTCCGGTATCTGTCTCCTTGCCATTGTGCACACAACAAATATAAGTTACACATACTCTAACATAATGATTTAAATTATTTTCTCTCTCTTCTATATTTGAGATTTGATTTTGAGTATGAATACAAATATATTTATTATTGATTATTTTTTTATTACTCTATACTTTTAGGCAATGGTTATAACTAGTACATAAATAAATTAGATGTCGGAATTAATTGTAACATTTTTTTACCATCTTTCCATATGACTAGTATTTATAGATGGCATCCATATATAATGACTAATCTGTTATCAAGTAAAATTGATAAAAAAAAAAAAATGTATTATGAGAGAATTGGAGCCGCTCTAAGGCAAGGAAACCATTTTCTTTTTCATTTTTTCCATGGAATATACTTTTTTGCTTTCTTAAATCACTGTGGAGGTGACTAGTTCTGCTTCTAAATCTATCTATATATATAAAACGAACAATTTTTTTAGGTAGAGAGTTTGAGGAGTCTTTCCTCTTTATTTTCTAATTTCTTAGAAATTTGAATTATTAAATTAGGTTTTGAAAGTGTTCTCCAATCATATTTTACCATGTGTTTTTTATCACCACACATCTCTTACTCCACCAACTACCCACAATTTATTTAAACTTATTTAAAAAATTATTTCTACTACTAAATAACTTTTACTATTTCTTTATCTTACTTTTAAATTATTAGAGTGGGAGGAAAAAAGAATTAAAAAAATAAAACAAGATAATGGATTGCAATTCCCGCGCGAGGTGGGATAGATGGTATTAGATTCAGATCCTCTCTATTATTCATTTTCTTTCAATTCTATTTAATACAGTGTTGAATTGGAGACATGTGTAAGATTTTAATATTAATGGGCAAGATTTTTTTTCTTTTCAAAAAAATTCCTTAACCATGGTTAGGGTTGATAATCAAACCGAACTATTCGGGTTCGGTTCGTTTTTTAAATAAGTCAAGTTTGAATAATAAAAACGAGCTTAAAAAAAATCAACTCGAGTTCACAAAATTCAACTCGTTTATATGTAAAATAGTCGAGTTTCTCGGACTCGACTTAAATTCGACTCGATTTGGGATCAGCTTATTTTCTCAACAAATCGAACTTAAACAAATTTTTAGGCATATTTGAAAAAGAGCTTTAAAAGCTCGGCTTAGTTATAACACATGAACAGGTCACTATAAATCAGTGTTTTAAAACCCGGCCCGGCGGGTTGACCCGGTGAACTGGTCCCCTAACCCAGCTGATTTTGTAATTGGATCGTTTGAGCAAAGAATCCGAAATAAAACCAGTCAAAAAATCGGTAACCCGTGAAAATCGGACGAGTTTACAAAACCGGCCGGTTTTGTTCCTTTAGTATAAATATGTCTTTTTTTTACATTTTTGTGTCTTTTTCTTATCCCCTTTTGTTTTGCCCTAAATCCTAAATCATTCGTTCAGTGTCCACACTCCACAGTCCAGCCTCCATCCTCCAACAGCACCATAACAGCCTCCACCCTCCACCAGCGACCCACGAGCAGCCTCCACCCTCCACCAACAGTGATTCATTTGCCCTAATCTGATCTTTGTCGTTGTGAGCCTCTGTCTCTCATCTTTGTCTTCCTCTTCCTCTCTGCCTCTCGTCCTCCTCTCTGCCTCATCGTTGGATTTTAAGGTATGATTACTCTCAGCCTCTTACTCCGATTCAGTCCTCTCTCTCTCTCTTTGCGATGTGGTTGGCTTGCTCACTCGAACTCTACGAATTTCATTCTCTAAGACACAACAATAGATACCTTTCTCTCTCTCTCTCTCTCTATATATATATATATATATATATATATATATATATTTGCTCTGGGATCTGATTTTTGATTTCTATTTATGCTGTCCTCCATGGTTGTTGTTGCTGGTGCTGGTTTTTGCTTTTGTTTCACGTTGATGGTTTTGCAATGATACTGATGATTTTTGCTTTTGCTTTTGCTTTTGCTTCGTGTTGTTATGCCTTTCTCTTGAGACTTGATTTGTATGAATTCTTATGAAGTTGAATTCAAGAACAATGCAATTAAGTGAATATTTGATTTGATTAATAGCAGATTAGGCAAATTGTATTGGAATTGAATGTATTGGTTTGATAATTTTTGAGTGTTTGTTAACTCAAAAATTAAGTGAATGCAATTAACTAATTCAGGTTTGAGGGTGGAGGCTAGGCTGTTAATTGAATGCATTGGTTTGTTAATTGAATGCAGTTAATAGATTCAAGCTTGATAACTTTGTTTGATTTAATATATATTAAACATGTTATTTTTATAACTATTTTAATTTTTTAGTCTATTTATCATCATTAATAATTATTTTTTATTTTTTTAATTATATCACCGGTTCGACCAGTGACCCAGTGGTTGAACCAAAAATTCATTGACCCGGTCCCTTCTCCGAGTTGATGTCCGGGCCGGGTTTTAAAACTATGCTATAGATACCAATTGCGTAAAGCATGTGGCAACAACGGAATCAAAAAATTATGTAGAAAAGACAGTTATTTTCTATTAGATTCTATTATATAAATATTTTCTATTATATTAGATTAGTATTAGTTAATGATTCCGGCTTAGTGAGTTCTTTCTTCTGTGCTGAGTTGTTGACACCAGTCCTACATTTTGTCTTTATAGACTAAGGAAAAAGGGGGCTCGACGGGAAAAAGGATTGTATGATTGACTTGCAAATTATAATTGCTCTAGTGAATAATTAAAAAAAAATAGATAGATGGAAGATAATAGAAGATAAACATTATAGAAATATCTCTTAGAGGTTCACAAATTATTTAACTATTGGCGGGTCTCTTTGTATGTGCTATACGGAAAGAGGAAAACTTAATGATTATTCGTTCATCAGAACCAAAAGTCTAGAGGAGTTGAAAGATGGGAATAGAAAAGATTCAGTTCCAATATAATATAAATAACTAGAATCTGGTATCCTTTTATTTCTTTGTATTTTCTTTCATATTCAATTTCTTCATTTCCTCATATATGACTTTCTAGAACCCGTCTTAGTGATGTGCACAATACAAAGTTTATGATGTAGAGCTGGTTTGGGTCAGCCTAATTTGAGCTTAACACACCATCAACAACAAATGTAGAAATAAACATTTTATCCATTGAAAAGAAAACTTTACCCATATCATCCACCTATCTAACATTTTATTGAATAGAATTAAAAGAAATGAGTAATAGAACGGACGTAAATCCGATAGTATTGTTGATAAAGGTGAGGTACAAGAACAAGTCACTATTATAAGCATCGTTGTCGTGAACAATGTTACACACTATCTTTTTGCGCCACTTTTTATGTACTATCTCAACATCCACAATTAAAAGATTAATAAGTACTATAAAATTTATTAAATATTCAATGGTCCTGATTGTGCCAAAATCATGTGTAATGTGTGTGCAGCATTACACTATCGCCATTGTTGCTTCGTTGCGGATAAGGCCAACTACTTGAAGTCTCGTCACAATACGCCGTCGTGTCGCCACAAAGAAACTGGCCACACCGTAACTCCATAAAGACAAGTGTCGAGCGCGTGTCACAGTCAAACTAGACAAGCGTGGATGAGAGGCCACGTGACCTTTGACTGATACGTGGCACTAACCCACAACTTCTGCAAAATCTATATAACCGTGGCTTTGAACCAGCTCCATTTGCACTAAAGTTTTTTAAGTTTGGAAGAGTTTGAGATCAGAAAGATACAAGTGAAAAATGCAGGCCGGAAAGAATGCAGCGGCGTCGGTGAAGGAGTCTGCGGCGAACGTAGCGGCGTCGGCGAAGGCTGGGATGGAGAAGACCAAGGCCGCCGTGCAAGAAAAGGTTTGTTTAATTGTAAATGTGGTTCAGTTTGCCAAAATATTTTGTGTTAATTTGCGCATAGCTGTGGATTTTTGGGACTTGTTTTGGGTGATTGTCAGTGCTTCTCATGTTGTTGAACAGACCGAGAGGATGACTACACACGATCCAGTGCAAAAGGACATGGCCACTCAGAAGAAGGAAGAGAGGGTGAACCTAGCCGAGATCAGCAAGCAGGAGGCGCGTGAGCAGAATGCGGCATCAAAACAAGCGGCGGCCACCGGTGGAACTCAGTCCTACACCGCCACCGGAGCCACCGGGCACCACCCAACCGGTGGGGCGCATCCTATGTCCACCACGCCAGGCTTTGGCGCCGGGACTGGACACTCCACCGGTCAAGTCACTGAAGGTGGTGTTGAGTCCCACCCTCTTGGGACAGCCACCGGGACTGGGAGAAGCGCCACCGCTCGCAACGCCGGTTTGGGCGGAACCGGTGGCACTTACAGTGCATAAATTTGGGTTACGATTCCTCGTACATGCCTAAGAACATTAGCGTTTGTTGTCTAGTGATGTCTTGTGGGAAGTGTGTTTGCTGTTTCTGTGTTGCTTTAGCTGTTAATTTTATGTAATGTTTGGTACTTGCAGTTGATTAAATAAAAGTAAATGTTGGTTTAATTTTACTAGAAGATCGAAATTGTTTTTTTTTTTTATTTTTTTGAGGGGAGCCCTGATCTCAAGAACATAAAATTTTTACAAGGTAAAGAGTATCATTGTTACACTCATCTTCTAAATGTCAAAAATGTTTCAGAAATCAAATAAAAATAAATAACAAAATTTGAGAATTTTTTCTCAAATTTTTTTTTTATGCTTTAAAATATTTTGAAACACACCAATAGAATTATGTCAAAATATTTTGGAGCATTAAAATTTTAATTTAATCTTGAAAATAAAAATATTTCAGACTCTTTCAAAATCAAATTTTAATCCTTAATTATAAAATGGTTCGTTTTTTTCTTTCACTAGTGGCACAATTTGGTGTCTGTTGAACAACTATGATTCCGCTTTAGGTGGTCCATCCACATTTTTTTTTTCAGACAGGAAGCTCGGTGGAATTCGACTTTAAAAATTTGAGATGTTTAAGAAGATTGTGGGGGTATTCGACTGGGGTGAAGTCGTAACAAGATAGTCGTTAGTCGTAGGGAAACCTGTCTGTTGCTGGATCGAATCTTTGGCGATGGAAATGCCTTCTTCCCCCAACCAACAAAGGGGGCTAACTTGCTTCCACTAGTGGCGGTCGGGCGAAGGTTCCAAAGGATCTAAGAGTCACAAAAAATCTAAGAGTTCTATATTCTTTTTTGTTCATCAATTGAATATTAAGACAAATCGGACACTAAGGTGAGATATGAAAACATCTGATTCCATTCCAACCTCGATATGTGAAATCGTCCTATGGTATATGTACTAAGATTGTTCGGGAGACATGGTCCAATTTCGGTGAAAAAATTAGAACTTTAAAAATTTTGTTGGGCTAAACAACAACAATCTCTTTTTATCAAGGGTAAGATTTAGAATTAGTTGATTATGCACTCAGTTATATCATTGACTAAGTGTGATGATGAATAGTAAATAACTTTCTAAGAAGGGCTTTGTTTGCCCCTTTAGTTATAAAATAAATATTTATTTAATAGTGCTCTATACAATATCAATAATCCCATTTTCTATTTTTTTTTTTCTTTTATCCACTACAATTGAGAAGTTGAAATTTTATAAAATGGTAANCAAGGTAAAGAGTATCATTGTTACACTCATCTTCTAAATGTCAAAAATGTTTCAGAAATCAAATAAAAATAAATAACAAAATTTGAGAATTTTTTCTCAAATTTTTTTTTTATGCTTTAAAATATTTTGAAACACACCAATAGAATTATGTCAAAATATTTTGGAGCATTAAAATTTTAATTTAATCTTGAAAATAAAAATATTTCAGACTCTTTCAAAATCAAATTTTAATCCTTAATTATAAAATGGTTCGTTTTTTTCTTTCACTAGTGGCACAATTTGGTGTCTGTTGAACAACTATGATTCCGCTTTAGGTGGTCCATCCACATTTTTTTTTTCAGACAGGAAGCTCGGTGGAATTCGACTTTAAAAATTTGAGATGTTTAAGAAGATTGTGGGGGTATTCGACTGGGGTGAAGTCGTAACAAGATAGTCGTTAGTCGTAGGGAAACCTGTCTGTTGCTGGATCGAATCTTTGGCGATGGAAATGCCTTCTTCCCCCAACCAACAAAGGGGGCTAACTTGCTTCCACTAGTGGCGGTCGGGCGAAGGTTCCAAAGGATCTAAGAGTCACAAAAAATCTAAGAGTTCTATATTCTTTTTTGTTCATCAATTGAATATTAAGACAAATCGGACACTAAGGTGAGATATGAAAACATCTGATTCCATTCCAACCTCGATATGTGAAATCGTCCTATGGTATATGTACTAAGATTGTTCGGGAGACATGGTCCAATTTCGGTGAAAAAATTAGAACTTTAAAAATTTTGTTGGGCTAAACAACAACAATCTCTTTTTATCAAGGGTAAGATTTAGAATTAGTTGATTATGCACTCAGTTATATCATTGACTAAGTGTGATGATGAATAGTAAATAACTTTCTAAGAAGGGCTTTGTTTGCCCCTTTAGTTATAAAATAAATATTTATTTAATAGTGCTCTATACAATATCAATAATCCCATTTTCTATTTTTTTTTTTCTTTTATCCACTACAATTGAGAAGTTGAAATTTTATAAAATGGTAAGAGTGATTAGAAATTATTTTTTGGGATTAAATTTTGTGTCTCAAATGATGTGGTTAACTGCCCACACATCTAATAGAGTATCACATTACTTGTGTCTTAAAAATTGATTTTAAAATTTTGTAGACTGGGAGTAATATAGTTTATAGTAGGTCTTTCAATTGTATCAGATGAAACAATTTTATTTCAAGTCTTTAATGGATTCATGTCAAAAAATACTTTATTCATATTCAATTTGTTTATTAATTTGTATTTAACAAATCTTGTCATATTATGTAAATGTCATATATCAATCATATATAATTAATATATAAACAAATCATGTCATATATTTTTTTTGATTAATTTTACATATATTCAATTTGTTTATATATTCAATTTATTTATTAATCGTATTGTGTCAAATACATTTATTTACAAAACGGATGACTTAAAAAAAATCTTAACCCTCTAACTTCGTGTCGGGTTATCAAGTGTGTCGTATTTTAACACTTAACTTGTAGTAACATAAGTGATAAAAATAATTACTATAAAAATGCTAAACACTCAAATTATCCACAAAAATTTTAATTTTTTTTTATTGTAAAATGACCCATAAAAATTATAAAATACCCACCTCATGTGTTACTCATCACGACATCATCACATGATAAATTTTACAAGTAAAGCATCACTCCCGATTTTCCAACTGATTCCGCGCATTTACATTGTAACCACGAACCGGAAGGACACATGGTTGGAATGCTTCTGTGTCCCCGCCGCGCGGTGGGGACACAAAGGGGAAGGGGGTTATTGGAGACGCAATAAACCACATCACTGTACATACGCTACAATAAAATCATCATAGAAGCAATCAAGCATCTGACGATAAATAAAAAATAACAGGCAAGCTAAGAAAATTCTAAAGCTGAAAAGGAAAATCACAACACTAAAGGGTCTGATAGTTTGCAAATAACGAAACCTGATGCCTGAAAATGCTAATATACTGATCTCATTACTCCACATTACAATTGCATTGCAAACAGCCAGAGCACAGTAATACCTCACTTTACTACTTCAATGGGTCGGGAAAATAGCATATGCCAGAAGGATATGAATTAGTGAGCCAAGGTTTCTCACACCCCTGATTCGCGCAACTCAGCAGCTCCGTGTGCAAAATGGCACCTTTCGCCAAAGGTGCAGGACCCTTTAGCAAAATTCTGACACATCTTCGTCTTGTAGTTGCCAGCCGGTGGGGCTGGGCCTCGAGGAATTCCAGGTGCTTTTGGAGGAGCAGCTACGGAACCAATGCTAACAATCAGCTCTCTTACCATGGCACTTGCTTGCTTGATTTGGTCAAATGTACCCTCAAGCTCAATGTTCCTGAGATTAGGATCAGTCTCGTGATCTCGAATAGAAAGCTTAACTCCTGTTTGCCTACAAATCTGCTTGGAATTGACCCCACCTTTTCCAATGATGGCTCCGGCAAGAGAAGCATCTACACTAATTTTGGCGGTGGCCGAGGCACCAAAACCACCAGCAGCTGGGGCAGGCGGCTCCATTCTGCCAGGGAAACGGCTGGGAACGGCTCCCATGGAGCGTGGATCCTCGTAAGCTGGAGCAAGAGGCTTCCCGAGTTCCCACTCACCATGAGCAAAATGACATTTGTCACCAAATTTGCAGCCCTCAGCAGTGTTGTATTTGTTGCACATGCGGGTTTTAAGGGCAGGAGGAGAGGAGCCATTTGGGACAGGTGCTGCTGACACAGTTTTTGATGCTGGGGTTGGCCCCAGGTTCATCACCTGGGCAACAGCATTATAGCCACCAGGAACATAGTGCAGGAAGTGGCAGCTCTCACCAAATGGACATCCAGCAGTACTGCAGCCACATCACACCGAAGAGTCAAATAGATATCCGGAAGAGAGAGGAAATAGGAGGAAGAGAGAATATTGACATCAAATACAAATACAAGTACAATACAATACGAATATAGCGATACAACAAAACCTGAAAAAATAAGATATAAGTACAGCTAGCGTACGTCTATAATAAAATATATTTTATATTTTACTATTATTTAACAACTTAAAAATTATAATTAACAATAATTAACAATAATATGCAAACTTTACAATTTTTAGCTTGAAAAATGTTCGATATCGTCTCATTATGATATATCAATAAAGTAAGCATGATCAATTAAAGGAATCAGAACCAAGATTTAACTAGTTGGTTTGTTTATAAGTCTTTGTTTCAAAGATTATAGTGTAACTAACTCAAAATCAAATAGAATTTTGTTAGATGTATTGTACATAAACTCAAAAGAAGAGGGTATAAATTAAAATTAAAAATTGTACATCTTGTTTTATGTGTATAAATATCCACATATACGCAGTACGATATTTTTCTCTAAATTTGCTCAATGGGTGTAACTATTTTGGATCGTAATTCACTTGCAACTCTACCTGTATTACTTTCACTATTATATTCAATTGGAGGTAATTATACATCCATACGCTTAGTTAACCAATATGTCGTATATATCTCTAATAAGGATTCTAAAGCAAGCTATAATAAAAAATAATGTACCAGTTAACTATTGTAAATAATAAAAACTATTTATTTGAATTATAAGAAATTCAGAAAACAACAACTCAAGAAAATGACTTTGAAGATCACCAAAATTAATAAATAATAAGTTAGAGTTACAATTTGGAGTTAGGGGTATAATTTGTGATCACCTGGATCGTCAGTTGTTTTGAAAATTTGACTACAGTTCGGGATTGGGAATTTAGGCGGTTTGAGTCTCGAACCCACCCCGTTTTGAAAATTTGACTACTGTCCGGGGACAATTTGGATATCTACAATCAGTCTCGACTGACTGGAAATATCACAGAGAGAAGAAAATAATGACAAGATAGGGTACAATCAGGGTTACAACAAAAAAAGTCTTCTCTCTCCCCTATAATAGGTTCCAAAACAAGTGAGTTGCCAGCCGCCTTGTCCTACTACTACCCACAGATCATAAGAAACAGGTGTCCCTTCCCTTGGGGGGTGCATCAGGAGTGTCAATTGAGTCATGTCCAATTGTGTTGATGTAATTTCGGACTTGATCATGTACTAGCGAACCTTAATCCAACCTATTTAGTCAATCATATCATATGACCATTAAACATACGACCCGACATGTTTAGTACACAGGCAACACGAATGAGACCCACATAACACAATATTATGGGGACATCTGCATAGCAACCAACATATAACAATCATCTGTCAAGAACAATGATTTTTCTTTAACAACTTCAAAAACAATTGATAACTTGATTTTAAACCAAGTAAAAAACAACAATGAATTCAAATCAAAGAAATAAGGATATGAAACAAACAAAAAAATTATTGAATTAAACAAAAGAACACACAATTATGGTGTTGGAAATAGCAAATGAGGTAAACCCAACCAAGAGAAAATCATGTGAAACCACTAGAACCCTTCAATTTTACCTCTTTTGTTCTTGCCAAGTAGTACCTTCCCCCAAATCCCACATCTTCCCTTCTCTCTCTCTTTCTTTTCCCAGGAACCCTTCATTTCATATCCAATAGGAGAGAGAGTGTTCAAATAGTCAAGGAATGGAACTGATGATTGAGATTTTCTATAGTTGGGGGTGGTGATTTAAAGGCAAAGCCGAGTGGGGAGGCAGACAATTATGGTTGTGATGTTCATCATTTTATACCCATCTTAAATAGGTTGATCAGGTTCTGTAACAGGTCAACACAGATGATTAAACGGTTAGAAACCCCAAAAAAGGTTAAACGGGTTTGCCTAATTAGTGGATTGTGTCATTTATAGTAACCCACGAATTTCGTGTAAGCTTGTGTCATGTTCACATGTTGTATCAATTGTTGCCATTCCTAAGGATCATCTTGTAATCTTAATTTAAAAGAAACCACATAAGTAGCCACCTACATGAAGTCTACATACTAGAGCCCTGAATAAAAAGAGAATCTTCTCTGGCAAATCCGCATGTACTTTCATGGCAATCCTCTTGTACAAACAAATCTTCACCCAACAGATATATCACAAGCCTAATTATCATTCGGTCAACCTCAAACTTCTTAGACATTGTTCCCTGGGTGTCAGTACTCATAAATTTTCCCAGAAGTAATGGAAGACTTTTTCCTCTTGCATTTGCATTATATGCAAATCTAACTGCGAATCCATTTGCATTTTCAAGACAGCACAAGTGATTTTGCTATTCTCCCAATTAGAGCAATAGAACACTGAACGAGAAACTATCAAGATTGGATTGAGTAAACAGTAAAGACCAGCTGAAGAAAGGTTATAGCATCAAAGTAGGTTCATTATGTATTTTTATTCTCCCAACTATATAGGTGATTACAGTTCAGAAAAAACCTTTTAAGAGTGATTTGGAATGGGAACATTTTTTTACTGGAAGATTCTCTTGACTAGGATAAATCATGGAATAAGTGAGGGTAATTGTTTCGTTTGGTAAGGCACAAAGAGTTCAACAGGTGGATTGTTCACATTCTGTGGACAAAGGAGAATCTCATCTATATGATAACATCATTTATTCTAAGCGTTCCTGGTTATAATTATATACCCCTATATTCCATCATATTCTTCTGGAAGACTGGCAACATACAACACCCGTTAATTGAAGCATAAAGTGCACGGGGCCAACATCATCTGCAAATAAGTAGGATAGCAAAGGAGGGCATAAAAGGACCCTATTCATTTTAACAAGCTTTAAATGCTCAAGTGATGGCGTTTTACCATAAGGAAATGTAGTGGAGTCATGGTCTGTCGGTATAACAAATTAGTAAACTCTAGTTCATTCTCCTGTCTGGTCGGAAACTGATATGCTGTTTATGGTGCAAGGGTCGGCAGCAAGCCCTTGGATTCCTAGTTCTAGTTGAGGAACTGCTTTCATGGTCCATTGATAATTTGAAAAGCACTATGGATCCTGCACCAAGGTCGACATTGAAACCCTATTGTCTCTCAAAAAAGGATTTATCTAGTAGCTTGTATTGGATTGACGGACAGACTTCTGATGATTACTTATACACATCAACAGATTTATACAATTTTAGCACAATTCAATTTAACAGTCTTCCAAGCAGAGTTGCCTCTCCTTGTCCAAATGATTGTTGCCATACCCTATTCAGCTTATTAACAAATAGATGGACCATCCTGCATACATTAACTGTTCTCCAAAATATACAGTGCCCAGTACTTGAAAAGCTAATCATGATATGAGTGTTGCATACAACTGAAATTAGGAAAACAAAAACTCAAAGAAACTACTTATTTTAACATTTGGGCACAAAACATAAGTAAGGCCACGGCCACAACATATATCATAAAAAGTATGAAAAAAAGTATCCCTCTATCCTAAGAAGCATGGACACAAATACGGGACACCGATACGATACGACACAGACACGCAGACACAAAAAATCTCAAAAAAATAGGACACAGACACGTTAGAGACACATTATAGATAATTGTGTTTTATATATAAAATTATATAATTTATCACAAATATAGTGAATATTTACACTAGTATCATAATAATAAATAATTATCAATACCTCCTTAGACGTGTACTATTCATATATACTTTAAATGATTGTTCTGTTCTAAATCTTTTATGTATCTTTTGCGTTTATTATTATATTTTGAGTACAAATTTAATACGTCTACTCTTGATAATTATATATCCTCTCATAAGACACTTAATAGCCAAATTTGTAAGCTTGTTAAATCACATGTTTATTATTTAGTAGTAGACACGGTTTAAAGAAGTATTGGACACATCACCAAAGAAGTGTTGAACACATCACCAAAGAAGTGATGGACACATCACCAAAGAAGTATCAAACACGTGTCCAAAATTAAAATTTTATCATTTAATTATGAACACTGATAAAAGAGTATCGAACACGTGTTTGAGAGTGTTTGAAGAGTGTCAGTGTCCGATATGTACAAGGACACGTCACCTTCTTAAGAGTATCCGTGGTTCATAGCCTCTATCAAATCTAAAACAATTAGAATATTGAGGTAGAAAACGACAAAAAAAAATCTTTTCGCCATCCCCTCCCCCAAGAACAATTTAAGAAAGAAGAGAGAGATCCCAGCATATTAAATGATGTTGATGTGCCTTTTGTAATGCAGTTGAAACAGCCCTGAAAACTTTTGTAACGAATAAAAATACATCAAACTATGAGTGACCATTATTACAGATGGTAGCCAGAGGAAAACATGTCATGTTACACCGGCAACAGCAAGCAAAACTGTTAGAATATGACAAGTTTTAGATAATTACCTGCCTAAGTTTGTGATCCATTGTGTGGTGGATACATGGTTAATTGTTGCAACAGCTGCCTAATTAATAGGACAACTTCCTTGCTCTCTAAAATGGTATAGATATTGTCATCCCAAAAAAATAAAGTCCTAGGAGTTGCAGTTTACCCTTCAAAGTATCGGAGATTGAACTTGAGGATAATACAGGATTTTAAGCTGCAATCTTATAAATCTTAGTGTGATTTACATTAAATGAGTTAATAATAATATAGTATCTAAAGTCCAACGTTGGCTAATTATAAGATTTTCATGTCTTCCTCTTACCATAGAATAGTGTAAATCTGTTCCTGCATCAATTTACCAATTTATGAAAAGATGGCATTAAAGTACATATGACGCAGACATTGAGAAATGTGAAAAGTTTGAAACAAACATAGTATAATACTGAAATAAGTTGAACTCCGCTAATCTCAATGTTAAAGCCTTATAGCCATGATAGCCTGTAAAACAGTTATGTCTGAGTGAATTGTTAATAGAGAAGATAATACCTTTGTTGAAAACCAATTCTTAGTTGGGGAGCTAAAAAGAAACATGCAACTGTATTACAGCCATGCATGCTTCAAATTGTAATTGCTATTACATACTTGTTGCTAGTGAGAATATTATTATACCTCATAAACATTAACAATGGACAAATTTAAATTAAAATAATTATATTAGATAGGTGAAGATTTAAACCTGAAAAACTTCATGCAAGGCTTCGATTTGCTTCCTACACCAGTTGACAAGGACTCCATTTCTGTTACAAAACATTAATTGCTTTCTCCCAGTTAGAATTTCTGTGAATTCTTGCTCTGTATATTCTTATTCAATATACATAAAAAACCTTACGACCCGTAAAGCCATCACCAATACAAGAATAGTAAAATGTATTCCCATTACTAAAAGTAACATATAGGAAAGAATAATCGAAAAAAATTAGTGTGTTTAGTAATGCTACCGATAGACATTTTTCAGGGATTAAGGAATTGGCAGTGCTACAGCAGAACAAATAGATAGATTATAATAATTTGTCTGATTTTGAAAATTTTGCCAACAGATTTGGGCTGTGGTAAGGTATTTTGACCCAAGAAAATAAAATCTTTACATGTAGCTTGCTTTAAGTCAGGTTTCTCGTTTTCTGGAGAAGCCCAAACAACAATTTTAATTTAGAAAACATAAGTAATCTATTTAGTTTTTTCTTTCTTTGGGTTTTCAGGCAATAATATAGAGATGAATGGGCAAAATGATCTACTTTTCTCCGAGATTTAAACTCGTACTTTGTAAGCCAAAAACCAAGACCACTATACTGAAACATACGAAGAACACCCGCCAACGAAGAAATTAAAGTTGGATATACCAATCTAAAACCCACACACATATTTGTACATAGTAGATGTATCTAGCGTAAAACACACCCTGCACAATTAAACACCCCCACAAAAGTAACATAACGAGTCCTTCCATACGGAGAAGAAATAGCACAACAGAACATACATGTACATATACATGTAACATATATGGATTTGAAACCCTAAGATGATTGAAGTGAAAAAAAAAAAGAGTACTAAATGAAGAAGAAAGGACAAACCTGGCCTGGATTTCTTGAACCCACCATTGGCAGCTTCGGCTCTACCTCTCTTTCGTGTATCCATAGCTCCTGTCTCACAGATCTGGAGATCCAATCTACAATTCAACTCAACAACTGAAGCTAACAAAAAACCACAAACACTCAGAGAGAGCAGAACCGAAAGCCCTAGAAACAAATAGAAATCGAAAACCCTAGATACTGTAGCTCAAGTGGCCAGAGGATGGGATTGGGAGGCCAAAAACCCTAGAGAAGGGTTTTGCGAAGATAGAGTGAGAGCGAGAGCGAGAGCGAGAGAGATAGACCTCGAAGGAATAGAAAAGAGAGAGAGAGAAGCCTTAAAATGAGATATTAATGAGAATCTAATAATAAGATAATAAATTATTATTTGGATTTAGAAATTAGGGTCTAAATTTAGTTTACAGTTTGCGTTAGATTCCGCGCAAAAAAATTCGCAACAAGACTCACGTGACGTGATGACATGTGACTAGTGAGCATGGATGTCACGTGCATTAGCAGAGTTCAGTCACTTTATTTTACTTTTTATCTTTTCAGGAGTAAGTGAGAAGTGATAGATTTGGGAGGATAAAAATTCAATGTGAATAATTTTAAGATAGATGTTAAAGGCTGTTAGATGAGTCTATTTGAGACTATCGAATGGACTTATTAAAGTATGACTTATTTAATATTGTATATTTGACACAAATAAAAGTAATATTCTATAATATTTAATCTTCTAACAAATTCTATATTTTACTCATTTTTTACTATATATTCTATAATTTTTGAACCAAATGAAGCTCTAACAAATCATATCAATACTCTAAGAAATCAATTTTAGTTTGTTAATTTCAAGAGATTTGGTATAGATTTTTTTTTTGTTCAAGTATCTAACTTGTTTGACCCAATTAATTTTCTTTTTCATAAATCATTAGAGCCGGCCCAATTAAGAATATTCAAAAAAAATATATAAAACATATATAACTAAGAAAAAATAAAATTTCAGGGTGGTCCTAGACCCCCCCTCTATCCGCCATTACCATGGAGATAGAGTGTGAGAAGAGAAAAGTAAAATTCAATTTGAATGGTTTTCAGAGAGATGTTGATGGTCGTTAGATAAGTTTATTTGAAACCGTCGAATGAACTTATTAAAATCTTTTCTATTTTATATTATATATAAATCCATGAAATATGATAGAATTAACTTAAAAAAACATTAATTTTTATATATGTAATCAAAATCGAACATTAATTTATATATTGTAATCAAAATCGAGTCAAATCTAATTTATCAAAAAATATATCGCCAAAATATGTTCTATCAAAAAAATTCTACAAATATCATTTATAAAAATATTATTTTTTTAATTAGTACAAGTTATTACAAAATTATTAATTTATAAGAATATATTAGTATTAAATTTTCTTAAAAGATTAAAAAAATTAATTTTCAACTTTTGATTCAAAATATGTGTAAGACATGTTAGTATTAGATAATTAATTAATTAAATAAAATTAAAATTAATTATATTCAATATAAATGTGTTAAATATCACCTTTTTTTTATTTGTTAAATTAATGAGTTTTTTTTAATCAAAATATTATTATTGTGTCTCATAAAAATTTAAAATGTTACACTACATAGATGATATTAATGACAAATTTGACTCATTTAATTATTATGTTAAAGAAAATCATATGTTCAAATATCAGTTATAATCGTTGACCGATTGGAAAAAATAATATTAAGGAAAAAATAATAATTTATTGACCGTTGGATATATGAATTTTAGATCTTAGGATGTGTACAAAATTAGTCATAATTGTTGACCGGTTAGTGGGAAAATATTAAAGAAAAAAAAGTAATTTCTTAACTATTGAATGAATGAATTTGAGACCGTAAGATAAACTTGTTGAAACCGCTCTGTTTTATATTATAGATTGGGGGTTTTTAAGGTTAATCTCACTTTACACGATAAAGGATATTTTGAATTTTAATGTATCCCCTTAATATTATAAATTAATAACAATGTAGACCTGACACATATTATCATTCAATTTGTCATTATAAACACATGAGGTGTGAGTGTTTTCGAGCATGAGAATTAGATATGTTCATCGCTATAGATATTTGTCTACAATTAATTTCACACCATTTTATATATCAAAAATAGGGTTTGTCTTGGATTGATGTTTTGGGAGGGTATGGATTGGTTTACCCAAATCCGAGATTCGATGTTAAATTCAGTTTGTACTCGTGTTTAATATGTACGATATACACATGTAAGACTCATGTATATATCATAATTATTAACAATCATATATCATGTAAACGACTATGTTGGCTTTTGGTTAATTCAATTCATATTCATGTTTGTTTACGTATATTTTTTGATGTCCTTATGGATATTATATTTGAATATTTTTTTCTTTCCTAACTTATGAAATAAAATATGAATATTAATAAAAATATAACTAGAAAGGAAGCTACCCAATACAACTTTCAACTCCTATAACAAAANATTAAATTTTCTTAAAAGATTAAAAAAATTAATTTTCAACTTTTGATTCAAAATATGTGTAAGACATGTTAGTATTAGATAATTAATTAATTAAATAAAATTAAAATTAATTATATTCAATATAAATGTGTTAAATATCACCTTTTTTTTATTTGTTAAATTAATGAGTTTTTTTTAATCAAAATATTATTATTGTGTCTCATAAAAATTTAAAATGTTACACTACATAGATGATATTAATGACAAATTTGACTCATTTAATTATTATGTTAAAGAAAATCATATGTTCAAATATCAGTTATAATCGTTGACCGATTGGAAAAAATAATATTAAGGAAAAAATAATAATTTATTGACCGTTGGATATATGAATTTTAGATCTTAGGATGTGTACAAAATTAGTCATAATTGTTGACCGGTTAGTGGGAAAATATTAAAGAAAAAAAAGTAATTTCTTAACTATTGAATGAATGAATTTGAGACCGTAAGATAAACTTGTTGAAACCGCTCTGTTTTATATTATAGATTGGGGGTTTTTAAGGTTAATCTCACTTTACACGATAAAGGATATTTTGAATTTTAATGTATCCCCTTAATATTATAAATTAATAACAATGTAGACCTGACACATATTATCATTCAATTTGTCATTATAAACACATGAGGTGTGAGTGTTTTCGAGCATGAGAATTAGATATGTTCATCGCTATAGATATTTGTCTACAATTAATTTCACACCATTTTATATATCAAAAATAGGGTTTGTCTTGGATTGATGTTTTGGGAGGGTATGGATTGGTTTACCCAAATCCGAGATTCGATGTTAAATTCAGTTTGTACTCGTGTTTAATATGTACGATATACACATGTAAGACTCATGTATATATCATAATTATTAACAATCATATATCATGTAAACGACTATGTTGGCTTTTGGTTAATTCAATTCATATTCATGTTTGTTTACGTATATTTTTTGATGTCCTTATGGATATTATATTTGAATATTTTTTTCTTTCCTAACTTATGAAATAAAATATGAATATTAATAAAAATATAACTAGAAAGGAAGCTACCCAATACAACTTTCAACTCCTATAACAAAATTTAAATTAAGAAATTGAAACATTTAAGCAAAGATAAAACAAAGAATGTAGTTCTACAAAAAGTACAAATTGAAACGTGAATCATTAAATTAAAAGGAAAACGAAGCACTAGATTAAAAAAAAAGGAAACAACAAAAAGGGGAACATTATGTTAAATTAAAAAAGACAATGTAGTTGATAAGAACAATATGTATTATATAGGAATGAGACTGGAGTGAGATACGATAAATAAGGTTCTACGGGATACAATTGTCTTTTGTTATTATTAGCAATGCACCACGTGCATTGCACGTAAACAATTTTTGTATATAAAATTTAATAAAAAAATTTAGGTATATGTGTATCTAAATTAAATATCATATCAATTTTATAAAAGTTATGTTTGTGTCGCTCATATTATACTATAAGTTTTAAAAAAAATTGTCCGTTCCCAACGAATCGTTGTTCTAATTATAAGAAAAAAAAATTAAATAATTAATTTTGAAATTCATTTGATTAAGTTTTAACTTATAATTCATTGAATAAAATAATAATAATTGTTAATATTCTAATCAATGCTTATTTTTAAGGATAACATAGTCAATTAAAAAGTTTCATAGATATTGATATTTATACATAAAGAATAAAGAATTAAAAGAGATGTTAGAGGTAATTTAAAGATTTAAACATCAAAGATATGATGGTAAGTTAACTATTTAATTATGAAAGGATAATGTGGTATTTAAAATTTTTTATAAGAGTAAAATAATGAATCAAAATTTTTTATGCTAAAGTAATTTTATTAGTAATATAGTATAGATAGATAGGTAAATATAGATATGTAAATTTATATATTTTTTTTTGTGTACAAGTGCATTGCACATAGATTATTTTCAATATCAAATATATCATTTCTATAAAAATTATGAAATAACGTCAACTATACAAGTAAGCTTTGCTTAAACATTTGATGTAGTATCTAGTGAAATTTAAGTCGTGGACAAATTTAGCCACATATTAATATGTAAAATTAGAGTTTCAATAGTTTACTCCAAATTTAATATCCATCATTTCTAAAAGAATAACAAACAAACAGATGCTTATATTATAATAAGTTTGGGACGGTCTACCTCAAAATTCACTATCATATTTTCAATGACAAAAACAAATAACAGATGAACATTAATTGTTTTTATTATTTACTGAAAGACAAATATTAAATTACATTTTCAAAGAAATGTCATATATGCTTCAAGAACATCCTAGAAAAATAATTACCCACAAAAATCTATAATGAACATACTAAAATTTGTTTTGCACATACAAATGTTAAAAATGTATATTGTCAAAAATTAGTGTTTGGTACCTTATGTCTTAGAGTAGTTCAAAAAATCTAGTCAAATTATGATTTACATGATGGAAGATCTCGTTTGAAATTTAATGCATGAGAAAAATCATGTAATTTTTTCTAGACACGAGATTTAATGTTAAATACACAAAATGAGTTTTCAGTGCTAAACAAAAAATGAACATATTACCATAGAAATTAAACACATAGTAAATAAAATCTCAAAATGTCATTTTCACAATGACCTTCCACAATTAATCACGGTTGTTAAATAAAAAATACTTGACAAATCAAGAGAAATTTTTAAGATGTTAGTACAAGCTTAACTCCAAGTAAAACATAAATCATATGAAAATAATAATAACATGCAACCAGATAAAAAAAAATTGTGAGTATGAGAGAATGGAAGATGAATAGAATAGTATTATTATTACTTTATGATTAAAATTCATGGGATTGAATATTAACAGTTCACGTAGCCATAAAATGGAAGATTAAATGATTCAAATTTCATTTGATTAATTAATATATTTATTGCCATAAATTGGTATCGTTTGCAAAGCTACACATAAGTTCATATTAGATAAATGATAAAATGAACTTTATGATGGCCTAATAATTGTATTAATGATAATCTATTATTTTTCATAAATTAAAGATGATTAATAGATTTATGGTAAACAAAAAAGTTTATGAGAAGTAAGTGAAAGAGAGATAGTGTCATTAACTCATGAAATAAAAAAATATATATAATATATGGAACAATAATTATTATGAAAAATATAAGTATATGAAAAGTTATTTGAATATATAATTAATATTAGATAATTAGAAAAAAAAAAAGTGCAATATATGGAGCAATAATTGTTATGGAAATAAAAGAATATAAAGACTCACTTAAATATCAAATTAATATTAAGTAATTAAATATATAAGGATAAAGGTGCCTTTAATATTTTTTATAGGAACATAATAAACAATCAAAAGTTTTTCACTTAACTTCTTTTTATTAGTTGGATAGATGAACCCATTAACCCTCTTCTGAACCACCTTCTAATTTGACAAAACCCATGTTTATAGAGTTTAATGTTTGGGCCAACTACAGGTTGAGTTTGATAATCTAGGCTTAAAAATTGAACCCAAATATGGGATTTAGAGGTCTTATGGACTATTTTTTTAAATCTTGGACACCAATTTCCTCAAAAACCACAAAACAAATAGATCACAGTAGCAATGTAGACTTGACACAGTTTGTCGTTCAATTTTGTCATGTAAGTATTTTGGGAATGAGGGTGAGGCATATCCATCACTATAGATCTTCGTCTGTAATTAATTTCATAAAAAATAAAATTTTATTGATTAAATAAAAATTAAACATATCATGTGTAATTCACATGACTCACAAACATCACGTGAATTTATATATAAACCTATCTCGAAGCAATAAAAGACAAATTCATAAACAATGAGTTGGGACTTGGGCTTGGACACAAGTTCAAATGCTAGAGGCATGTGCACGAATGTGTTTTGTTTGACTCTTACTTAGATTTTTAAACCAACAACTCCTAAAAAAAGATTAAAACAATCGGTCAATCTGAAAAAAGATCCAAAAATATTAGATATGAATTTATAATTGGTCTTAATAGGGCTTGATCATAGCTCAATTGATTGATCAAATTTATTTGATAAATGAATCGACCCCGATTCACATATGCACCATGCTAACTTCAATATACATGACTTATATATTGCATGAATTCAATACGAGCTATGTAATAAAATTTTATTATAGTCAAGTTAAGTATAAATTTAAACAATTTAAGACAATAACATTTAAAAAAAATGATATAAACAAGAAACAATATGATTGGTTTGGGTTCCTTTCTTTATTGCCAGTCTTACACAATGCAATCCTCTTTAGGATTGTCAAAGTATCGTATCAATTTTCATTGTTTTTGTGTTAATATTCATGTTAATAAAATATATTTAATTTTAAAACTTATAAATAGTGATTTTCTATTTAATCCATGCAACGTGTCAACTTATAATTGGCGAGTCGCATACATTCCGTCAAGTCTTAAATTTAACTTTAAGCATTGGTCAATGTTAAATTTAAGACTAATAATTGAATCTAGATATTCAGACTCGACTCGAATAAAACTCGATTCAAATTCAACTCGTATTTTAAACGAGCAAAAATTGAATAATTTTTTAAATTTATTTAAAAACACAAACTCGACACGGCTCGATTTGAACTCGATTATTAGTACTAATTAAATCGATAATTTTTGAGTTTCATATGGGTCGTGAAATTAATTGTGGGGGTAGAACCGTCATTTTGACCAATCTGCCAAAAAGTTGTCCACCTGTTCTATCTGCTTCGGCACGTCCAAAGCTTCATTCCCAACAATAACTACGAACCCAATCAATAGAGAAGAGCGTTGAGCTTCGATTGCATCGAAACCCATAAAACCACACACAAATATATATACCGAAATCTCTTGCTTCTCACCTTCTCTCCTAACCCTCTATCAACCGGAGCAAGCACGCTGTGAAGAACGAAGGTAACTCCTCTCTCTCTTACTCTCTTCCAGTGAGGTGAAACTTGGATCCTTATACTGTAACTTGGTAATCATGCATTTATATATAAATACTGGAATGTAATTCAATTAGGCTGTTATGATTGTTTTGTAATGTGAGTAAATTTGCGACATTGATCGAAGGTCAAGTCTCTATAGTTGGGTTTTGTTAAGAATTGTATCTAAATTACGGGTTTATTTCCGTTAAATATTTTTGAAGGGTTTGAAGTGAAGCTCTACTGACCTTGATTTGCAGGTTTATATGTACATCCACTCTGATATGTTTTATGTTTGTTGGTAGTCTCTCTTTCTGATAGACTGTTGTGGTGTTATGAATTTCAATAGACGTCTTTGCTTTTGCATTTGGATCGAGTATAGTTTCAGTTGTTTTGCTATCTTTCTGGGTTTGAATAGGTTTTCCATTCTCAATGAAATTCCTTTTCGGGGGGAGATTTATTTGAGAAGAATATGATTTTATGATAAGAATTTAGCCAGATTCAGAATCAAGATTAGAGAATCGGATCTTATGGATTATCTAATCATAAGGTCAAAAAAAGAGTTTGAACTTTCTTCGTCTACTTCTTTGTCCCAATTTCCAGCATCCTCCCCTTCACCACCTCTAGCCAGATGCATTGAATTGAAACAAAATCCTGTTTATTTAAGTTCCAGTAGCAGCAGTAAGCTGGTGAGACAGTCTGAGTCAGAGTTATTCGTGCTATTCAAATAGCTCTAGTTGTTCTTCCTTATCATTCTAAACTTTGTCATTTCTATCAATATTTTATGTTTGTTGGTAGTCTCTCTTTCTGATAGACTGTTGTGGTGTTATGAATTTCAATAGACGTATTTGCTTTTGCATTTGGATCGAGTATAGTTTCAGTTGTTTTGCTATCTTTCTGGGTTTGAATAGGTTTTCCATTCTCAATGGAATTCCTTTTCGGGGGGAGATTTATTTGAGAAGAATATGATTTTATGATAAGAATTTAGCCAGATTCAGAATCAAGATTAGAGAATCGGATCTTATGGATTATCTAATCATAAGGTCAAAAAAAGAGTTTGAACTTTCTTCGTCTACTTCTTTGTCCCAATTTCCAGCATCCTCCCCTTCACCACCTCTAGGCAGATGCATTGAATTGAAACAAAATCCTGTTTATTTAAGTTCCAGTAGCAGCAGTAAGCTGGTGAGACAGTCTGAGTCCAAGTTATTCGTGCTATTCAAATAGCTCTAGTTGTTCTTCCTTATCTTTCTAAACTTTGTCATTTCTATCAATATTTTATGTTTGTTGGTAGTCTCTCTTTCTGATAGACCATTGTGGTGTTATAAATTTCAATAGGTGTATTTGGTTTTGCATTTGAATCAAGTATAGTTTCAGTTGTTTTGGTATCTTTTTGGGTTTGAATAGGTTTTCGCGTGATTTTTTTTTTTTTGCATGATGCGGTTGTTAAGCCTCACAAACTTGTGCTTTTATTCAGAAATTGGATTGCTTGAAGTTATTATTTCCCAGGTCTTTTTTTTTGGGAGATATGGTAGTCCCCCCCCACCAAATATATATATATAAATAAAAATAACACCACCACCCCAAAGAAATGTAAAAAATAGAAGACAAGAAAACAAAATAGTGTGATTTCCTACTATAAAAATCGTTCATATTTACGTATCAGTCCTGCTATTTTGCATATCAGTTTTTACTGAGCTAACTTTGTATAATCAGTCGAACCTTATACTGCTTATGCAATTTCACTCATGTTATTAAAAATTTAAAATCATGAAAGTAAAATCATTTTCTGTTAATCTATGTTTCTTATCACAAGAATAGCTATATGAAAACCAAATTGTTTCAATATAAAGATTTTTGCCTGGATTAAAAAGGTTTGATATTGGCTAACTCTTGTAGACCTCCATTTCTGATTGGGTGAAGTAAATCGTTTGAAATGGCTGCACTTGCAACTCCTAGCACGCATATTGCAACAACAAAACCTTGTATTTCTGCTTCTTGGAAACTTTCCAAGTCAAGCATTGCAAATTTTGGTACTGAATTTGGAGGGGCATCTTGGACAAGGCTTAAAAGCACTTCTCATATCTTGTCAACACGGCCATTGTTCCAGTGTACAACTTGCACTCCACTAAAATTCAAAAGGGCTGTAACAAAAGCAATGGCTCAAGCGAGTGAGGGCAATCCTTTGCCAGGCTTGCCGATTGATTTAAGAGGTTTGCCTTTTCTATATATTTGTTTTATTTTTCATAATCAGAAATATTGGCAGCAGAAATAGCTGTCAAAATACTTGACCATATAGAAGGAAACAATGATGATACAACTCACTCTTTGTATGAAATATGAATGTTTATCCGGATGCCCAATTAAAAGAGACCAACAGATTCAGTTGATTCTAATGCTGACATACCAGAACATAAGGTTTGTATCGCCTAGATGACACCTTGATGGATGCGACAGAGGTAACATCCTTATCTATCAAACAGCAACGAAAAATAAAAAGTCACATCCATCCACCATGCAAGCAAAGAGAATTTGGAGAAGAAAAGGTAAGTTTGGGGAAATATGAGGCCTGATGATAATGTATATAAGAAAGCAATAGGTTGAAAATAAGAGTGTATAATGCATACATGATTCTTCAAAACTAGTACACTTAGCATCCCACATAAGACCTGTAGCACTCATATGTCTTCTGTTGGACGTTTACCTTGAAGAGTGAGAACAAATTACCTCTTCTGTTGGTGCAATTGCAGTGCATCCTTGGTCCTGGATAGTTGGCCTCGATGTGAATACAATGCTAAGCTTACTAACTTAAGGGGTATTACCTGCAGGTAAGAGGGCATTTATCGCTGGTGTAGCTGATGATAACGGATATGGATGGGCAATAGCAAAATCTCTTGCTGCTGCAGGTGCTGAAATCCTCGTCGGTACATGGGTGCCTGTATGTATACTATGTTGAACTATTGAGGTGTTTGCTTGGCTGCCAACATTTTCAGGTCTCTGTATAATATTTATTGTTCTTATTGAATGTGTGTCTTTTTAGGCACTGAACATTTTTGAGACCAGTTTACGGCGTGGGAAATTTGATGAATCACGAGTGTAAGAATGAATCTGTTGATTCCCAGTTCTGCTTCAGTTGGTTGATGTTTTCCCAGCTGATTGCTAATGTGGATTTCATAGGTTGCCTGATGGTTCTTTGATGGAAATTACAAAAGTCTACCCATTGGATGCAGTTTATGACTGTCCTGAGGATGTTCCTGAAGATGTAAGATAAAATTTTCTCATATTACCTGTGGAATAAACCTTACTGAACTCAACGTATCCCGGCTGAAATCTCCGTATGCGATATCTTGCAGGTAAAAGCAAACAAGCGCTATGCTGGGTCTGCAAATTGGACTGTTAAGGTATCCATATTGTTATCTTTCTGCACTGCTGTTGAAATGGACTGCTAAACTAAAGCAATCCATTTTTAATCGAAGCAAGTCAAGAATGATCATATTTACAATTTGTGGCATACCAACTGACCCTTTATATATTGGCAATTGTTCTTTTCCTTTATGGGTGGCAATAGTATGGCTAATCACTGTGCAGATGTTAGTAGATACCCAGGACCAAGTTACTATTATTTTCAATAGCAAAAAAACAAAAAAAAGTTACTATTATTTTTTTTTTCTTGTGTTGGTCTATTGGATTTTTCTTTATAAATGTTTTGCTACAGCACTTTTTTTTTTTTTTAAAAAGGTGAATGCGACACGGCTTACGAATTTGTCTTTTGTATCTCAAGGAGGAAGAAATAAATTCCATCATAATTGTTACGGCATTCCCTACTTCGTCTTCCAAGTGCAGGACATCCACGAGGANCTGGATTTTTCTTTATAAATGTTTTGCTACAGCACTTTTTTTTATTTTTTTAAAAAGGTGAATGCGACACGGCTTACGAATTTGTCTTTTGTATCTCAAGGAGGAAGAAATAAATTCCATCATAATTGTTACGGCATTCCCTACTTCGTCTTCCAAGTGCAGGACATCCACGAGGTCCTGCGGCCTTTTCTACCAATTGGGGCATTTCTTTTACTAGCACCGTTGGGATGGTCTACCTCTCTTGCCACGCTCTTACTTAGCAATCATAGCCAATTCTTAGATCCTGTTCTACCCAAACTTTTGTGGTATACCCCAATGTTCAAACTTGTCCAACTGCTGATGGGCCATTTTTTCCAATCAGACTGATGTCAAAACTCACTAACTTGTATAACTTGGATATGAGGTGTATAATGCACCGTTANCACCCCCAATGTTCAAACTTGTCCAACTGCTGATGGGCCGTTTTTTCCAATCAGACTGATGTCAAAACTCACTAACTTGTATAACTTGGATATGAGGTGTATAATGCACCGTTATGCTATGTTGGAGGATAAATTGCCCTGTGTATGTCATGTTTGAGGTAGTAAGTAAACTGAAAAATTATNTACCCCAATGTTCAAACTTGTCCAACTGCTGATGGGCCATTTTTTCCAATCAGACTGATGTCAAAACTCACTAACTTGTATAACTTGGATATGAGGTGTATAATGCACCGTTATGCTATGTTGGAGGATAAATTGCCATGTGTATGTCATGTTTGAGGTAGTAAGTAAACTGAAAAATTATCAACGATGAGATGCCTTAACATCTAAATATTTGGATGCTGAAGTCATAAGGTCTGAATAACTACCTTAGTAACCAAATAGCAAGAAGAGCTCCACCTACAAGTAATTTTTGGTTGTCAGCTTATTAAGAATTTACATATATGTGATTGGTTTATTTGATCTGAAGTTCCCATAGTTTGAACCCATTAGGGTAGAGGGCTTAAGGTTACTATCTCGAGATCCCAAATTTGATTCTTGCAAGTGAGCCTTGTCAGTTCATGTGATTTTTCTGATTTTGCTCGTGGAAGTTTGTGTGGTGCCTACTAGTCCAAAGGGCNGAATTTACATATATGTGATTGGTTTATTTGATCTGAAGTTCCCATAGTTTGAACCCATTAGGGTAGAGGGCTTAAGGGTTACTATCTCGAGATCCCAAATTTGATTCTTGCAAGTGAGCCTTGTCAGTTCACGTGATTTTTCTGATTTTGCTCGTGGAAGTTTGTGTGGTGCCTACTAGTCCAAAGGGCATGAGGTTGTGATAGTGTTCTTCATTATCAAAAAAAAAAAAAAGGTTCCCATACTTCTGATTCTTCTGTCACCTATGGTCCCTAGTTTTGATATTTTCTATTTTTTTCTCCAAAATCAAGTCACTCTCAAACTTGTACTACTAAGGAACGAGATGAGTTGGCCTAAAAAAGCTTATCAAGTCACCAGTGTTTGTGATCTCTAACCCTGAGCCTTCATGATTGCACTTGAGGACAACGTCAAACATCAAGCTAGACAGATAGTGGGGTTGACTCACTGGGCNATTTTTTTCTCCAAAATCAAGTCACTCTCAAACTTGTACTACTAAGGAACGAGATGAGTTGGCCTAAAAAAACTTATCAAGTCACCATTGTTTGTGATCTCTAACCCTGAGCCTTCATGATTGGACTTGAGGACAACGTCAAACATCAAGCTAGACAGATAGTGGGGTTGACTCACTGGGCAATTGTTTATTGGTTAGTTATGTCTTGCAGGAAGTTGCTGAATCGGTGAAACAAGATTTTGGTTGCATTGACATCCTTGTGCACTCACTTGCCAATGGGCCAGAGGTACAATTTATTGTTTTCTTGGTGTCTTCAGCGTTGTTCCGCCATCTTCATTATATGTGTACAAATACGACATGCAGGTCATTAAACCTCTGTTGGAGACATCTNTGTGAAACAAGATTTTGGTAGCATTGACATCCTTGTGCACTCACTTGCCAATGGGCCAGAGGTACAATTTATTGTTTTCTTGGTGTCTTCAGTGTTGTTCCGCCATCTTCATTATATGTGTACAAATACGACATGCAGGTCATTAAACCTNGGTGAAACAAGATTTTGGTTGCATTGACATCCTTGTGCACTCACTTGCCAATGGGCCAGAGGTACAATTTATTGTTTTCTTGGTGTCTTCAGCGTTGTTCCGCCATCTTCATTATATGTGTACAAATACGACATGCAGGTCATTAAACCTCTGTTGGAGACATCTAGGAACGGATATCTTGCAGCCATCTCTGCATCGAGTTATTCGTTCATTTCGTTGCTGAAATACTTTGTTCCACTTATGAATCCAGGCACAATTCTCTTCGAATCTGAAAATATTCTCTTGTTTTCACTTTTATCATTCCCCCTCACATGCAATTATGAGAAGTTTGACTTTTGGGTGTTAATACTGCAGGTGGTGCTTCAATTTCGCTAACATACATTGCTTCTGAACGAANATTATGAATCCAGGCACAATTCTATTCGAATCTGAAAATATTCTCTTGTTTTCACTTTTATCATTCCCCCTCACATGCAATTATGAGAAGTTTGACTTTTGTGTGTTAATACTGCAGGTGGTGCTTCAATTTCGCTAACATACATTGCTTCTGAACGAATTATACCAGGGTATACTTCCCTTCCATTGTTTATAGTATTAGTGTTAAACCACTAACTCATTGAAAGGTTTAAGCTGTTTGAGAGGATGTAACATAAGCATTCACAAACTTCAACACACAACCTCATGTGCGGGACAACACCCCCTCACATGCGGGACAGATTTTGGACCAAGCATATGCAAGCCTTATAATTATCAGAGTGGCAGCAGCATTTGATCGCAAGACCTCCTGCACTGATAAACCATCATGTTAACTAAAAAGTTGAGCTGTTGTAGGGCAGAACGCGAATATTTGTATAATTCCATCTTTTAGAAGTTATCCTAGGATCACATATATTTTGTGAAAACTTTGCTATACGCAGATATGGTGGAGGCATGAGCTCAGCAAAGGCTGCTCTGGAGAGTGATACAAGGGTGAATGTTTCTGCATTCTAATTCTTTCCTACTGCTCATATTCAGTATCCTTTGTATTTTGATATCGGTGACGGATTATTAATTTTGTGTGCTTAATGAAGGTTCTGGCTTTTGAAGCTGGAAGAAAACACAAAATCAGAGTCAACACAATATCTGCAGGTATTGTTAACTGTATCTATTATTGTTACTGATACCACCTGTTAGATGAGAGAGGGCAATTTTGTGGGTTCACAGATTGTTTTCTTGATGTTAGTTAGAATGTGCTTGTACCATTGTCATCAGTGGCAGCAACATTGTTCTGATGTCCCACCAAGAGGATCTTGTTAAACCTTCGATCACTTCATTTTCTTATCTTTCACCCCCCCCCCTTTCTTTTCTTTTTTCACTCCAACTGCTGCACCGCCACCAAAGATCTCTTTTGAAATTGCATTGTGTGTTAGTGGACCCTCTCTCTCTAGGTGCATGCCTCTTTCAGTTTGGAAGAGTAGATATCGTTCTTGCCTGAGTTTATCACTATCTGGTTCAATCAATCAAAGCATGTTGTTTCACTATGTACATGCATTCCTGCCAGGTGCCAAGGATACAGAATGCATCAATTGATATGATGTCGTTGCTTCTTATTTTATGTATTTTAGTTTTATTTGGTGGGAATGTTCAAAGCGACCCTCTTTACCATGATTTACTGTTATGATTGGTTTCCAGTTGGGCCAGAGGTGCTAATTGCAGATCAGCTGCATTTACATGCAGATTTTATAATGATCCATCTCTAACAATTAGTATTGAGTTTCATTTTTTTTTTTCCAAAACGTCAAGCAGTCAAGATATACCAGAAATCCGAGTACATGGACATTAAATGGAAAAACATTTACACGTATGTGAAGGTACAAATACAGTGCCTATAGGATAAAGCAAGAATAGAATTTGACGGACCTTACCGTACTAATAGTTTGGGATTTTGAAGGGTTTGTCGAATTAGCTGTGCTTTCAAATCATTGACCATTCCTTTTTGGTGTTCATGCAGTCAACTAGTTTATTTTTCCTTAGCATCGCTGTGGTGAAAATAGGATGATTTTATCTCCACATTAAATCACAATTGGATGATGTAAATGTCAATCATCCTTCTCCAACATTTTTCTGTGACTTATTTACTGTAATGTATCAGGCCCATTAAGAAGTCGTGCGGCAAAAGCTATTGGATTTATTGATATGATGATTGACTACTCTTTGGAGAATGCACCCTTGCAGAAAGAACTATCTGCAGGTGAGTCATCTACCTCCCAACTGTGCAACATTTGCTGCATTTTGCTGTGTTTTATTAAAGCCTTCAGCTTCTATTTCATATCAATGAAGCAATTGTGCAGTTTGTTATTTTGCTGTCAAACAAACAAAGGCGGTCTATTGCCAGAGCTGTTCCACTAGTAACTATGCGAATTAAATACAGCTTCATCGAAAAGATCTTGGAAATAACCCCATCCATAAACAATTTTATATCATAGATTAACAAAATACAACCTAATGCTATTGCTATCTCATATATCTGTAACCCTTATCATTAATAGATACTGAGCCTGTGAAATTAATGAAACAGAGGAAGTGGGGAATGCTGCTGCTTTTCTCGTATCGCCATTGGCTTCAGCCATCACTGGTGCTGTTGTGTATGTTGACAATGGTCTGAATGCAATGGGTGTGGGAGTTGATAGCCCAGTCTTTGGAGATCTTGACATTCCAAAAACCAACAAGAGCTAGAGGTAGTGATCACCAGTGGCTTATCATGTGACTTTGTTGAAAATTTTCTTCATAACAAATAAAAGTTCGCTTTGTTCCTTTTCTTGTCATTTGCTATGTTCTCCGAGAATAGGTCAGTTGCCATCCCTTTTTGATGTGAGGATAATTTACCTTTTACTTAGATATGTAGTTTGGATTTGGAATTGGAATTGGAATTGTGATGGGGCCTTGTTAGCTTGGTAATATTTGCCAAGTGTAACAGCCGTTGTGAGCCTGAAATATTTACTGGATTCACTATTCTTAACGTTCCTGCAAGTTTTATTGGCAGTTACTACTCTTGACATCATCATTTTCATCGAATTTATTTTTTTTGTTTGGACTGTCTTGGAAAAGACAAACTGGAGAAATTAGAATAGTTTTTGCTAAATGGCTGGTTAGCCAGGCAGCTAGTGTAACAGTAGATTTTATTGTTATCTTGAATTTTTCCATTCCTTCAGNCTACTCTTGACATCATCATTTTCATCGAATTTATTTTGTTTGTTTGGACTGTCTTGGAAAAGACAAACTGGAGAAATTAGAATAGTTTTTGCTAAATGGCTGGTTAGCGAGGCAGCTAGTGTAACAGTAGATTTTATTGTTATCTTGAATTTTTCCATTCCTTCAGTAATCTTACAACGAACAGGAGTTTTTCCATTGTAAATTAGTACAGAACAGTGGTATATGTGACTGACAGGTGAGCGAAGTGGGTTAACGAGTTGCTCATCGCCAGGCACAATCTGAGGTTCGAGTCTCACCAGATGTGTAGCGGTTCCCATCCCCCTTTTATTTAGTCGTAGAGTGGATCCATCACTCTATAATAGAAAAATAACTTATAGGTCCTTGCTTGCTTAACTGGTAAATGTTATGCTAACTCAGAAATCTTTATCATGTAAAGAGAGCTTTTGAATTACTAAGTTCATCCATTTTGTCAGCATGAGAATGAATTTCCTTTATATCTGCTCATAGAAGTTTTAAAAAAAAAAAAAAAAAACTAAGTTTGGTTTCTCCCGCGTGTAGAGTATTATTACTTGTTTTGGAGATTTTTATACATTTCCATTTGATTGAATCTTATGGCTTGTTTGGATAAATTTTGGAGAGGGATTTATTGGCTTTTCTAAACTCTTCCAAACCCAAATTTTTTTTGGCAAAGATGAGATTCTATATCTAATTCGGTCTATATCTATATTTGGTATGCAACACGTACACATATAAGGCCCACGGATGTATTATAATTATTAACTATTTGTCTTATAAATGACTATTTAACCCTTGATCAATTCAATTCATACCCATGTTANGGCAAAGATGAGATTCTATATCTAATTTGGTCTATATCTATATTTGGTATGCAATACATACACATATAAGACCCACGGATGTATTATAATTATTAATTATTTGTCTTATAAATGACTATTTAACCCTTGATCAATTCAATTCATACCCATGTTAAAGGGTACAATCTCATCCCTTATCCATCTTTCCAAATCCACCGCTCTCCTAAGGTGGATGAAATCCATAATCATGAATTTAATCTTCAGGCCAGTTATGGAGTGAATTTGAATATTTTAAAACTAAATTTTTTATACAAACACGAGAATAGAAGAGCTTTAAACTATTTTTTTCAAACTCATCTTACCAAACTCCCCAATACCTTCTTACCAAACAACNCTTTAAAACTAAATTTTTCATACAAACACGAGAATAGAAGAGCTTTGAACTATTTTTTTCAAACTCATCTTACCAAACTCCCCAATACCTTCTTACCAAACAACCCCCTAGGGTTTTGGGTTTCAAATAGTGTAAAAAGAAGTGTTTTGAATTATTGTCATTTGATTCAATTTTACTCTAAAAAAGTTTAGATATTTCAAATTGTTTGTTAGTACAGGCAAAAAAGGAAAATTCTTAAAATTATTTTAATATTGAACCTTAGACATATAATAGTTTTGAATTGAATTTTTTTAAAAAAAACATCGTTTGTCTTGTGGTAGTTTGCTCCAGTACCTCCATTGGAAGACACGGCTATAGTTGGGAAGAACTTGCAAGAATACTTCTGTAGACAAAGGAGGTTTTTCAGTTTTTAATTATACTTCATAGAGAAACATTACTAAAATCTGTACATAGATACACACAGGATAGCTGACGAGAATTTAATGGAGAGGGACTTGGCTTGGCACCAACAAATCAAACTACAATCCATCTAAAATCTGTAGAATAATAAACTACAAGAGAACAGAAAACGCAAATCTATACATTTCAACCTGAGAGAAATTGGCCTAGGGGGGATTCTGTCAGCATATGATACCTAAATACAACCACAATTCATTTGCATTCTCTATGTTTTCGTGTACCCATCTAACAAAAAAATAGCATAACGCAAAAAACTCCATTGCTGCAACCATCTCATCTAACCTTTCTCTTTCCCTTCCTAATGGCAACAGCCCTTGCAGTTAAATCATCACTTTCTGGTGAGTCTTTAACAACCGTCTGTACCTGCAAAACCAGACCACGATTCCTGGACAATTTCCTAATTGGGGTTGTAGGCAACGCTATTTGAGTTTTTCCAGATGTTGAATTTGGTTGAGAATTGCTTGATTCATCCACTCCATTCCTTTGGGGCATCAGTTCCTCTCCAACACTAACAGCAGCCATCATGAACTGCCAATTCAACTAGTGACAGGTTTAGAAAGAATGCTCACTCTTAATATATAACTCCAGCTATCAATCTTCAGTAAATATCAAATCAAAGTAGAAGAAATGAAGAAACAAATCAAAAGTAGTCAAAAATGGCCATGCTAGAAACCATTGCATTATGTTTTGAACCATGTAATATCTAATTATTACCAAACCAGATTAGAGTTTGTCAATGGAAGTCTTAATTAGGCATGCAACAATGCATGACCAATTTAAGTAATGGTCCTCAGGAAATCCAAGTTTTAGCCAGCAAAGTCAGAAACGCCCTCTAGACATCATTATTAGGTAAATTAGAAATGATAGTCAGACCAAATTACTTTTAAGGATCAATGTAAAAGCTTCAAGTAATCACACTTCTGTTGAGATACCTTCCAATCCTTGAAATCAAATCTGAAGACGAAGTGGCTGTAAGCAACCTCCCCAGACACAACTGCATTGGCTGCAGGAGCATTCCTTGGTGCTGAGACAAAAAAATCAACATAATATCAACATAAAAACAGAACAAAATGGAACTAAAATATTGATGATTTATGGAGTATCTTACAAACTAGATGACAGCCATCTTCATCCACTTTTATTTCAGCCCGCCCATCTTTAACCAGAAATGATAGAGCAAACAGATTTTCCACTGTCTGTGCAAAGGAGTTCCTGTTCAGGGTCAAATTTTCAAGCTTCACCCTTCTATTCTTCCTCAAAATATCAAACATAGTTACCATATTTTTATCCGTGTCTGTTCTCTCTTTTGTAAGAGTGTCATCAAGCTACACAAAGTTGGAAGGATGTCAGTGTAAGTGAGTGGCATTACCCACCAAAACTTATCAGCAGAAACATTGAACTAGGCAATCTTGCTAAGACAACACTTAACACAAAAGGAAAAAGGTCATTTCAGATAACTGCCACAACATTTTTATCCCTAGAGAAAAGGATTCTAGGGCTCCCAGAATAATATGAGAGCAGTGTAGAGATGAACTCATCAATAGTTTAAAGCAAAACGAGTAAGCATATAGAACAGAAAAAAGGCAATCAAATCTATACACCAGAATGTTATATGTACTCCAGAGAATTTGAGTTCCATTTAATAATCAGTCTTATACATAAATAACCATCTTTAGAAGAAAAACTAATTTCATTCAATTTTATTGTTGCAGCTGGGTCTATTACACTTCTAATGATCCACCTTCAAACCAATTTGAAGCCAAATATATACATAGGAACCAGAACAAAGCTTGTTTTACCTCCTCAGGTCGAGCACTTTCTGTTGGTCTCTCTCGTTTCCTATGGACAACAGCTTTACGTTGCTTGATTTCAGTATTCATTGGGCCAAGCCTGTGACGTGAGTTTGATAATAAAAAATAATAAGTTTATCTTTAGTTCTTGTAATAACTAATAAATTAATGAGATGTAACATGCCTCCATCCATCAGAAAATGCCTTTAAAACATAGCACATAGTTTCTAGAAACCTTAAAACACCTTTATATGAATCTTGCAACATTACGAATTAGTTTCTATCCAAGTTTTATTGATTTTCTAGTCAATTATGCAAAAAAAGGATACTTCTATATGATTTGAATTAATGATACCACCTCTACATATTTTGGAAGCATGGTGCAGAGAAGAAAATCAATATTCAAATCCTAAAGTTCAAAACAGAACATCATCAAAATAGAAGGACACTAATGCTACTTACATGGTGCAACAACTAGGACTCCCTGTGAAAACATGAGACACTGGAAGGCCAATGTCTTTCCAACGTATGGAGTTCCTGCCCTCGTCCATGTTGGTAGTCACTCCACCATGTTGCCCAAAATCCCTAAGCAGACAAGTGACAAAATCTGAAGGAGTCACTCCTTCATTGCTATGTGCCTTGACAGATGTCAACAAAGTGTTTGTAATGTCCAACAGAGCCTCTGCATCTGCAACTTGTTCCCTGGGCTTTTGCACTGTAAATCAAGTCAATAAAAAACTTCTTCAAACTGAAATTCTCAGATATACACAAAACACCACTAAATAGTATAAACAATGAATGAACAAGCAAGACCCAACCTGCAAGCATTATAACAAATTTTAGCACTCTCTGTAGGGAAGGCAGATAAAGCTTAACATAAAGCATAAACACGTCAGAGATAACCTTTTTGAAATCTTCTAAGTGATTTCAAGTAATAATTTTTGAAACCCAGTGAGAAAATGAAAAGATTTACACCCCATATTTAGAACCCAATTTAAAGTCAAATAAAATATTGTTCTAGCATCTTAATCAAACTCAGATGAAAGTGCTAGAAAAATTGCTCTATTCAGTTGCCCTAGCAAATGTGGGAAGGATTTCGATTCACCAATCATTCTTTAGTCTCCGAAAAAGAAAAACAAATGTGGGACGGAAAATCCGTAAAAATTTCGAACTCTTGGACTCTGAACTCCCAAAAAACTCAAGCTGAACAAGAGGCTAGTTCAATTATTTGGGTAAGCATACTTCAAGCGACTTTCCCATTTTTCTGAAACCAACATAAGAAACACTCTTACCTGGAGTTTTCTCCGGAACCAAAGAGATCCAGAGGGAGGGAGGGAGGGAGATAGAGAGAGAAACACATTACAAATATAATCATAATCAATACAAACACAATATATAGGAAACGTAATTTAAAAAATACCTAGCTGATGCAAGCTTTCAACTTCATCAATTATGGCCTTAAACTTTTCGGAATCAACCCTCGAAATATCATCTCTCTCATCTGCAACAGCCAATCAACAGATAACCTTTGTATCAATATCGAAACCACATTTAGTTCAAAAAAAATGCCAAAATTCAAAACCCAAACAAAATATAAATAACGTATTACTTAACTAATCATTCAAAAAAAATTACCGCTAATTCGATTCTTGAAAGAGTGGTAACGAGACCGAAGAAGTCTGCGTTCGGTAACACCATCGGTTCCACGATTGGTGTCTCTTGCAGTACCTGCTTCTGCATCACCATGATTCTCTAAAACATCNAACGAGACCGAAGAAGTCTGCGTTCGGTAACACCATCGGTTCCACGATTGGTGTCTCTTGCAGTACCTGCTTCTGCATCACCATGATTCTCTAAAACATCTCTACTTCTTCTACTACTAGTAGTAGTGCTAGTACTACCAATCCCTCTACCACCATCGCCATTTCCACTACTTGGCTCTCGTTTTACGATTCGAACCATAGATTAGAAATTGAAAATAAATTTCACCAAATTTTCTGAAATAGAATTTACGGAACAGTATAAACCCTAGAGTGGAGTTTGAGAATCAACAAGAACAGAAGGCTAAGAAACCGCAGTAGAATCAATTAACAAACAAAACATTGAAAATTGAAATCTTGGAGCCGAAGGAAAAGCCCTAAATTTTCAAAAGCAACCCAAATCACACTTAATGGCGCGCTTCCGCTTCCCCTCTCTCTCTCCAGTAAATTGCGTAGGAGGATCGGTGGAACGTGTGATGGATTTGATTGGCCGGTCTTCTGATCAGAATTTATATTTTTGGGAAAATTCCATTTTAGCCCCCAAAAGATACAAAAATTCTTAGTTATTCTATCGAATGATTAATTTTNATTTATATTTTTGGGAAAATTCCATTTTAGCCCCCAAAAGATACAAAAATTCTTAATTATTCTATCGAATGATTAATTTTCTCGCATTATTACCTCAAATAAATAAAAATATTGTCATATAGTTATTTTCATTTGGTCGTCTATCCATTTTGTGCCAAATCAACTAACTAGGAATCATAAAACATATAGACAACCAAATAAAAATAAAATGGTAGACCACATTATAACGTTTTTTATTTTTTAAGGGGTAATATAAAAAAATTAATTATTCAAATGACAAATTAAAATTTTTTATATCTTTGAGGAGATAAAATATAATTTTTTTTCTCTCTCTCTACATATATATATATACATATATGTGTATCAGCNTATAAAAAAATTAATTATTCAAATGACAAATTAAAATTTTTTATATCTTTGAGGAGATAAAATATAATTTTTTTTCTCTCTCTCTACATATATATATATACATATATGTGTATCAGCAATCAACTTCAGGGATGCGTGATGGGTTTAATCCCTTGGTTTTCTTTCTCTTTGCTTTGTTGTTGCTATTGCTGGTTCCTTACCCAAAAAATAAAATAAAAAAAAACAGTTTTTTTACGAATTTGAATTTGAATTTGAATGTACATATATTTGATATGATTATGATTTAATTCAAATTACTTATATATTTTTATATAATATTAAAGAAATTAAGTGGTTATTTAAAAAAAATTAGTTAAAATTTATGTATAATTCGTTAAAATTTAGTTCATTAATTTATTCGGATTGAATTGGATCGAATCGNAAAAAAATTAGTTAAAATTTATGTATAATTCGTTAAAATTTAGTTCATTAATTTATTCGGATTGAATTGGATCGAATCGAATATCAAATAGGTAACAAGTTCAGATACGAATCATGAAAACAAAGCCCAATAAATTATTGGATTGAACTTTTAAAAATCGAATTCGAATTCGAATTCGAATTAGTTAAAATTCGATCTTAACCCGATTCGTTGACAGACATAGCCATGCAATATGCGTTGCTCTACAAAGTCGCACACACTTTATAAAGTATAGTAGCACTAAGCTGTAAGAGCATCTCTAATTCTTGCTTTTATTTAAATTCAAATTTAAATTTGGATAAATTTTTAAAAAAAATCTTCTCTAATGTTAGATCCTTACTTATATCAAATGAAAAGAGACTATTTTTTTTATTCAGATTAAGGTAGACTTAAATTCATACTCAACTCTTTAATGGTGAGATTTCAGCAACTTTTAAAGATTCAAGGATCATATTTACATTCTTTTAAATTTATATTTGTCCTCATTTAAATTTGATTTCCTCTTCTTTTAAATTTGAATTTCTCCATTTGAAATATCTATACCAAATTAAATTTTTTACCTTTATTTTTACTAAAATTTGAGTTAGGGTTTAGGTGTTGATTGAGATGATTTAACTGAATTATGATAAAAGCCACAGACAGCTTAAGATAGGAAAGATAACCCCATAGCTTCCTCTCTGTTTTTTTTTTTTCTATAGAAACTACAGAATTTTTATTGATATGGTATATCCCAGAGGAGAGAGTAAATGATGGCTGGAACCACCTTCTTTCATAATTGAATGTTTATTTGGTATTAAATTAAATAAATGATATTAATTTGATAAGATTAAATATTAAATTAGAATTGATTTAATGAAATTAAATAATAATTTAATGTTAAATTAATGAAATAATATTATTTTGATGAAATCAAATATTAAATGAATATAACTAAATGCTAATTTAATAAAAATTAAATATTATTTTTGTGTTGATTCTATGAGATGGAATGTTAATTTAGTTTAAATTAAATAAAGAATATTAATTTGATAATATTAAATTGATGAATCTAAAAATTAATATAATATAATTAGAAAGGAGTATACTGAAGTTTCAGAATCGGAAGGGGGTGTTATTAAAGTTAAGTTTATTTACAAGGGGAGTAGATAAATTTTATCCTATAAAATGTTCAGAAGTATTTCAGTAAATCAACAATCACCTTTAACACCATAACCCTACAAGCACTGACATAGGGTGGCAGTGAAATTTCAAAATCGAGAGAGAGTGTCATTGAATTTAAACATAATTACAGAGATTGTGGATGAAATTTTTCCTTTAACTTTTTATAATTGTTGTACAAAATTAACAAGTGATATTAACGAGGACAGATCCAATTATGTTTGAACCTAGTTCACGGGTTAAGCACAAATTATCAAAAGGTTGACCAAGTTTAACTTATGATCTCAGTCTAATTTAAAGTCCAAGAGTCCAGAAAGAGTCAACGCATGTAGTAGAGTAATCATTGAGATAACTATTATTTCACTATAATGTCAATCCTCAATTGTAGCTATTCTCCCCAATAAATTAGTAGTTTGATATTCACATCGTCGTCTCAGTTAGTACTCTGTGTCTATACATTATAAACCCACTATATATGGGGACAGATTTCACACACTTCACCACACTCAACGGATTTGATCGTATATAATAAATTTTGTGCATCATCAAGTATCGTAACTATTTTTAGTCAACTTAATTACAACAATATGTAATGAGAAAAAAAAAATATTACAACAATATGTTGATATGGAGGTAACTAAAATAATTCAATTCAATTGTATTAAATATATTAAGGTTAACTTGTATTTGAAGGCATGGTGCAATATGGATGATTTTAACAGATATGTTGATGGTCATTAAATAAGTTTATTTAAGACTGTCAGATAAATTTATTAAAATTTGTCTATTTTATATAATAAAATCTACATTTCTTTTCTCCTGTGATATATGGATTGTATGGAAAGCATTTTTATTAAAAGAATATTCCTGCCAAGCCATGAAGAATTGAATAGGACCTTTCCCTCTCTAGAAATCCAACGGGAAGCTGAAGTGATAATAAATATGAGCTATAAATTTAGATATTTTGAATTTTAATCTTGACGATATCAGAAGATCAGGTTATGAGAGATTTATCACTCATGAATATCTCAGTTCTGACATGGATGGTTTGTATTTGACTGGACTGATGAAAAAATTAGTCAAAATATGTGTAAACTAGCTCGAACACCCTGACCGTTAAATCAAAAGAATTAGAAATTTGTGCCTTATGATTTTTTGTGGTAGAAAAAGACCACCAGAATTTGTTTATTTAGCTGGATAATGGAAAAAAATATAAAAAAGTGAAAATTTTTATATTTGTTATGTCTTTTGGTTTATATGAAATGAAAAANTAGCTGGATAATGGAAAAAAATATAAAAAAGTGAAAATTTTTATATTTGTTATGTGTTTTGGTTTATATGAAATGAAAAATGATGGATTTTTTTTTTCTGCATGCTTAGATTTTCTCATAACTAACCAATTTTTTTTTTTTTTTGTTGCAAAAACCACAAGAAAAGGCAAGTAAGTTGTTATCAATAACCTAACTTTTCTTTTTACTCCTTTTTTTTAAATATTCAATTAATTTTTAATTTTAAAAAAATTTGATACAAATTTAGCTAGCCATATAATTTAGTCTAAAGATATAGATTCGAATTAGTTATTATCCCAGAATTAGGTTATGAGCAAATTTTTTTTAAAAAATTAATTTTAATTATAATAAATTATTTTTTTCTTTTTTACATCTAATTAACCTAATTAAGAATAATTTAAACAATTAGAACAATTTTTTAGTAACTTTTTTTTTCTTTCAAGCAATAATTTTTTTAAAAAAAATTTCTTCCAGTTTTAATGAAAAATTGTAAGTTGGTACATAATTTTGTTTCAAAAATCACCAAGGCCCTNAAAAAAAATTTCTTCCAGTTTTAATGAAAAATTGTAAGTTGGTACATAATTTTGTTTCAAAAATCACCAAGGCCCTGTTTGGTTTTATTCTTAAAAATTATTTTTTGTTCTTAAAATTTCAAAAACATCAAAAACATGTTTGTTTGACATTTTTGTTCTCAAAATTTTAAAATTTTGAAAACACAGAGACAAACTTTGCTTGTTAAAAAGGTCTGCTCGTCGAACCTTCTTAGCAGCAAATAATATCCTCCCATAAAAGGAAATTTTTTTTGCCCCCCTCTCTCTCTCTCTCCTTCGGCAAAACCAGAATAAATGAACGACAATACTCTCTTACGACTTTGTCTTCTCTGACGATTGGATGACAAGTTTTTTTTTTTCGACGAAACCCATTGCTGGATCATTTTCTCCGACGACAAGTTTTTTTTTTGTTGGTCTTTCTCCCTCCCAAACTTTCTCTTTCTTCGATTTTTGAAAGGATCCCAAATATGAGTTACAGATCTTGATTTTTAGATCTGGGTTTCAAATCTGAGTTTCAAATCTAGGTTTCAGATCTTGGTTTGTCTTGTCTGGTAATGAGTTTTCAGATTTAGGTTCAACTTTCACTTCGGGATTACTTCGACGAAGTTCCAACTAATTTTTTTTTTAATTTTATTACTCTGCCCGAAGCTCTTGTGCAGTTAAACTTTCAAATTCTGGGATTACTCTGGCGAAGCTCTTACTAATTTTTTTTTTTTTAATTTTATTACTTTGGCGAAGTTTCGATTCAGTTAAATCAATGACTAATTTTTTTTTTAATTTTATTTTAACAATTTTAATATATTAAAATAATTTTATATGAAACCGTCTATCCAAACAGGTTTTTATTATTTTATATTTTATAAAATTATTTTTAAAATTATTTTATCAAACAAATTTTTCGTCTTAAAAATACTTTTCTAAAACTTTTATACCAAATTGTTTTTAAATATTATTTTTAGAGACACAAATGCACAACTTTTCGAATTTCGAATTTTCAAAATTTTCGAAACGGCCTAACCCTACCCTTCAATTCCAAATATAACCCCGCAACTTCTTCAAAATCACACAGCTATCGCCGTCATTATGTAACAAAACACAAGGGTAATTTGGACAAAGCAACTCAATCATAATATGCCAAACCTAGAGTCCAGATCAGAACAGACCCCACAAGCTCCGCTCCAGCCTCCAGCTAGAATCAGCGACATCTCCCCCAATCTCACTTCCTCCAACATATAATCTCTCTCTCTTAGATTACCAATCATTTGGGTTTCTCTCTCTCTCTGTACCAATCAATAGGGGTTTTTGCAGTTGAATCACAGTCCCATAACCCAAGATGAAAGCTTCACTCAAGTTTCGCGAAGACCAAAAGCCCTTGTTCCGAGCCAAAATTCCTTTAAACATCGTGGGTTTTCCGTTCCAATCCGGTGTCGTCGCCGGCGAATCCAAAGAACTCTCTTTGAATCTCAGCACTTTCTTCGACTCTGGCCCATCGTTCAAGTTCGCTTACCGTCCTAATGATTCTATCAACCCTTTTAGCCTCGTCTTCAAAACCGGTATCGGTCATTTCGGCTCTCCAATATCTAGCTCCGTGACCATGAGTGCCGAGTTCAATTACGTTGGAAGTCAAAACCCTAGCTTCTTCGTCCATTTCAAGCCTCAATTCGGCGATTTCAATATTAAGAAATCACTATCTTCAAATTTCGTGAAGAAGATTGACACCAAAACAAAAGGTGTCGTATTGGATGAGGACAATTCAGTCGAGCTCACCGAAACTCCGATGATCAAAAGTGGGTACTTATCGGATAAAAAATTGTTTTCCGGGAACAAAATTATTGTTCTTCCCTCAAACTCGCCGGCGTCGGGGATGGTGGAGAGTGTGTTGTCGGGTATGGAGTTGAGTGCGAGGACGACGGTTCCGGTGAGAAACCGTGCGATGGTGAATTTCCGGTGGGGTGTCAGATTCCCGGCGGAGGAAGAGGCGGCGGTAGTGGTGGGGAGGAGCGATCGGATGGCCGGGATTGCTCTCAGGAGGATCCCGCTCCTTGTCATGAACAAAATCGGGATCGAACACGTGGCAAAAGATGAGTCCAAGGAGACTAAAAAAGTGGGACAAGATTTGAATTATGTCAAAAATGCTGACGTGGCAGGAGCGTGTTTGGATGTGAGGAAACAACTAGAGATGATGCAANGATGAGTCCAAGGAGACTAAAAAAGTGGGACAAGATTTGAATTATGTCAAAAATGCTGACGTGGCAGGAGCGTGTTTGGATGTGAGGAAACAACTAGAGATGATGCAAGTTGAAAATGGGATGCTTAGAAAGGCTATGATTGATTTGAGGTCGGAAATTTTACCGACCAAGCCCGATTCACCGGGCGGCGGCGGTAGTGAGATGGGGAAGTACAGGGAAGGGGAGAGAGGAGGGATTAAAAATTTGGGTAGGAGAAGTAATGGCGATAAGAAATCATCGGAATTGAATGGTTTTGACGGGAAGGACAAGGAAGGGAATGTGTATGCGGAGTTGAAGATGATGGGTGGTGGTACTGGTTCCTGAATTTGACTGGAGATAANAGGGAAGGGGAGAGAGGAGGGATTAAAAATTTGGGTAGGAGAAGTAATGGCGATAAGAAATCATCGGAATTGAATGGTTTTGACGGGAAGGACAAGGAAGGGAATGTGTATGAGGAGTTGAAGATGATGGGTGGTGGTACCGGTTCCTGAATTTGACTGGAGATTAAAGAGTATATGATCTATTTTTCATAGTTGAATGTGTCAATTGTCAGTTTTGTTTTAGAGTTTTTGAGTGTTTTATATCTAGTTAAGGTTAGTACTTAATAGTTGATTTTGTTTGGTCTTGTAGAAAATCGATTTTTTATAATTTTTTTTTCTATTATGTTAAAAGAAATGTTTTCTAATGAGGGTGTGTTGGGGTTTAAATATANAAAGAGTATATGATCTATTTTTCATAGTTGAATGTGTCAATTGTCAGTTTTGTTTTAGAGTTTTTGAGTGTTTTATATCTAGTTAATGTTAGTACTTAATAGTGTGTATAGTTTATTTTGTTTGGTCTTGTAGAAAATCGATTTTTTATAATTTTTTTTTCTATTATGTTAAAAGAAATGTTTTCTAATGAGGGTGTGTTGGGGTTTAAATATATTTTGTGTGCATATTTGTGTATATATGTTTTTACTATTGAATGTTTTCTCAATAATTGAGGATCACTCGAAATATGCTATCTTTTAAACTCAAGGTTTTCATGTAAATTATGGATGTATGAAATCATTCGTAAGTTATATGTATAAAAATTTTCTCTCAAGATTTAATTTTTTATATTTATCTAATATTTTAGTTAGAAAGTTTAATTCTTAATTTTTAAAATTATAATAAAGGTCAAGATTAATATAATTTTTATCTACTCTTACCCAATGGAAAAAAAACTTATAGATGGGTCAAGATAATTGGCAAAGAAAGGAACAATAAAATTTGTAGAGGGGTACTAGGCTAATCATGGTTAGTTATTGACAATGGTGTTCATAAATTGGTCCGAATATCCTTAATCGTTGAATCAAAAAAGAAAAAAGAAATTAGATTGGCAATTAGAGGGGGCATTATAGAGGGACTTGACTATGGTACTGAAAAAGAATTCGGTACCGCACCTTCAAAATTTATACTTAAATGAGCATTTTTATAAAATTGTAAGTTATTTTATAACTAAAAAATTTATTATTTTTGTAGGTGTTTTCATCATACCAATCGATATTTTATCATTGTTGTGATAATGATTTTTACAATTTTTTTTCTACAAAAAAATTATCACTTTTGTAAGTGATTTATCACACTTGTGAGTTTTTTTATTATTATTGTGATAATTATTTTTATCATTTTTTTCGATTCCACATTATGATAAAAATACTTACAATAATGATAAAAACAATCATAAATATTATAAATGTTGATATGGTACTGGATTTTTTTTTTTGGTACCGTAAACAACTCCTATTGTAGAGACAGAAGTCCTCTCTACGACAACATGGCATCTCAACCATTCACATCACAAAACAAAAGAGTAATATTATTTGAACAAAAAAAATTAATTTAATTTGTTGTTCTAATGATGTGATTTCATGAAGACTATTAAATCGATACAAAGTTCTAATATTCGATGATACCCACCACAATTAATTTAAAGATCATAATAAATTAAGTCAATAAATTAGATTTAAATAACATTTCTCCAAAACCAAATCAAGTTAGTCAAAACCCAAATATTTTAAAAGAATAATAGTTAATAGTTATTTTCAAGTGTTATCTCTTTGTATTTAGGGTTAATTATAAGTTGTACCCTGAAAGATAGTTCAAATTTTAATTTAAACCTTTAAAGATAAAAAATCTCAATTTGTATCCTCAAAGATAGAAATTTGTATCAATGTGCACCCTCAAAGAAAAAAAAATCTCAATTTGTACTCTCAAAGATAGAAATTTATATCAATGTGCACCTAAAACTAAATTGATAAATTATACCTAGATCCCCTCATGTTTGTCATTTAATCATTTGGACCCCTTCACATTTAGAATATTACTCTTAAATCTCATGGTGTTTGTGCACATGCAACACATAACCTATTTTCGTTTATATATTTTAATATAACCGTTAAAAAATATGATTTTATCCTAATAAAAAATTATAATTCTATATTCCCTTTTTTTTGTGGGTCCGATATACTCAAAAGTTCAAAATCAAGCTTATCATTTGAATGTCTAATAGAATGTAGATATTTATATAATATTTTTTATATCCAATGTAATATATTATTCAATGTGCAACCCTTTATTCTATTAGAAATTCAAATGGTAAGATTGATTTTGAATTTTAGAGTATATTGGACCCATAAAATAAAGGGTAATATGAAATTATAGTTTTTTTATTAGGATAAAATTTTATTTTTTAACTGTTATATTAATATATATCAATAAAAAAGGATTACGTGTTATACGTGTATAAATGCCATGAGATGTAGAAGTAACATTTTAAATGTGAAGGGGTCCAAATGATTAAGTGACAAACATTAGGGGATCTAGGTATAATTTATCAATTTAATTTTAGGTACATATTGATATAAATTTTTATCTTTGAGAGTACAAATTGAGATTTTTGATTTTTGGGGGTGCACATTAATACAACTTTCTATGTTTGAGGGTACAAATTAAGATTTTTGATATTTGAGGGTGGACATTAATATAAATTTCTATTTTTGAAGGTGTAAATTGAGATTTTTGATATATGAGGGTACAAATTAAAATTCGAACGATCTTTCAGAGAGTGTAATTTGCAATTAACCCTTGTATTTAATGAAGTTAGATTAATGAAAAATATAATGAATATTTGTGATAAACTTTCTTCTCAAAGGTTTAAGAGGTCAGATTCATTTCAAAGCAAATCAACGAAAATTTCTATTGTTATAAATCCTTTAAAATCGTTCACCTAACAGTTAACCTAAAATTCAATAAATCATTAATGTGTTAGGTTAAGCATTTAGTGATGAATACTATCTTTTCTTTATTTTAAGTACTTTTTTCTATTCACTTGAATAAATGTATTATTTTAATTAATTTTGTTCATATTTCCACCAAGAGATTTTGTCTCGGCATATGTTCAATTCATAGTATCTAACTGAATTCGTAATATTAAACTCTATCTATTTGTACGATTGTGCATGAGCTTATAAGAATCTTACTCATACTACATAAGAGGCCCGATAAATAGAGCGAAAATGAAAAAGATTCCTATGACGAATCCGACCCCCCTTATCCCTATAAAATAAAATAAATTTTTATTTCTTTTATTTATTATATAAGGGTTACACCAACTAGGTCCTTTTTTAATTTACTCTTAATCTCTAACGATTGAATCTATTTATCCAACTTTTTTGACCCGATTCATATAAGAGAATCTTTTAATTGCATGTTAAATCTACTTCAATGGTTAATATTTTTTTTTAGTGTATTGTTTTGGTTACCTAAGAAACGAAAATATTTTGGTCATCTAAGAAACGAAAACGAAAACGTTTCGACCTGTTTTGAAAATATTTTGACCCATTTCAAAAACATAATAAAAAAAAAAATTTAAGAATTTCTTTTTAAAATATTGATTGAAATATATCAAGGTATTTTGAAATATTTTAAAATAATTATGTAAATACATTAAAATATTATAAAATATTTTAAAATAACTCGAAATATTAAAATTTCGAGCCCTCACTTATTTCATTTTGGTGTCTTTCAATACAAAAACGTTTCGGACGCTCGACGTTTCAATCCCATATTTTGATCCTCGATGTACTCAAACCAAATTAATACTGGTCGCTTATGAGAGTGTAACGACGCTCAACGTCACACCTACTGCTCTGTCTCACACGCACTCTCTCTCTCTCTCTCTCTCTCTCTCTCTCTCTATGTCGAGAGAGACGTGCACAGTAGAGACCAGCGATGGCATCGCTCTGGATACCCGAATCTTCAAGCCAACCACCACCACCACAACGACGGAGGTACCAAAGGGCAATATTGTAATTGTACTGATCCACCCATACTCAGTACTGGGAGGTTGCCAAGGCCTCATGAAGGGCATGGCTCGAGGGCTGGCCAATAAGGGCTTCACTGCTATCACCTTCGACATGCGAGGAGCTGGTAAATCCACCGGTCGCCCTTCTCTCACTGGCTTCTCCGAAGTCAAAGATGTCGTTGCTGTTTGTAAATGGGTATCTCAAAATTTGTCTACTAATCGGATTCTGCTTGTGGGTTCTTCAGCAGGTATGCCTCTTTTGTTCTTCGTTTTGATTGTAGTTCTCCAATTACTGTGTATACTGCTTCTTTGGGTGATTGAGGTTGAAGATCATTCGTATCTATAATATGACTATGTGTTGCTTGTTTGCCTCAGATTTGGTGAAATTTATACAAATGAGTCGCTCAAGATTAGGTTGCATATAGGGTTTTGTTGATGGTTTTCTTAGCGGGTGTGATTTTCTTGTTGATTTGATGGTATTTATGGAATTACAGTAATTACATTGCTGGTTTGCCTAGTTTTGATGGGTAATTATTGACACACACACACACACTCTCTTGTAGATTTTAATATGGTTAGCTTAAGACTTGTTGACTGTTGGCTAACTGGATTTACCAGTATCGATTGGTCTCTGTGGACACCACAATATTCTTGTTTTTGGTGGTAATTACGTGAATAATGTGATTAGGTTGCTTCAGTTGGTTGATTTTGATTAATAAGGGACAATTAACGCTGCGTAGAAGCTGGGTGGTTCTTGAATCTTTAGGAACACATTATATAATGATGTGGGAATTTTTTTTTCATCATTTTGTGCAATGGGTTGAATAACGTGGATGCAATTATAAGACCCCTTATTTATATATGGTAGATGTTGTCATATTGATTAGCTAGCTTTTCTTGTTGGTGTGTTGAGTTTGGTGGAACGGGTTCAGTTTACTGGAAGCAAGTTTAGGGAGTTATTTTCCAACTCTCTTTATCTGATTGAGATTGAATGTTTTGGAGGTGTGGATTTGGATAGTTCTTCAACTTCAATGGTCTGTTGAACAATTCGTCTCTTCACATTGTATGGGTTTGGTGAATTATTTTTTTGCTTGTATATGGTGTTTCAGCATTTAGTGTTTGTTCAGGTCTTCTATATGGATTTAACTGAACTTCATCGAATCAAGTTGGAGAATTAAGTTGGTGGCTAAACTTGGGTCAAGTTCAGGATAAATTTAAGCCTACTTAATTTCTTTTTTTGTTCCATCATTTGAAGAATTATAATTCATCCGCCTACCCTGAGTTGTGTTATTGTCTCATCCTTCATACTGGAGATCAGAAGATAACGCTCAACCCTTGAGCCTCTTCAGGTGGAGGTGTTTGGTTGTAAGACTAACTCAGCTTACATTGGTTTGCTGGGAGCAGCTGATAGGGGCCCAGAATTCATGCATCAATGTTTATCAGTGGGTGACTTATGAGGTATTTACGTAGAAGAAATGTTTTTCCTCAATGTTACACTTACACCTGCTAAAGGAAGTACCCCAAGCAACCTGACATTGAATAGAAATTGAGGCAACTTACCGTTTTGTAAGAAAATGAACTACCTCATTCAAATTTGCCATTTGAAACTAGAACCAGAAAATTTGTAGCTTCATAAAATAGATCATAGTCATATTTATTATATCCGTATATGGTGTTTAGGATCATATAGCTAGCATTTGCCCCTAGTGGGGGTGACTTGAGCAATGCAAGATGGCAAAGATGAGGAAGCAAGGAGAAGAGTGCTATGACACACGTTGGGGTGGATGGAGATGCACAGAAAGCTACTGTTTCTCATTAGCAGTTTACTCATTACTATTGATGGAATCTCAAAAGATTTGATTTCTGAAATTTTGTTCTAGTGACTAGAACTTACTCGACGTTGATGCAATTCAATTTTTCCCTTTTATTTCTCATTATGGATTTATTTGGACTATATTTGACTGATGATATTCTATTTACATTTTCTATGAGCCACATTTATCGCTTGACTCGCCTTTTTGAATGACTATTTTATGTAGTAGGTCTGGTGGTTTTTAAATGCGATTCAACAAAAAAATTTGGTAGAAGCTTGATGATCCAAGTGCCTTTCTGAAAACCAATACTTCAGCTGACAAAACAAAATGTTTGAGTTACTTGATTACTAGAATCACTCAAACAGTAATAGGTTCTTTTTCTCTCTCTTGAATACGAGTATAGGTGCACCAATCGCTGGCTCTGCTGTTGATCAGATAGAGGAAGCTGTTGGTTATGTGAGTTTGGGTTATCCTTTCGGCTTGATTGCTTCTATTCTCTTTGGGAGACATCACAAGGCAATATTACAGTCGCCAAAACCAAAACTCTTTGTCATGGGGACCAAGGATGGTTTCACAAGTGTGAAACAGTTGGAGAACAAGTTAAAATCTGCAGCAGGCCGTGTTGAAACTTATCTAATCGAAGGAGTTAGCCATTTCCAAATGGAGGGACCTGCACATGATGCTCAAATGGTGGATCTGATTGTTGGATTCATAGCTTCATTGTGAGATCCGGCAACTTAATGGGGGCAATGCCTCGTTTGCATTTGTTATCCTTTGAACATGATTAGTGATAGCAAAAAATATGACTTGTTTAAATTGTGGTAATGAGAATGATCTGTTTGATGATTGTACTGTTACAGAACCTGGAAACAAGAGTAATCTGTAAATTATTTCTCTAGGATTTGTTGTTAATGAAAAGCAAGTATGCTTTCTTTTAAGCTTCTTCCATAGAATTTAATCCGATTTCCATAATGTTTTCTTGTACTACGGTACTTTGACAAGTTAGATTTGGATCATCCAAAGCAGGACATTGACCGTTGTAGAGATGAGTAGGTGATATTGTGTGCAAGACTAATGCAAAACTACATCAAAATGGCAACCCATCAAAAAACCATTTGCATTGTTTCAAGCAACATCGAATTGTTTCACTTTAAAATTTGTACACCAGATGCTAATATCATGAATGAACAGATGAACCTTCATACAACATTGACTTCCACAGTGGATAATATTTCTGACTGTTCTTTGAAGTCGGTGGGCATTATTAGAGCAAGAGAATGCTACAGGTAAAGGACCTTTCAAGCTCAAATAAACCTATGGCTAAGAAAAAAAAGGGCCTAAGAAACCTAATTCAAAACAAGTAATCAGTATAAATTAGATATCAACTCATCATCCAGCTGGTTAATCTGACGCCATTTTACTTCCTCTTTATCATTGTAGAACCATCAGTCCTTGACTCCAAAAGCTGGGACGAAGTTAGTTGCCACTAAATACTGTATTCCTCCTTTCTTGATACATATCAGTTGATTGCTCATGCAAGAATGGCTGCTCTCCATCTGATTTACAGCATTGGAAAAAAAGGTAGAAAGAGGGAAAAAAAAGAGAAAATACCATAAATCAATTGGTTTAGGGTTCATAAAAGTTGATGTTACGATTAAAACTACAAATTGAGAAAAGAAAAACCATTAAATAAAACATGCAAACCACATCAGCAAACTCCCATAACTTCCCTTAAATACAACATGCGAACCACATCAGCAAACTCCCATAACTAACTGTATTACCAGACAAATAGTAGGATTGAGGTACATAGTTCAATGTAACCGACAGCTTCATTTCCTGAATAGTCCAATAGATTTGAATATAAAGAGAGAGAGCATTCCAAGCTCAATGTATTTAATAAGTGATGCATTTGGTTACCAACATATGTATTGACTATGCCCTCCAAAACCTTCACAAATAAATTCAAAGACCACATGATTTCGTCTTTCTAAAGTCCCAAACAAGAACATGCTGGATTTCATTCATATAAACATGTTTTGTCCAACGATCCCTGACAATGATTGAAAGAAGGAAAACAACTAGCCATATTATCAGACAAATGGCAGCAAATCCGAGTTAGACTCCATGTGATTGGAAGGGAAAGGGAAAATCACTGCTAGAACTGAAGCATTCTCAGCCAGTGAACAAAAATTTGGACAATTTTTTACCGATTAAACAACATGGGTCAGTTCAATTCCAGAGGACATATATGATACGACAAAAAGCAGATTGATTGTTATATTACCAGTTCCATCATCGCATACATCTGCGAGCTTTGCAATCACATCAAGCAGTGCTTGTTCATGCTCCTGCATTAACAATAATAATAAAAAACTTGCAATGTCAAACAGTAGAAATGACACGAGAACCTTCTGGTGCATTGTGTTCTAACCTTGAGCATTTTCTTCGCCTTTTCAATCTCAAAGAGATCAGGATGACTTGCGCCAAACACTTTCTCCACCTGTCAATGTCAAAAGGCAAGGACAAAGAATAAGTCAACTAACATGTTGTCATATGAGTTGTCTCAAGACTGTCGTAATACCTCCTTTATTAGAGTCTCTGTGTTACGGATTTCAATGTCCTCTGAAACATTCTTTACAACCCCATTCTGTGGTGGTCGCAAATCTTTTTCAGATTGATCCCTAATGGATTCTCTGCTTCTTCCTGCACCAGGAACAACCCCATGACTTGTGGCATTGCTAACACCAAAGCCTCGTCCAATATGCCCACTTCGACGAGATATTCCTGGGTCTTCACCTTCCCATCGGATATCCTCGTGAGGAATCTGCCATTAGCAACATCAATGGATACATCATTTAGGACTTCATCTCAAGCAAGAACATTTTACCCTCCCAAGCAATAAATAGGAGATTGATTAAATGTCTGATATATCTAAGCGAGCAGCCAGCAAATACTGAAACAGACAATATGCCACTAAAAAATCAATGCATGCGACTCTAATTATTAATAGGTATACACCAGTCGGATACCCACAAAAATTCAACAATCATAATGTCCCTTCCACAATTCCTCGAAATCTCAGTGTACGGCCACATCAGAAAACCAAACTAATCTCCTTTCATAATTTCTGGAGAGAAAACACATCACACAGCTCTTTATAAAATGGACAAAACGAGATTTTATCACTCAAGTTTCCTCCACAGGACAGCAATAAAATAGGTAAGGGAACAAAATACCAAAGTGCTTTATGCAGAAAAGTACATCTTCAAAGTCTGGTTTCTTGATTTAAGTCGGACCACATCTAATTTTACATGCTAGAGATTGCATGAATAATTATTTCCTTGAACTTTTGTTTTTGATAATAAACGAAACTCTTGTATTAAAATAAAAATTGAGTGTAAATCAAAAGGATTGGATAAGAAATCCAATCAATTTAAAAATAAATCAGTAAAAAATTCAAAGGAAAAATGAAGCCTACAAATTACATGAAGCATTCCATCCCGTTAAAATAGTAAAAAGTGGAACTCCTTTGAAAGCCTTTGAAACTGAAGCCCAAAACGAGGGTAAAAAATGGATATGATCCCATAGTCCATCCTCTCTTTCGTTTCGATCTGAAAAAATTCTTGGATTACGCTCCTTCCAAATAATCCACAATATAGCAATAATAACACAATCCCACAAAATAGCAACTTACTCAAGTCTTCCAAACCCTTAACATCTTTCAATAAACAAAGAAGAAGACAATGCAGGGATCACCCAACTTAATCCAGCCTCTCGATACAATTGATACCATAACTTCAAAGCAACTGGACAGTGCAAGAATAGATGATCAATGCTCTCACAATCTTTTTTACACATCACACATCACACACCACTGAGGGAAAAACAATTATGAGGCTTCGTCCTCTGAAGCATGTCGTTAGTATTAATCTTACCATGAGCAACTATCCATGTAAAAACTTGAACCCATCCAATTATTCGAGGCACGACTAAGATTTTCTTTTTCCCAATAATAATAACAATCTGCGACTATTCTTTGAGAGACTTCCTTATAAGGACGGTTTATTCTGGTTGATGTAGTATTGAGGCTCAGATAATAGAAAAAAATCATTAAAAAATAGATATAATCAACTCTTTTTTTTTTTTAACAAAAAGGTGATATAATCAATTTGAGTAAACCTTTTTCAAGCATACTTCATGCTATTGAATGAAAGATAACTTCAACACTTCCACATCCATGACTTTACCTTAAAGGATTTTCCTGGTATCATCAGAGTCAAAAGAGGCGTGCATTGCAATGTGGCACACCAAAAAAGAGAACTTTATCAAGATTAATGAAAGTGACTAAGTTTAACCTCATTATTTCATGGTTGCCACCTCTCATTCATTATTCATTTGTACTATAGTTAGAAAATATTGAAGACGACTTAATTTTACTATGGCTCATATTTGTGAAAATTATAGGCATGTTGCTGCCAAGATGAACAAGAAAGCAAATTGAACAGGTTATCAGAGTTCAGTAAATTTACATGTTAGCTAATGTGTATAGAAAATGACAAGACTCGGCATACTACAAAAAAGATCACTTCGTGACATTTCTAGAATTCACTTGGTTTCTAATATTCTCAAAGTCACAATTGTTTAATTCAGCTCGACTGAAATGGAGACAGTAACTTGATTACAAAACTGTTTACAAAATTGTTCCTTTACCTCAATCTTTACTGTCTTAAAACTCAATTTGAGATGATTATATCCAATTAGATTTGCTATCAGTGTTATCAACTTCCAATTTCTGAGTCAAAGATTATGTCGACAGCATGAAATGAACCAGACACGTCTCTTGCAGACAAACAATACACAAGTCCATGCAAACTATAAGTCCTCTCAAACAGCGTCAAGCTCCAGCTTTTACAATGGAGTGGCTGGCCCTTGGTCTGTTCATTAGCAATCTAAGTGTAGTCTAGAGATTCAAGCTTAAGATCAGACTTCACCCAAGATTTGCAAGCGTACAACTACTACTGGTACAGGTTATGGAAGATAATAATAGAAGTTGATTGTAGTTCTCCTAAACATTAGATCAACCTTTTGGTTATGTTATATTCAAATCTTTACACCACTTCAATCAAAAGATTAAAAGAACTCATTTTGAAAGATGCTTCCCTCCAAGTCACCTAATTTCAACCTTGGGAGATGAAGTAAATCATAAAATTAAGGCGCCAATACATTATTCGTTATTTGAACGTTCTTGGTGCCTTGGGTCGTTTGGAATTTGTTAATTTGACTCACTTGTACACAGAACAGTCAACACCAGCCAAATCTTGCCTCTATATTAGACCACAACCAAAAATAATGCAAATCAATATTGATTTTGGAAATCAGGAGTGACACCGCACACATTTAGGGCATTCCTCATCCTTACTTAGACTATAATAAGTTGGAATGTAAATTCAGCCAAGCGGGCGCGGGGAATCCGCGTTTACGAGAGTTTTAGCGTAGAAAAATGGTTCTGATGAGGCTCTGAATCAAGAACTTTTGGCAGAGTTTGATTTGATTTTGAAAAATAAACCAAGCAAGACCGAAGTAGTAGCCGTTGCTCGCACTAGGATTTTATTCAAGTGGAGATAGCAATTCCTATCGAGTCAAGAAAGAATGAGTAATGACTACGAGTTATGGAATTGGGCATTGGTCCTCCTAAGAGCTCACATCGACAGGAAAGTTTGGCAAGTCGCACTGATTCTTTCCGGACCTTCCAGATTCTAATTGCTTATTGAGATCAAGATCTTGTTCCATTAGACCCAAACCCAGTTCGGTCAAATCAGTTCCATAATATAGCTTATCCGGACCGGGCTTTCAATGTTTAGTCGGGCCAGCCATAATGAATGACTGTTGTTCAGAAACAAATGAATAAGACTTGAGGGTTTTGCTATCACTCTTTGCCTAAAGCCGTAACTTCGCTCTTTCGCAATTGCAAGACTGTAGCAATCGAAGAGCTATCGCTCAACTGCTTTGCGTATTACGAAAGTCATATTGCTCGAAGGGGGCATGCTGCAAGCAATACCAAAAATAAACTTGGATGCAATCTATACTTAGATTTTGTTAATTAAAGGAAAAAGGAGCATGGACCAAAGGAGGTAAAAGGAAAAAGAGAAGAAAGAACATGAGGAAAAAGCTTGAAGCTCTTTGAATGCATTATTTTTCATTCATCCATCTCTTATAATCAAAATGCTCAAAGCTATGTCGACGCATTACTTTAATTTCATCCTTCTCTGGATATCAAGTTCTCCACATATATTCTTTCCCCATCTTGTCTCCACGTGATGGTTCACGCTCATGATCAACATCCAAACCAAACACGGTGTGATGGAAAGACTCAACCCAACCCCACATACTAGGACCTAATCCACTCAGGTGAAGTTCATGCACATGATTATAGCAAGATTTCATACTCTACGGTTGAAAACTAAACTTCAGTTAGTCCAGGCCCATAGGTGACAAGGAGATCATATGCATAAAGATGAAAGTAATATAGCCCTTATTTAAAGAAAAATATGATCTAATTTTGTAGCTATCAACATATTTTCTTACTTTCTTGTTGCTGAAAAAAGAACGGGGAAAGTGACACTAGATGTTTTAGATAATATAAATAGTGAATAAGACTTGCCTCTTTCAGATCAACCCATTCCCAGGTTTCATTTGGCGTATTTCCATCATAAACCAGCGCATGTCGGCCCTGAAAGTTTTTAAAAAAATTGAAAGGATGCATGTAAAATCTGTGGAATTCCATTAACATGTCAATATATAATAGAACCCCAATATTCTCTATGCGAAACAACGAATCTGATTCACTTCTAAAAATAAAAGTTAGAATTTACAAGTTAATAGAAATGATGTGATTCAAGAATGCAATGTGTTATATAATAAATGAAGATTGAAAATCACAAGAAAGAAACATGATACAATTTTTGGTTGCAAGCAATATCAGATAAAACATGGTTACAAATTCAAATAATTAACCACAAAATGGCCATGTAGAACACATTTCACGAGTGAAAATTCAGAACGGGCAAACAGCATTCCTAGAACTACTCTCTATTGTAAGCTGCATACCTGTCCATTCCTTAACTAAATCTCGATACCAGGATGCCTCTAATAATAACCTTGCCCAAAGACAAGCATTTAGGTGAGCCTCAAAAACTATTATTCAAAAACTTTAACATACCTCTACTGGGTTGTAATCAATGATGACAGCCTCATAGAAATTCTTGTCCTCGGGCCATCTTGTCATCACCTTCCTTCCAATTAATGGATCACCTGCTGTTCCAGTAGGTTCATTTGGCAAAAGAGCACCAGAATAACCATGATTGGCAAGCTGACCCCTTGGACCTGTAGAAGGGTACTGCATAGATTTCGTTGAGGATAAACCAGGCATGGGCTGATGTTAAACCGAAGACACTCAAACAGAGGTCTATATAGGATTCTCAGTTCTACTCAACCACAGAAATTTACTTACAGGTCTAGACTTTTTGCCTCCAGCTCCTGAAGCAGGTCCCCATTTTGCAGCTGTGGATGATGGCTGTGTGGTTCCAGCAACCATTTGAGGGTGTAACAACTGTGAGGGCGTTCCAAATGGTAGAGGTATTGATTGGGATGTTTTCTGCCTCTTGCGAGACCCTGAAACTGATGGACTGGGTACTAGGTCATGAACAGGGTGGAGCATGTTGAGCATGGTATTGTGGTTCCCACCGGCCTTTCTCCACTCCCTGATCCTAACGATGAGATCATCAGCATTAACCCTGTTGAGTAGATCCCTGTGCTCATCATCTGACACTCTGAGCTCTTTCCTAAGTTCTGTTATTAAACCTTCTTTCTCCTGAAGAACATTTATACCCGTATAGGATTAGGTAGGCAGAAAAATGAAGAAACCCAAGGTAAGTGAAAATCTAAATACCCATGTTAGTGCATCAGACTGTGCTTTAAAAGCTCTTAGGATAGCACCATATGCTTCTTGCTCAATTTTGTGAATTTGGAGCTCCATGTCACCATGCATCCTACTGTGTGGAGCTGAATTTACAACAGATCTTCCATTTCCTGTAACACGGTCCCTTCGTGAAACTGTATTATAATGTGATGGAGGAAGATCATCATCAGTACCTGCATTTATTTCAAACATGAATAACCTCACTGGATACAATAACATGAAGTTCCTTACCAACTGCCTCATCTTAACTCAAGCCTTAACCCCACGAGTTGGGGTTGACTTTGCAAAAATGTGCAAAATGAGCAGCAATCAGGAACTTGAAATGACATCTAAAGTAGAAAGAAAAAAACTTCCACCTTACGGCTAACATGCTTTGGGTTCTGGAATAAAAAGAAGGCATATGCCAACGCTGTCTTCAACAAAAAAAATCTGACGCACAATGAACTCGCACTAGTGGCTTTTTTAGTAGACAACCAGAGGAAAAAAATTTCACACAGTGAGAATATCATTGGTACACCTGATGAGGCAAGAATGCAAAAACTGTTCTATTAAAAAAATACATTCCACTTTTAAGTTCCTGATTGTGGCTGCCACTGTCCCACAATTAAATACTGACGGCTCTGCCTTCCTACTCAAGGCATCCACGATGAAGTTAGTCTGTCTGCAAACAATTAGTTAGTTTATCATAATCTAAGTAAAAATAATAAAAATAGAGTTCCCTTCGGTACCATAAGATCTAATTGATGAAAGGTTGGAATCTTTGGACAACCAATGAAGGACGGTCACTATAAAGTTTACAAGTTGTCTTTACATGTAACTGAAGATAAAGAGGAAAATTTCACAATGCTTGGAAAACAGATTGATCATTTCTGACATTCTGCCATTGTCCTGGGTCCTTGACTTTCTTTACATAGATGCCTTGGGAAATAGAAGCAACCAAATACCAGACATTTGTCCGCAGGGGTTAGAATCTAAGAGAAATTCAAGAGAGTATCTGCTATCATGAAACTTTTGTCTGAAAATGAAAAGGCAAAAAATAAGAAAAAAAAGTGGGTCAAATGAAACTGCCATTATGGTGTTTTAAGAACTATTTGGTTGTGTAGGTGGCAGCAAAGCACCTATATCAAATGCCCATTAAAAAACTTTATAAACATTTAATTAAGACAAATAATCAAACATACCTACTGAAGTACTGATTTTTTGGGGTAAACAGATGATACATTCCTCAAATTTCTCAACCCTAACTCCAGACCTCGAATAAATTTCTATCTAACCAGCATAATGAACAAACTATAAACCCAAAATGCAGACTCCAGCAAAAAGTAAAGGCACCTTTTTTCTTTCTAAATGAACCAATACGGTACTACCCAACGCACCTTATGACACACAGACCCTGGTTCTGGTCCCAACTCTGATATAGTAAATAAAGAAAAACAAGAACAATTCTAGGAAATCCACAATCTATAGACTCAATCTTCGCAGTAGTTCATTTTCACATTATTCAAGCCCTAAACCTAGAAACAAACACATAAGAGCCCTTGCGAAGAATCACCAAGAATTACACCGCACTATACACAATGCATTGCGTATCTACAAAGAAGTAGCTTTGGGTTTAGGATGATTGAGAACTCACCGCTGCTGTCGATTACTCGATAGTCCATACACAAATTGTGCCGCCCCAACCAGATTTTCTGTGTAAAATGGAAACCCTAGAAAACAGAGAAGACTGTTTAGAGAACGGTTCGAATGCAAATAAGTCTCGTCAAGATTGCTTCGCTTTAATATACATAGAGAGAGAGATTTCAAAGCGTCAACGTTTGTTGGAGGCAGACAGAGAAGGCGTGTGTATATATAGACCCTTGAGGAGAAGAGAGACAGATTTGGAAGGTACAGTATATAGAAAATCTTGGTACACCATTTTCAAGAGTAAACTACATAAATAACCCCTAAATTATCCCAACTGTGTCAATTTAGCCCTCAAATGCATTAACAAAGAATTAGACAGTTTTTTTTTCTTTTGGTACATTGGAAAATAAAACACTAAACACGAATTTTCCCTAATAAAAGAAACACTAGCTATATCAACGTCAAGCGTCATCCTCGTCTCCTTTGAAGGACAACTCCAGAGAACAAATTTGTCATCCTAAAGAATCCCAATGTTAGTGTGAACGTCTAGGATATTTCTGCTTTAAGTAGAAATGTTGTAGTTGTCTTTCAATCAAAACATAGCATATGTCTCGCTGTGTCCTATTCGGGTTGGTAACATCCCATTAGAATTTTACGTAGTGTTAGATTGTATAATTGAGGGATTAAATTAAAATAAAAATTAAATTAAAATTTTAATTAACACAAATAACATAATTTAGGGGTTATATGTGTAATTAATTTTTTTTTTCAATTTAAGTTTAGCCCGCCCAATGCGTTTACAGAATAATATTAATTCACTTTCTAGTTCGATTAAAAAAAGTTATTTAAGTTGAAAATAAAAAAAAATTCCCCTTGGTTGGCTAAAAGACATACAATCTACGATTAGAAAAATTTATGAGAGATAAACTTTTAATGATTTAATTCAAAAAAAATTATAATATTTCAAACTTATGAGTTTTGAATTTATAATTCTTCTCTATCTTCAGATAAATTTTTTATGATTTAATTCAAAAAAAATTATAATATTTCAAACTTATGAGTTTTGAATTTATAATTCTTCTCTGTCTTCACTAAATTGCCATTGAAATTACATTTGTGGTGAATTTGGGCCGATATTCATGCTCTTAGTTTCGGCCCAAATTCTAGGTACCCAGGAGGCAAGTAACAATTTCAGTCATGGGCCTACTTGGTGCTTCGAAAATTCATAAACTTGCGACTAACCCAAGCATATAATGGCCCACTTCGTACCCATGTCCAAGATTTTAATATCGGTAACCTTTTCGGCCGTACTTGGTAATAATTTTTGCCAAGTTACATAAAAAAAAAAAAAAACTTTGGTATTATTGCTTTTTTTTTTTTTTAAGTAATGCTATTGAAACTTAATTTACTGACCTAATTTACTGATTTAATTCATTATGACATTTGGATTGAATGTGGGACCCATCAAATATTAAAACTTATTATTAATCAAATGATTCCACTAAAACCACATCATTAGGTCAATAAATTAGGTCCAAATAACATTACTCTTTTTTTAAGCTTGTCCTTGATATTATCTTGTATACTGGGTGGGATATGACGATAATCAATGATACATATCAAATACATATTATATGTATTCAATAATAAATAAAACATATGTTGAAAAAAATGGAATGCAAGAGGTAAAGTGTACGACAGAGTGAGGTGTAGACTATATCGCTTTCTTAAGATGATTCACACCTTTTTATAAAAGAAACACAGTTCATAAGGTAAAAACACGTCATCCCTAGGATTCAACAACCCAACTTATTGACTATTATTTCATTCAAATCTATACAATCGAATGAAGTAGAAACTTCATACAACACCTTTCAATTTTTTGCCCAAAAACTTATGCAGTAGAGAAAAATATAGTAATTATTTAGATTGTATATTTTTATACTGATCTATATAAAAATATATATAAAAAATATAGGTATTTAATATTTCGCAATTAGTCCCATATTTAATTAGATAATAACTATGAAAATTAATAAAAAAATAGTTGTTGGAAAACTAGCCGTTAACCTTTGATATTTAGAAACTAAATTTTTAATATAGGAGTTATGATGGGAAATAATTATTAAAATATTAAAAAAGTGGGTTTAATACTAGTTAATATTTTATTTTATTTAGGTGAGTCAAGGGGATCCGCTACTTGGGTGTAGACTAGGTTAATATTTACGTGCATTAAATGTGAATATTTTTTATATATAAAATATTAATAAAAAGTATTAGGTATATGTGTATTTACATTAAATATCATTTTAAGTTTATCAAAATTATATTTTTATTGCTCGTATTATATTATATAATTTGAAAATATTGTTTCTTCCCAACGATTTATTGTTTTTAGTATTAAAGAAAAAGATAAAAATAATTTATTTGATTATATTTCAACTTATAATTCATTGAATAAAATAAAAATAATTTTAATATTCTAATTAATGCTTAATATAATTAGGTAGGTTAATAGAGATAAAATATAGGATTAATAACACTTTGGTTATCTAAAATTTGCGATTTTTGTCAGTTTAGTCTTCAGTATATAAATTTTATCAATTTAGTCTATAAAATATTTAATTCTTGTTTAAATGGTCTATAACCAGATGATCAATTAAGTTTTTTGACAAAAATAATCACATGTTATTCCGTCAAATAGTTTCATATGATCACTTCTATAAAAAACTTAACAGATTATCTGTATATGAATCATTTAAATATTAAATAAATACTTTAAGGACCAAATTGACAAAATTGATACAATAAAGACCAAACTAACAAAATATGCATATTTTAGGGACTAAAAGTATTATTCACCTTAAAATATAATATACTACTCTATAATATATATTTTAAAAGAATATTAAAATTTTAAAATTCAAGTTTTACTTAAAAATACAATATAATTTTTTTATATAAACTCTTGATAAAATATGAAAAGTTTACTATAATTGAAGAATTATGTTGATTTAATATAAATTATTTAAAAAAAAACTACATAAAAAGATTATTTTTTATCTTAAAAAGTAAATGGTTGAAATTTTGGATAAAAGAAATACACATATGTAAGGATAATGTTATCTTTATATTTAAAATGAGTAATATTAAATTGATAAAGTTTTTTTAAAAAAAAATTAAATGTTTTATTAAAAATTATAGTGATGCATATATGTTTTAAATGTAACGTAGTCAATTAAAAAGTTTTATAGATACTAATATTTATATATAGTAAATAAAGAATTAAATGAGATATTATGAGTAATTTGAAGATTTAAACATATAAGTATATGATGACAATTTAGATATTCAAATATTGAAGGATTGTGTGGTATTTAAAATATTTTATAAGAGTAAAATAGTGAATTAAAATTTTCTCATGCTAAGACAAAAGTTTCATTCTTTATTAGTAGTATAGATGAAAAAAAATACATGTATATAGTCATAATGTTATTTATATATTTGAAAAAAGTATGATTTATTGATGAAGTTTTTGAACACTTTATTGAAAACTATAATGATACATATATTTTTTTAAGAGTAATGTAGTCAATTAATTTTTTTTATAGATATTGATATTTATACATAGATAATATAGAAGTAAAAGAAATATTTAGGGTAAATTGGAGATATANTATGTTCTTTGCACATGGAATCTGACTTTCTTAAAAGATTTCTATAATATTTAATTTTGTTAGGTTTTGAATTTTCAATAATTTCTTATATCATTGTCAATTTGTTCGTTGACCCTTAATGTTTTGTAGTGATGCAGAATGACTTCGTCCAGTTTGGAAGCAAGTGGAGAAGTGATAATCAACTCTCCTAGTTGACTCACAATGGCCNATTTAGGGTAAATTGGAGATATAAATACATAAGGACGTGATTGTAATTTAAATATTTAACTAAGAAAAGATAATTTGGTAATTAAAATTTTTTATAAGGGTAAAATAGAGAATCAAAATTTTTTCGCTTAAGATACTTTTATTATAGATTATAGATATACACACACACACTTAAGTACTTTTAGAAATTTAGTCAATGTGAAATTGAATTTCCACATAAAAAATACTCTTATGTTTAAAATACTATAACAACATATGATAGCTCGTCAATAAGAATCCAATATATATAGATTTTGGATATGAAAGTGCATATAGAGAGTAATATACATAATTTTTTATTTTAGTCTTTATATAATAAAATAAAAAATAAAAAGACTAATGTTATTTGGATCTAAAAATCTGACATAATTTACGGACTTAATGATGTGGCTGCATTAAAACCATTGAATCAATATTAAGTTTTAATATTTGATGGGTTCTACAATTAATCTAAAAGTTATAGTGAATTAAATTAACAAATTAAGTCAATAAATTAGATCCTAATAACATTGCTAAAATAAAAAAACATATAATTTTAACCACACATTATTGTTTATAATGTATTATTTGCTATTACATGTTGAGAGATTATAAAGTGAGTTAAAATACACTGCATCTCTTGTATACAAACATTTCTAAACAAATCAATTAGTTAAACATTAGTTGTGAATTACTTATGTTCACTTTGTGATATGTCATAATCAGACTGATGGATCCATCAGTAACTTGGTTTGGTGTGCAGGAGGATCGTAAATGGAGAGCTCTGTCTTCGGCCGTCGGTCCTTAGACTTTTGCAGCTATAAGTCTCTAGTCCTGTCAAGGGAATATTAAGAGGGGTTCAGCTCGTCTGTTGTTCATCAAAGAGCAGCACACAGTGTTGTTCTATTAAACGATGTCGTGCCATTAAAAAAGTCATAGCTCACCATAAAAGTCCGTACAGTAAAAAAAAATTTCAAATTTTTACTATCCGTCAAATCTTTCAACACAATAAACTATTTAGCACCTCCTCTGCACACACAAACAAAGACATCCTCTCTACACACACATATACAATTGGTTTCAATTTTCTACACAAACGGACAACAAGGTTCGGTCTGTTAGTTCCC